GAGCTGCCACGTGGCAGCCGTCCCGTACGGCTCCCCTCGGACGACTTCGCCGACGCATTTCTGACGCGCTCGGGATTTAAGATCTGTGAAGAGGACTCTAGAGAGAAGCCCTCTCACAGCGGCCGACCGCCCCTCTCCCCGGTGCCCCTCCCCCCCCGGCAGCGTCCGTCCGCACCCGCGAGCGCTTTCCGGAGACCTGTACCGCTTGCGCAGTCTTCGTCGAGTCAAAACCTTTCCTCCGGGTCCGGAAAACCTCCCAGAATGAGCGGCCCCCCTTCGGAATGCGCAAAACCGCCCCGGTTAAGCCTTCCCCCCTCGGGATCCGCAAAACCGCCCCGATTGAGCCTTCCCCCGGGCGCCTCCCACCAACCGGGGCAGCCCCTGGCGAGCCCGACTCTCACATACAACCCGTTCGAGCCCTTCTTACCGGCCCGTCTTCAGCCCACGTTCACACTGCCCTCCAGAAAACCGCCCGTGCCGGTCCTGCGCCCCACGCCCCGCCGGTTGTCGAGCATTCCCCCCGTTCCCCGGTTCCCTGGGCCTGCTCCTCCCGGGAACAAATCGAGACGGGAACCTGAGACCGTGCGACGAACAGGCGCTCGGTTGAGTATCCCCGGGCATCGGCGCGAGCTCTCTGAGGCGACGCGGGTCTCAACCAGCGACTTCACGCCGTACCGCCAGCCAGCCTGCCGGGACCTCCCGGGAAGCTGTTCCGGGGTCCCGCTTTCGACTGCATCGGCTGCGCAAGTAGCCAGCCGCAGCAGCCTCGCGAGACCGGAGTACGATTCCGGCCGAGTTTCGGCCCCTGTTGCCGGGGAATCAAAGCGGAGTTCCCTTCCTTCGGAACCCACTGTGGTGGCCGGAACGTCTGCATCCGTTAGCCCACGGCCTGGCTCAGTTTCGGAGGGCCACTGCGGTGATGACCACATCCCGTGCCAGACGGCGCGCGCTGATCTTGCCACGTCATCAGAGCGAGAAGCCGCTCCGGAACCTGGTTCGCAGGAGCAAGGTGGTCTGGCGACTTGGACCGATGCCTGTCGGGACGTCCGGATCAACCGTCCGTTTGAGCTGCTGAACAATGTGACCCAAGTGCTGCTTCTGCTGCGTAATCCGGGTGAGCCACCGTTTCGAGCTAGTGAGAGCCACCGCTTGTCTCTTTTTAAGAACTGTGAGATGGAGGTACGCCCCAGAGGCATAGTTTTGCTCTTTCTTGCGCCGCGAAGTGGTTGGAGATACGGTACTCGGTAACACTTCGGATCTCATCGAAAGTCGGGGAAGGGCAACGTTGAAATGCATCCAATGTAAGCCAAGCACCAAGGAGAGGAAACTTCTGTCAACAAGCGAGCGGCTTGTGCCGTTCTAATCGCAATCACTTGGACGCCTCCAGACGGTTCTTGTGGCTCGTTGCGTTGCAGTATACAAATTGAGGTCGTTTCTCCTATTCTCTCGACAGGGTCTTCAAAGTACTTCAGGCCGACTCTACATTTGGTACAGGATCCGCTCGTAGCTTTAGACCGCTCTGTGGGGCCAATTATTTGTGTGTCATCTCCGGGCCTGCAGGGCAATAATTCCTGACCCACTCGCCGCAAGCCCTTTCCGCGAAAATGTACTTGACTCATTCTTTTTTCTCCCATTGCAGCGGCGCTTTCGGACGCTGACGAGTACACGCGAGCTCTTGCTGACGCCCGCACCCGCATCTTGCCACACATCCCTGCCGCGGACCTTCGTCGGCAGTTACCACCGCACCTAGCCTCAGTTATGGGATTCGCTTACCAGAACGGACGAGCGAAGGCCAATCTCTGACTAGAGAGGGCACGGAGAGATCATTTTACAGGAGTGTGTCGCGAAACCCACAGCAGCTGCAACATGCTACTCATACCTCGTAGTCTGTCCGTGGGAACTTGTCCCTCTCACCTACGTTCTGTGTATTTTTCAATTTATTTATCAACGATGTAAAGTAAGGACTGGACGAGGCCGCTTAACGTAGCAGTTTAGGAAACCCAACGAATCAGGGCACTGGAGCGGATGAGGTAGCAACGGCCAAGTTTTGATTGTACCGTAGATATTCGGCCTCTTTGGTAGACATAGGCGCCAGCTTGAGATTAGTAACGGGCGAAGGCGGTGAACATGACAAAATTCTGTAGAAGGAACCCTGGATTAGACGGCTCCGCTACTAAACAAAGCCAGGTCTTGTCCGATAACAGAACTTTGCATTGCCAACAGTGCCGGAACCACTTCGTACAGATGAATTATCTAGGGACAGAGTTGACTGAATGCCAGGGCCAGCTGCTAGTAAGTACAGCAAGCATGAAAACGTGTCCGGAACGTGGTTGCGAGCAATAGTTCAAGCCCCCCCGGAGCTCGCAAATGTGTGCATATGTGTGGCGCGCCGGCGGAGGCCATACATACATCACATCATGAAATTGCGGACCCAGGCCGGCCTGGCCAATATCATGATGCCTGAGCTCAAGCTTCTGAGACCCATCATTGGCCGCCATTTCTGGTCCGTATACGGGCTCCGCTCGTCGGACGGTGAGACAATCAAATTCCATCATGTGAGCTTGCGCATGATCTACCGGTGCAACTCGTGAATATACATGTGGCCGCCCACATGCATCATGACAGCTGGCATGCATTGAATTGCTTATGATCTGCATCATCGCCGTGGCACGCGGCATATGCCATGGGACATCATTGATTCTGGCACTTCGTTTAGCGAAAGCATGCCGCGCTTCAAGCTTTGCTGCGCCCCAGCCTGTTACTGACTGCACGACCGTCGGTTCAGTCGGACCGTTACTCAGTCTCAAGTTCCTGCTAACATATATCATCAACAAATGCTGGAGGGTATTTTGATGACGTCTCTTGCCTGGCCGACACAATCAGCTAACCCGGCCCTTGTCACGTCCTCCAATCGCTTTTCCGGGTGTCACCAACCATGTTTTCTGACCTTGGCATACCCCATTGACAATACTTTTAATGTCTTGCTAAAGTTCTTTACAACACGAGGCCAGCGCAAAGGTCCGCCCTGCATAGAGAGCTAGGCATCTCTACTGGCGAACTCCTCAACGACACCACTCTTTCCGAGCGGAACTTCTTTCAGAAAATGTTCATTCCAGCATCTTCTCCAGGGACTTAACGACCCACGACATGGCCGGCCGCGCATGAGGCGGCTGACGCCAGCACTGCGTCATCAGCTCGTGCCATGCGGGCTCGCGCCGTGCCCACGCGGCGTCGATTGGCGGCCGCTCCTTCCTCTGGACGGTGGCTGCAGCGGTGGCGTCCGGAACAGTGAGTCCGCAACAGTGTGTCCGAGATAGTTTGTTCGAACCAATGTGTCCGAAACAGTGCACCCCAAAGCAAGTGGGGACCGAGAGAGTTGAGTTCGAGACAGCTCGAAAAGGTACTATTTTGAAACAGGGGTCCAAAGCAGTCTTGAATGAAGAGCCAGGAAAATGTGTTGTCAACAGGAGTCCGGAACAGCGAATTCGAGACTGTGACCCAAAATAGCGTGTTAAGAAGAGTTCAAAAGAGTGGGTTTGAATGGAAACGTGGCAGCATGCCTTGGCAACAACCACCTGTTTCAGCGTTTTCTTCTGATAAGAAGCGACCGTCCGGCCCCCGTATTTGGCCCAACCGACACTATACGCAGTCGCCCTACGTGGCTTATGGCGCTGTTTGGCCAACAGGATCAACTTCAAAAAACTCCCTTCTCAGCTACAAGCCATGCTTTACAGGACTTTTCGACTCAAAACTCAAGAAGGATAATAATGAGTCAAGATAATGATAAGGTCCGATTGATATAAAAACCCTAACCCAAAGGGTACCTGCTCCGCACCCACCCTAACTACCAGACGATCTCTACCCGTCCCAATGCGGTTACCTCAATATTATCTCGGATTATTATGGGTTTCTTGGGTTCAACCTTTTCGAACGCTTCTGAAGCAGTCTTAGGACATGTTTCGTTCGAGGGGACTTCTCGACCAATGCGCTTTCGAACAGTAGAATTCAATTGAGGGACGGTCAGAAACGGCCCGAGGGATCCTCTTTTCAGTCGGTTGAGATAAGCACCCCTTGCTCAGCTCAAACCATCGGACGAGTCCAAAGGAGCTTTGGACCCGAACCTAACCCCTCTTTCCTTACGAAAAGGTTGCACAAATCACAAATTCGATGAAAAGGTTCTCTCCTGACGTCCGCAGATCTGCAAATACTGGGCTTTGAGCACACGACACCCACCTTTGATCTCTTCATAGTCCATCCCGTCGTGAGGGTCCGTCCCGATCAGCAGCTTCCACATGAGGATTCCAAAAGAGTACACGTCCACCTGGCACAAGGAAACGGTGACACGTGTCATGCGTCCAACGCATCGTCGTCCGTCATGAAGCATTCAGGTTTGGAATTAAATTTACAATGAGGTCATGGAGGCGGGATACGAAAGTGGCCTAGGCTTCTCTGTTAACCTTTTTACTTCTCGTTCAGTTTCCTCTGCTTATCTCACGCCTAAACTATCCGGTCAGCAAAGCACCTCCAGTTCGACTTACTGGAAGAAAGCAGGAAATTGCTGTAATCGACTTTACAATAGCAGACCGCATTTCAATCACGAAGCTCTATCCGAGAAAGAATGCAGGACGATAAGGAATTCGGGTTGTCTCCCCTTTGTAAAAGCTCGCACACGATCCAGGCTCTTACCTTGGTGTTCGCCGGCTTATTGCTGAGCATGAGCTCCGGGGCCATATACGCTATGCTTCCCCTGCCCTTATAGCGTATGGGCGCCCCCTTGGGATCCCACGCCACTCCGAAGTCGCTCAACTGCGCAGAGAACGATCCGCCGGTCAGCATATATACACGGAATCGCTGCTGCTTATGTCAGACTACGGCTGCGTATATAAGCCGAGGGCTGCTTCTATGCAGATTTGGGCTGCTTTCACAAGGTTGCAGCTGCTTATGTAAGATTGCGGCTGCTTACAGGAGACTTCGGCTGCTTATATCCGGATTGTTGGTCCACGAGAGCCTTTTCACCGTCATTTTTGAGATTTACCTGTCGGCCGGCTGATTCGAGCTTCATAGACACCAATCATTATTTCAACCGAGAACTTTTGTCAACCGATCCTGCATCGCCCTTGCCGTTCAACAAAATCGCTTTAAACCCTAGCTTTTGCCAGGACAGTTATTGAACCAACCTCGGCATGGGACTTCCTAAAGCACACGTATTCGACGTTGTTCTAAAGAGTGGTTAGCCGACAACCCATGCGACCAAATGGGAAACGAATTTCAGAAACTGCCAGAAAAAGTGGGTTAAGCGGGGGAGTTTGCTAACCCACCCTGCAGCTGCCTCGCCGGTCCACCAGAATGTTTTCCGGTTTGACGTCGAAGTGGATGACCCCCTGCGCGTGCACGTGCGCCAGGCCACGTGCCACGTCCAGCGCGCAGCTCACCCGGAAGTCGAGCGGAATTCCGCCGTCGCTTTCGCTGCAACAAAGGGGTGAGCGGAACAGGGTTTGAGGAGTTCGGACGTCCCGCACGCTGCTCGCCCGAACGGCAGGCGAAATTCCGCCACAAACAAAGGATGGAGCGGAACGGTATGAGAAGAGCTTGGATGTTCCGCACGCTGGTCGGCCGGAAATCGAGCCGAATTTGCCGTTGCTTCCGCTGCCAATACAGAGGTTGAGCGGAACAGGGTTAGAGAAGCTCCGACGTCGCTCGCCCGAAGATTGAGCGGGATTCCATCGTTGCTTCGGCTCCCAAGACAGAAGTTTGAGCGGAGCAGGATAAAAGGAGCTCTTGCTGATTCTTTGAGCTCCAAATCGAGTGCCCGTTGAAGAGTTGCAGATCAGAGATTGCCGATCAGTAGGAGACTGGGAGAAGTTGTAAAGGAAGGAATGAAAGCAGACGAATCCGCAAGAGGCCGCGCTTTCGTTACTTCCACCGACATTTTAGAAACTTTTGCGAATTTCCGATTGACCCCGTTTTGTTAATTCGAACTGAGGCGATACCGAACGAAGACTGCTGGAAACGAGAAGGAAAGACGAAATAGGAATGGAGGACTTGCAGATTAAACGTAGATAAAAGCGAAGGAACCCCGGAGAAGGCGCGCGCTTACCTCAGTTGCTCCAACATATCCTTCAACTCTTGCGCGTCTATTATGAACTCCATGACGACTGCACCGTCGGGACGGCCCCAGCTGCGTGACGTGGCGTTTCCCCACGAGGGGAACGGGGCCAGCCCAAACACTTTGACGACGTTCGGATGTTGACACCGCTGCTGGAGCTCGGCCTGCAGATAAGTAGAAAAAGAAATAATGGTGTCAGTGAGAGTGAGTAGCCAACATGGCGGCTGTTGCTGGTCTGCGAAAACCACTGATTGTTGCAGGGGAAGTGTTTCTTCAAGGAAAGGGAGTCTGAGCGACACCCCTTTCAGCGCTCAGCCTGCGGGAAAGCTGAGAATGGTCCGTTGTGGAAACGGAAAAAGGAGATAATGGGAAGCAGGCATTGCTTTTGCCGCCGCTGCCAAGCGCTAAACGCGGAATAAAAGCTTTTTATGACAGACTCAAACGGCGTTTGTTGGGACACTTCTAGAGTGGTGCTTAAGAGCAAGAGTCCGTCAAACGGAGCTGTGTAAAGAGAAAATATGCGCTTGGTGACGTCTGCTGGATTGAGCGTACAGTAATCAGAAACAAGGGATTGCATTCTTCTGAACATTTGATAAGCTTAACAACAACGTACTCGAAGTCGAGCATGAGGGTGCGTTGGAGGTTTTAGAGCAATACAAAGATATACCGAGCACTGCGGCTTTTTGTTTCATTGAAAGGCTTCTAGCTCTTGAGTTTGCGGTTAAAAGGGTCAGGAAAGTGGTCTTCAACTGAGGAGAGGGGTCAATCTAAAATGAAAAACGGGAGCATATGAGTCCTTGCATACCTCAGTCCGAAAGTCTTGGTAGCTCATCTCGAGATCATTTTCCATCTCTATCATGGCGTCACTCAGGAGCTTCACGGCGGCTCGCCCAACTCCGCTGACCTCAGCCTCGTAGACCTTGCCCCATCGGCCGTCGCCCAGTTCTCGAATCGCCTGCAAGATCAAAAGAATCCGATTAATAAAAAAAGTCATTTTTCTTTCTCGTTTTTCTGGTTTCCTCCATGGGAGGAGGGCATTTCCTTTCAAAATCACAACATCCCATAGTTCCAGAGAAGACTTTAAAATGAAACTTTGCTACTGAAACTAACTCTGGAAATTACCATATTTATGCTCCTGGCCATCCCAGCATCACGTCAACAAGTTACGAAAATGTAGATTAACCTCTGGTGACTGATTTGCATGTTCAATGAAAGCAGGTCAAAGGACTGACTTTCAGGAAGCGGGTGTCAAGGTTGCTCGGCCTGTTGTTGTTGCGTTTCGAATCTCTACGTTGAGCCGACGTTGCATGGGCATCCTGAAGCCTCAAGAGCCATAGTCGCTCATTCCCCAATCTCCTTACACAAGATTAAATTATCGCGGGGCACAACAATATCCAAAAGCTGCCTCCAAAAAGTACAGAATTCAGCAGGTAAGTCCCAGGAGTTAACCTCACCTCTCCTACGATCATTCTGCTCTCCTCCTGCGGCAAGGCGCCCTCATCTAATGAATCACTCCTTTTGGGATTCTGCATTACTTTTCCTCCCTCTGCATTTGCGCTCGCATCATAAGGGCAGCTATTTGCCAAAAAATCTGGACTGCTGTGGTTCGAGCAGACGGAGAGCCCTGTGGGAGGGCTGTGCGACACTTGCGAGTCCCTGTCAATCCCTCCAACCTGTAAAAATACAGGGCCTCAGTAAGTGACTAAATAGATGCGGGCGCCCATGCAGTCTTTACAGCTTGCTTTGCCAAGGGCAGCTGATCAGAGCAAGTTTGGGGCTTGCTTCTAGCGCTTGTGAGTGCTGTTCAGCATTTTCCCATTTGATAACAGAATGCAAAGAATAGCCCATGCTGCCATCTAGCACAACGTATTGCGCACTATGAATGAATCAGTATCAAAGAACGGGCCTTTGTGACTTGGAATCAAAGCCTTTCTGGCGCCTGAACGCTTCAGTTGTCCTTTAAACGGCGAGAGATCGGCCTAACTTTCTTCGGGGAACCTTCCATTAGTCTCCTTCCCTATCGACGAGGCCTTTTGCCATGTCCTTTTCAGACCACTTTCTAAAGCTTTCTCGGGGCAGCTAGTAGATCTTACTGTCCTTTTTGACAACCACCACTCACTTCGTGGTACAAGCATACACACTTCAACAGGGCTTGGTGTTTAGCAAGACTCGGTTCTTCGGAGCAATCCCATTCCCAGCCCTCACCTCTGCAAATAGCTGAGCCCCGCTGTCTCCACTGCACCGCTCTACTGGAGTCGCTCTGACCAAAGCGCCCCAAAAAGCAACGCACAACAAAAGCACCTGAAGTGCAGTCCCCCCTTTCAGTGTCATTGCTGGCAAGCATAGGTTCTCTCTCCCAGTTTCCAACCAACAAATGTCCTGCTTCAAACCTCTCCTTCGCTTCGCAACCATTTTGTTGGACTCAAACAGAGTCTAAGGCTGGTTCCAGTCAGCTTAGGTGCAAAATATGAAGGTTCGTCTGAGCACGCAGTTATCAAGAGAACCTTCCTTTCAAAAACATCCCAGTTGCAGGCCTCCTTTGCTTGCTGACTCTTGTAAGAGCCTTCTTACAGCAAGCCTCTGATGATTGACACTACTTTACGGACACTTTGCTGTGAAGGCTGTACGAGAGCAGGTTATTGAAGAAAGCTCAACGGATACAGGTCAAGAGATGAGGGTAATCTTTGGCAGACTTCGGAAGCCAGCAGACTTCAACAAGACGGTTCAAAGAGCTGGCGCTGCAGTCTTCATCAAGCAGAACTGTTGGTCTTTGAGTACTAATGATTCTGCCATCCAAGCAGCATCCAAGGCATCCAACAGAGGAGAAACATCAGAGGAGTGGAAACCTTGCAATGCTGCGGGGTTTGAAACGTTTTCTCTCAGAATCAGAGCAGAGCTCATGAATCTTGAAATTGAAGCGCAAGTCTGAGTCTTTAGCTGATTGCAACTGGCCGATGACGGTTCGTTAGGGTTCCGTCAAAAAGCCTGCCTTCCCTTGACTGCTTTGGGTTTCGTCCTCCCGGCAGCGCCCGGCAAAGTTGACGGCTTTGAAAGAGCCAGCCCCTACTTCCCCGGAGGTCCCCGCCCGAAAGAGTCGGCCCAATCGACGGCTCTACGATAGGCCACTGGATCCTTAACTCTATATTGACCGTCGAACGATGCGGATTGCGCGGCGAGGTTGAGGCCGTCACAAATCCAGAACTCCAGGATGATCCCTCTCCGCCGGTCAGCCCCGTCCTTGACTCCTTGGTGATCACAACATGTTGCATGCTGATTCCGTGACACTCAAACTAGTCAAGGCTTCAAGCGCATTCACAAATAAACAAACAGCTTTGTTGTTGCATGAACGCCACACCCTACGCAATCGTAAGCTGAAGCTGAAAGAACGCGGCGTGGGTGAGTAAGTTGATGAGTTCGCGGGGTCCCCATCCACAATGATATCCACAAGCCATTAAGTGAGGGACACAAATTTATCATCATTGGCATGCATCAAGTAATCAAGCATCAAGCATCAAACATCAATACTCGATATTTGTCCCGACCTAGCTGCAGGGTCACTGAATGAGCCCGTTCCCTTCTGCATTGGCACATTTTGATATATAAGTTATGGCGCATGTGCAGTATGCCTAAGTGAGTTGCTCACACAAGCTACCTATGGTGGGTCTCGACGGTATCGACCGCGCGACGGTCCGGTCTCAAATTTCTTACACCGGTGTTACGTGTCGCGACGAATTGTGTACGCGGCACTGACGACCGTACTCGGCAGTACTTGAGAATCAGGTCTGAGTTCATGAATTGAACTTTTTCTGACACGTCGATCAACGGTCAAGTGCGTACTATGCGGAGGTACGGTACCGCTCGAGTCTGCGCGTACATCGATTATGAAATTTATGGTCTTGGTCGGAACTTCCGACTTGAACCACGCAGGAGTACCGCGGTACCCAGACTGAAAGGAGAGTGCAGGAATTTGATAGAGCAGTGTAAGGAAAGGCGCTCTGCAAAAATCAACAATGGCGGCCCACTTTGCGCCTCCTATGCTGTTTCTTGAGATTTGTCCTGAACAAAACATGATGTTGGAGCTTCAAAGGACCTCTAATGACGCCCTTTCAACATTTTTTTTTGCTTGTCAAAGGTTTCTATAAGCTGCATAAGCCTCCTCATAGTGTGGCATTTTTATGCTTCTGTCAAAGTGTAAATCAAAACACTCTGTTACACCATTATGACACTCGGTTACGGCCGAGCAAGATTTTGAAAGTACTCGTTGGGTACATGTTACGGAAGTCCGAGTCGTCGTAACGTGAACCGCCGGTACTACTGACGAAATTTGATACCGGGTCCCACATTTTCGTCGCGGTTTGAGTCGAAGTCGACTCGGCCGGGACCCACCATAGGTAGCTTGTGCAAAGGCAATTCCAACACACCGGCGGCCTACAGTAGCTTCAAATGCAATTCGTATATGAAGCCACCCATTTTTATACGCGTAGATCATTACTTGCCTTGGAATAATCAAGCGAGCGCCAAGATGGTGTGTGACTCAAGATCGCACATCATGCTCAGAAAGAAATCTGGCAGCTTCAATCATTCAGGTCAACCTCTACCGAGCATATTAGCGCCATAGCTAGTCTAAGTTGTTGCGATACTAACGTAGGTGGGCCGAAATTATAGCATGTCACTGCCATGGATCAAACGCATGCATGCAACCTATAAATATCCCGCAACAACGGTCACCTATCAGGCCGGGCCATTCTCAAGATGGTCCAAATAACAAGGATTGCGGCAAAATATAGGTTGCGCACCTTCACACATGAGCGCCATGTATTTCCACGAATCTTGGACGTCCTTGCTCGAAAATTACAAGCTACTTGCGCATGATATTGAGTACATGCAGCCTGTGGCAAGTTGACAACCAGTTGGTGAAAATAACTTGCCGAAATAAATAATAAATTGTTCTTTTAGAGGAAGTAGGCCGTTCCGACCTACCGATGGTCAACTCTGAAAACTTGCAAGCTGATTATCAAGCTTGCAAATGGTCATCTGCTGAAGTAAGGTGGTTCATAACGCAACTCCCATCCTTTCAAAGGATTGGTTTAGCCTAACAGCTCACTTAACGTGGGGCGTCGCAAAAAGTTTCTTCTACTAACTCCCACATGAGATGGTCCATTGCCCCTACCGACACTTTATTGAAAAACTTTCAGGAACATTTAACCAGACTAAATACACACCTTTATCGAGCTTCTGCCTGGGAACCTTTTTGGTGTTTTTTTGAGCTTTGGACAAAAGCTCGTCAACATTACCAGCACAATGTGCCGACACTGCCGCATATGCACTTGGCAACCCCGTGCGCAATCCATCTCAAACGCAACAACAATGTAAACGACGCTCCAAAAAGGTGAATGCGTTACTTGATTTAGCAGCCCTAGTGCCAACCCAGGCCGTAATCTAGGAAAGCCACGAGCCCAATCGACAGAGGATAGAAGGCCAACATGACGAAAGCGTGCCACAGCTTGAGCGTACGTGCCTGAGAGCCCATGATGCCGAGGCTGAGCACAGTCACCATGATGACGGTCACCTGCGTCAGGCACATGAGTAGGAATGATTAAGCTACGTGGTTAGGCGGAGGTACATTGTCAGCTAACCCGGCCAAGCGGAGGAAAAGTTGGTGAATCCATGTGGTTAGGCCAAAAGGATACACTGGCGAAGCCACGTGGTGAGGTCAAAAACAGCATGGTCTAACCAGGTGGTTCATACGTCAGCGACGGCCTCGGACCACTGCCGCCTTGTCCAGCGACCAAGAAGCCCGCGTGCAGCTGCTCGAGTCGCTGCGATTCGCACGTGCTGGAAAGCTACAGGACATCGAAGCCGCCGCGAAAGTCACGTGAGTCAAGTGCAAACCACAGATGGTTAACTTCTCACCTCGGACGAGAAGTCCCACATGAGGCCCCGGAAGAAGACCAGCGCCAAGAAGACGCCGAGCGCCAGGGAGTTGTTCATGGTCACCGCTCCGTACACCTGCGGACAGTGACGGGAGTGAAAACTTAGGTAATGGAAGCTGTACGTCAGCTTTTGGCGCTGAGCTCAGAGTGTTGCTTTGTCGTGGACCGTCAACGGCGAAAGGTATGGGAAAGAAGGTCACCCGCAATGCACACGCAGTTCTTTGGCATGATTCCAAGGATTTAAGCAAACAAGTAGAGTGATAGAGGCCGAACAGCGTCGTGGGTTCTGAAACCAGCTGCTTGGATCAAGTATAACGATATTGGAGGGAAAGGAATTGCGAGATGCAAGCAAGTACGAGGTCCAGAAGGAGCTTAAGCGCAGGCAAGCGTCGGACAACTTGTGATGAATAAGAGAACATGGAAAGTGGGAGACGGCACGGAAGAATCGATTCTATTTCAAAGCAGATGATGAGCACGAACGGGCGCCGATCACCTACAGGACTGGCCTGGTGAGCATTTTAAAGAAGCACGCATTCCCAAGGGTGAGAATGAGCGGAGAAGAGCGGAACGAGAAAGACCCAAGAGAGGATAAGTAAACAACTTTTGTCCATATCCGGGATTTACAGAGGCGACTTCCATAGACGAGTCTTGGGCGTGCTGGGCCAAACCTAAAGAACCAGAGAAACAGAGATGGACCGACCAAGCGCTCTTATTCTGCATCGACGAAGAAAGCCAGACCGGAAAGGAAAGGAAAGAGATTGCCTTGGACAATCACAAAAGAGACGATCTGAGAGCGTCACCTGCGCAAAGGTGAGGGAGATCTTCTTGGACTGCTTCTTAGAGGCGATGAGGAGGGACGACACCAGCTCGCTTGCGTTGGATGCGAAGGGGGTCACGACGAACGAGACGAAGAACGGCGGGATGGAGGACTCGCGGGAGAAGATGGTGATCGAGTCGACCTGCGGAAGAGGCGAGGGTTTTGGGTTCATGAGTAAACGACCGGGTTTTCTAACATGAGAGTTTGCGGGAGAAGACTGTGATCGGGGCGACCTGAAAGAGACGAGGGGGTTTTGGGCTCATGGGTTACGACAAGGATGTAAATCAAGCGAGGGGTTGCGTCAAGCTCGCCGGAGAAGATGGGTGATTGAGTCGACCTGAAAAGAGGCCAGGGTATTTATTGGTTCGTGGGCTAACGACCAGGCTTTCTGAGATGAGAATTTGCGGGAGAAGATGGTAATGGGGGCGACCTAAAAGAGACGAGGGGGTTTGTATGCTCAAGGGTTATGACAAGGATCTGAAACACAATAAGCTAAGGGTCGCGTCAAGACTCGGGAGAGAAGATGGGTAATCGGTTCGACCCGCGGAAAAGGTGTGGGGCTTCAAAACTAGGAAGGGCGGGTCCAGGTTGTACAGATGTGAGTCCTCCCTAGATCCAACTAAGCAAAGATGGAGATTATGTCGACCTGTACTTTTCCAGGGAATGGCAGTACTCACCAGGGGGTCGGAGAAGACTCCAATGAGCGCCGTCCCAAGCACGAGCAGCATCGTGGCTTTCAGCGCAATGGCCTGCTTGCTGGGCGGCTCCTTCTGCTCGTCGCTGTCGTCATCGTCGTCGTCATCCGCCCCGGCGCCGTTGGGCAGGAGCGCCTGCTCCAGGTCGAGGTCCGCCTGGCTGGTGGTGCGGTTGGGCGTCACCTGAGTGACGTCAGCAGGAAGGTGACGTCAGCAAGCTATGCATTCTTCAGGAGGCGGCTCGCGTCTCCCTCTCGATAGGCGGAAGCGCCTTTTCCTCGATGCAACTTTCAAAGGTCGGCTCTCACTCTCGACGACAGCAAGGGATGACGTCAGCGGACAGATCACATCATTCAGAAGTCAGCCCCTGGTTGATGTCTCTATTTGTGTCTCGCCCTTCTTGGCCCCGACTGGCTTCTCGAAAACGCGTCCGCTCTGCAAATACGACTAAGCAACATACAGGTTGCACGGAAACCGTTTGCTGCAGGCAGAATGAAAAGGCGCGCACGGGGTCTCCAAACAGAAGACAACGCACCAGCTTCTCCACCGGGAGTAGAAGTAAGAAGGCAAACCGAAAGAATCTGAGAAGCGGAACCCAAAGAATCTAAGAAGCCAAAGCCAAAGAATCCGAAAAGCGAAACCCAAAAAGTCTGAGAAGCGAACCCAAAGATCCTGGGAGCCAAACCTACAGAACTTGAGAAGCGGATCCCAGAAAGAAACAAGTAAAAGGCTTACGGCGCTGGCCCAGCGGGACATGCCCTTGACGAACTCTTCCTCGCCAATGCTGCCGCCCTTGTCCTCGTCGAACTGGTTCATCCAGTAGTCCACGTCACTTTCCTCGACCTGGTAGTTCTTGGCGGACAGCGACATTCCGGTGACCATGGCCTGAACAGAAAAAGAGAAGATTCTCAACGAAGGAGGTTGACCTACTGGAGGCGGATTTTCCCGGCTAGACATAGTCTATTTCACTCTCCTTGACCTGGTTGTTTTGGGTAAGGAGAGACATTTCCGTGACCATGGCCTGAATAGTAGAGAAGAGGAGTCTCAGCGAAGTAATAATGAAGTATAATGACCTACTGGAGGGGGTTCCCTCAATGGCTACAGACATAATCCATGTTGCTCTTGTTGACCTCGTAGTTCCTGGGAGAGAGCGACATTCCGGTGACCATGGCCTGAAGAGAAGAAAAAGGAGTCTCAGCAAAGTGGTTGACATTGGAGGCGGATTTTTTTCGGCTACACATAGTCCAAGTCGCTCTCGCGACCTGGTCGTTCTTAGCGGAGAGTGACCATGGCCTGAACAGAAGAAAAGAGGAGTCTTAACGAACTGGCTAAAAACTGGAGGCGAATATCGCGGCGGCTACACACAGTCCACGTCACTCTCCTCGACCTGGTAGTTCTTGGCGGAGAGAGACACTCCGGTGACCATGGCCTGGACAGAAAAAGAGAGCTTTCTCAACAAAGTGGTTCACACAACGGAGGCGATTTTCTCGGCACATACACATAGTCCATGCTGCTCTTGTTGACCTCGTAGTTTTTTGCGGAGAGAGACATCCGCGTGACCGTGGCCTACATAGAAAAAGAGAGGATTGTCAGCGAAGCGGTTGCGGAATTGGAGGCGGATTTCTTTGCGGCTACACGTAGTCCATGTCGCTCTCGTTGACAAGGTAGTTCTTGGCGGAGAAAGACGTTCTCGTGACCATCGCCTGAAGAGGAGGTAGAGAAAAGGAAATAGACGATTTCAAACCGGACAGGTTAACGAACTGGAAGGCAACGCATGTAACGTCCATGTCTTTTCCTACACATGGGAGTTGATGAAAGCCTTCGCCAAAACCCAGGTCAATCCATGAGTTTTACCTCTGTAAATTCCCTTGTGATTATAGCCTGAAGAGGGAAGACATTCAGCGGACTGACTGACACACTGGAATCCGGCCTTCTCGGAAACCATAAGACGTCCACGTCTTTCTCTCGACCTGGTAGTTCACAAAACCCGTATCATGAATCCGAGGTCAAGAGAACTTTTTCAACCAGAAGCAAGGTCTGGGTGAAAAATTTGCCAGAAACGGACTTTTCGGCAAGTAGAGGGACATGCCCGTGACGATGTCATAATGTCTCCTGAAGTTGAATGCTCTAGGTGGTTGATCGGCCTGGCTTACGGCCCATGATAGCGCTTCACGACACAATATTGAGCGCTGACAACACTCCCGCGACCACAACATGTGAAATTAAAAATGATTGGAGTGATCAAGCAAAGTCAGCACAGGACGTATGATACTTTTGGCTTGACCATGGCTCAATGAGAACAATACCAGGGGATATCACGAGGGATCCAATCTGGATCGAGGCAACCTGGCACGTAGATAGAAACACACATTCGTGGCCAGCCAAACATATCTCAAGCACCCCCTGGATTGAGGCAACCTGGCCCGAAACAATTCGCAGGACAACAAACAGCTCTTCAGGCCGTCGTATTTGGCAAGTGTAAAGCTGAAGCCGATCTGAGTCCCGTAAAACGATGACGCACCTTGATCTCATCAGCGTCGATCTCCCCGTCCCCATTTCTGTCGATGATACGGAAAATATCCTTGAGCACAAGAGGATTGATGTTGCCATTTGCGTCGTACAAGTCCTTGCCGGTGCTACCTGCAAATGAGGACGATACCGGTTCGGATATATTCGTCTCAACATTTTGCAGTCCACCATGCGGAAGAGCTTTGGGCTAAGAACATTTCAGCGCGTTTGCCGGAGAACCATACAGTCACTGGGTAGGTATGCAGAAAAATAGCCAAGACAGTTTTTTGCGCTTCGTCTACTAACCGGTATTGAAAGCCAATTGAACGGTTCCGATGAGAGGGTGAGCAAGAGCAACGGCTATAAAGTAAACAAAAACCAAGGGACACACATTCGAAAGTCCAGCTTATACAAAAGCAGGCAAGCAACCAGGGACTCTCGGTTGCTCCTTCCTCTTTGTATACCTGTCGTTTAGAATCTCGTATACCCTATGTTCTTTTCGGGACCGCGGTCCAGTTGCCGCGCCTACAGAATTTATGCGTCAGGTTGGCATCGAGTTCCAAAATTCCGGCCCCACTTTTTTGATCGTGGACCACACAAACGACGATTGGACGACATCAACGGCTCAACATTAGCTAGAGCAATGTGACTCATAAGTTGAGCTGTAACTGGCAAAGTGATAACATGTTAGGCCGCCTGGTGGCGGCGGTGGCTTGCCTCTTTGGTTATGAAAGGTGGAATATCGGCGATATGCTGACCTTGGAGTTCCCTTGTGTCGAAGGAAAGAAGCGGGTAAGAGGTCTGAAGACTTCGACACAGCGTACTGTTTGCTCGTAAACACTGCCTAAACGTAGGTAAGTCGACTTGATACCGCGGTGGCATTTAGCATTACGGCGTTACGTCAGGTCATCGGTCGGCAGCGCGGCCGAATTCGACGATATGTATGTGCCAAATTTGCGCCGCCGCACGGGGCGGTCGAGAGGTCGGGTGTTTTGCAGGTGCGGGCGAAAATGAGGAGTTACTGTTCGTTTTATCGGCGATTGCGAGTCGCAAATTTGAACCGCCAGACTCGGCTCAGTCCGCCGCGCATAGCGGCGTCGTACAGCGTCGCCCGAAGCGCGGTCGTTGTCAGAACGATATCTCCCCTTTATTGAAATAACAAAGAGGCAAGCCAATATCGATAGGAGCTTGACGACCCTCACCTGCTAGCTTGTGGACGTGACCCACGGCATACCGGCGCAGGAAGTTCTGGCGCGCGAAACGGATGCGCCGCTTCTGGAGCTCAGGAACCAGGACCTGCAACGAGAGCGGAAAGAGTTTTGGTCAAAGAGGAATTATCGGGCAGCCTCGGAGAGCCTGTTGGTCGTCAGAACGCGTGTCCAGATACGCAGTCTCCTTGAAGCGTATACAGATCATACATGTTTGTCGGGGTGAAGAAAGAGGGAAACTTAATCCAAACCAGAAATCCTGTATCCTTCGGCTAGATGGATGGCCTGGCAAAGTCCGTGCCCCTCAAAACAAAACTTAACCAGTCCGGACAAAGGCAGCGGCGATCCGGTTTTAGAGTTGTCGAGAAGTCATACAACTCAGGGCTCGTAGAGCCATGAAGCAGTCGCTTTGGATCTTGTCTGCAGAGCCAGCTTCGCAGCTTCTCGAAAGGAACGTCTCTGAATGCAGGCGCGAAAACCCAACTTTTTCTAGCTATGAGACACCACGCCGGTGAATTTACTTCCCCGTCCAGAGCCTGAAAATACTGCCGTAGTAGCAATGTAGCAATCCCAGACGAGAAAATTGGTTTCTTTTCATCCTCGTCCACGTTCAAGCGGCTGTGATTCAGCGGCAGGGGTGCAGAAGGTAAGTTATCTTTGGCTTCCCGAACATTTGCCCTAAAATCACGAGAGACCAACGCTTTCGACAAGAATCTTCAATTGAGCAATAGTAAGCTTTAGCAATAGTAAGCTCACCAGCCTGGGACGGGTAGGGTTAGTCTGGGGGTTAGGGTGGATTCGGGTGCGGAGCGGGTGATTTTGTAGGTTAGGTTTTTAGTGTTAGTGTTGGAGCTTACTAATGCTAGGGCTTACTATTGCTAAAATAAAAAGACAGTCTTTCGACTCTGTGCCTTGGTCCAACAATCCATCGAGGAGTAACAGGCACATGCCACGCACTGGTAGGTATTCAAACCGGTGAACATTCGACATCTCAGAGAAGAGTGTGACGCCACCGCGATCTTTGAAACAAGGCTAGGAAATCTGACAGTCGATTCGCAGCACGACGACTGTCAAACGATACCGTCATCAAAAACGCATCAAGTGGCACGCTAAAAAGCATCCGAAGTCCAACCACTGTTGATGCATGCGCCTTACCTGGTAGACGCAGTACGCCGCGAGGGTGAGCGTTGCGAGGACGAGGCCAACCAGATCAACGATCGGATCGCGGTTGTGGCCGAATACGGCGGGGACTTGCACAACTAGGTACAGGAAGACGGTTCCCAGCATTATGATGGCGTTCCGGGGAGTCTCGCTGGAATGGAAAGGAGAGAGGATAATTCAGCATAGAGCTGGTAAAGCAGAGGCAAAATCTTTCCTGCTTGGCAGAATGTCAGGTCGTAGTTGCCATATGGAACCAAAGGCGAAAAGCAGGGATGGAGGAGGGATGATGCAGTGCCGGACGAGTGAGGTGCTGAAAGGGAGGACTGCGCTGGCGAGCGAACCTGTGAATTAAACTGAAAGAAGGAAAGGTACGACAGGAATCGTGACAGCTTCTGCAAGGAAGAGGCTTGATGTAAGCCTTTATCGTTGGCAGGGGCACAAAACAAACTACATCTTATCTAACTCGTTGATGTTTCTGTCAGCATGAACCAATTGACAGAGGCTTTCTGCCTTCGAATCATGATGTTCCTTACACCCAGCAAAGCAATAGACCAGGCTTGGAGAGCAACGAGGCACTTGCGTAAAGATTGGACACTTAGCAACTAGCTTAGACCCTTGAGCCCCCTGAACGTTGACAACTTTCAAGCTGAAGTTCTTAACCAAAAATTTCGATGTTGCAACTTACACGTCCGTTGACACCCCAGTCTCCGTCAGGCTCCAACCCTTAGTGAGCTTCCTGTTAATAGCGAGCCCGTTCTCGCCGATGTCACAACGCCCTGCTATGAGTGAACCCCCCCAGGCGATCGTGCACAGCATGATGGTGGATCCTGCGAGTGTCCCCACCCCCACAGCAACTTGTTCCTGTACGCTCGGAATTAAGGTCAAATTTAAGGATGTGAAACCTGTCTCTGTCATATTGAAAAGGTAAGAAATTAACTTCATGTGGTTGACGCTTGGTGAAAAGCAGATGCCTGCTCAGATGCGGTCTGTAATAAGCACAAATGCTACATCACGCCAGGCACAAGAGGATTCAAGAGAAAAGGAAGGAGAGGGAGTGAAGCAGACAACACAAAGGGCTGATGATGTGGACCAAGCGCGGCTGGCTTGCAGTCATGTTCATTCTTTTCCTGGGCCTAGCCAGTGTCTTAACGGGTCCGCAGGTTACTTGCCAGGGGTGTGGTACTTTTAGACCGTCCTTTTAAAGTAGATATGTGTTTGCAGAATTCAACATGGCCGCTCTAGCTTTTGATTCACCAGCTGCAGTTACAAACTGCAGCTTGGTCGACCAGACAGGGGGACTTGGCCGGAAAAGCGGACGCCAAGTATAATTGACAGATCGAAATAGAAGATGGGAATGGGACGAGGAAAGTTCAAAGAGCAGACAGAAAGGGATGTTGGGCCAGGTGGGGCATATGCAAATGGGGTGGATGCTAAGAAGTGAGCAGAAGCTACGAGAAGCATATGATGCATAGACGCCGTCTTACCTGGGCCTCCTCTACGGTGCCCCCGATGCCAGACATCAGAATGATAGCACAGTCTGGCAGAGCTCCCAGGATTGGCAGCAGGAGACCTCCGATGAGGCCAGGGTTCAGAACCTGCCAAAGACAAAAACAGTCAGGACGTGGACTGTGTTCGACATGCATTCTTCCCCTTTCTTTGTCGCTTGTCTTTCCTTCCACATTCCAGCTGCAAAGGTCCTGGTCGAAAATTGATCAAAGAGTAGTTGCTGGAACTCGAAAAATTGTGCGTTCTGTAACGATCGATGGAACACTCGCTCATGCTCTAGTGCCTGATCTCAAAGATCCAGACTCGTAACAAGTCAACAAAGGCTCAGCAAGAGGTCACTTTGAGGCAGATGTTGACAGCTAACGCGGCATTGCATCTGTTATGCCTGACTCAAGCTGCAATGCACTTGCCCCCAAGAAAGCAAGGTTGAGAGACATTCTCAAAAAGAATACCTTAAGCTTAAAAGATGTGGTATTGGAGGAGCTCTGAATGCAACCAACATGTGCCTCGTTGTCCGTCGTATTGAGCAGCACAATTGGACCAGAGGAAAATTCTTTCAGAGGCTATCGCTCTTAACATTCCCCTCATCAAAGAAGCTAATGACAGGGTCCCTTGGTTGACTCTGCTAGAGACTTACTTGAGGGCCTAATCATAGGAAAAGTAGCGACAGTACGTCATTACAGAGGGTCTTGATGACGGAATGATTATTTGGATTGTAAAGTAGCGCCACTTTGCTTTCTGAAAAAAAAAAAGGATCTGCCTGCTGACCCTGGCAGACAATAAAGTTTGTCTTCATGTCTACAAAGAAAGGTGATTTTCAGATTCTTGATGTATGTGGTCACTAGTATTGTGTTCAGAGATTTTGGAATCATCATGGAAGTTTCCCCGTGCTCAAAAAGTCTGCAAATAGACCAATTGTCTCGAGTTCACTTAGATGGTCATCCAATTGACTCTCCTCCACATACATGAGCACTGGAAGAAAAGGAGGTAAATGCACACAGGTAATCTGCAGAGTTTGACGCCAGTGTGCTTGAAAATTGAGAACAGCATTGGGATCTGATCATCAGCACAATCTCAGAGAAGGAATATAAATATTGAAGAGGGGCAATGCCAGCTCACCTCAAGCAGCAGCTCGCTCCCATCTGAGATCAGATTGGCCCCCTGGAGGAGGATGTAACCATAAGCTACAATTAGCGAGACGCTGCCTGCAAGGCTGTTTGAACACGGGAGGAAGCCATATGCTTCCTCACACCCGCCCCCGCCAGCAGAAAACATCGTCCTGATGCAAGGCAGCTGCCGGCAATGTCTTTGCTTTAGCTTTTCTAAGCCAGCCCTTCCTTTCCTCTAGCTTTCTTTGGCCAGCCCTTCGCTTCTGCACCAACCACCGGCGTTCAATCTTCAATAGACTTACCAGCTCCTTCTACCTATTATCTCAATATAGGTAGCCGCCCTGCATGCAATGTGCGATAAGGTATGGCATTGCAAGGCTACTGTAGCAGCTACCGTTCAGCCCATGCAGGGAGGACATTGGACAAGGATTCAAGGAATGCGAAATGTTTACGCAGTGGCCCTGGGTACAGATGCCGTAACGGTAGGTACATTGGTTCAATACAGGTACCTGTACACTGCAACACTGACAGAAGCCGCGGCAGACTGGCGAAGCAGGATGATGGTGTCAGCTGTGCACACTTTCCCAGTTTTGAATCTAGTATCCCGATTCGGGTGTCGCCATCTCTGCTTTTAGGCTCCACTTTCGGCTACAGCCGCCCTCATTTGTGAAGTATCGCCGGAAGTTACCAAACGTCGTCGTTCGACAAGAAACTCAATCTCAAGACGCTGGCGGCGGCTGGCCCATCTTCGATCGAACTCACAAAGTGAGCAGCCTGCATGGGAATCCAGGTAAATTCTGGATAGATTGGCCTACCGCACTTCTTATTCAACTCCAGTGAGTACTTGCCACCAGGTATAGCCTATGGTGTACGGTCGGTGACGACATTAATGGAACGCCGGTCCCCGACTACCTGGGGCGGCGACGATGAAGGCCCGTCCAGCCTAGCCGCCCCGGCCGGAGATTCAATTGACAGGACCGGGGTCCGGTACACACATGAGTACGGGTCATTTCAGCTGTCGTACGGGATCATATGGAATTATTAAACCACAACCCACTAGTAACCAACATAACGGCCGGGATGCCGGCCGTCCTCATTTCCAAGTTTCGCACTTGGAGCTCTTTGAAGGTGGAATCATATGGAACATTCCGGGTTAACATCTAGCAACTGGGTACGGTACCTAGATGGAATGGAGTCTGGAGTCTGGAGTCTGGACTCTCATACGAGCAGGTACCTTATACCGTAAACCACAGTCATATGACTCATATCTCGTCATATCCAGAGCTGACCGCGTTCAGGAATTTTGAAATTCCCGCGATGCCTGTAGAGGTACGTATACGGTACCTAGGAGTACAGCCGGTACGAAAGAAGGTACGGTACCGACCAGACCTCGCCATGGGGAAAGTTGGCAGTACCGTACTACCGGTAGGCCACGGTACCCCCATTAATGGGGTAACTAGGTACCGGTAGTAGGTCGGTATGTAATCAAATTGCATGGCCGGTGAGGTACCTGTTTGGTACGTCATACCAGCGTCATCGGACCAAGGCCGGTTTGGGCGGCGTTGGCACCAGCTAGGCTAGCTGTTCTCACTCCGATAACTCTCGTGTGACCTAAGAGCCGTGTGACCTAAGATAGGCACCCGGGGGACGGCTGGGGTTGGTATGGTGGTTAGGGTGGGTTGGGGTGCGGAGCGGGTGATTAATTGGGTTAGGTTTTTAGTTTGAAGTGCCCGGATTACTCGTATCATAGGTCACACGCCCGTTAGGTCACACGAGAGTTACCGGTATGCTGTTCTCGGCTCCGACTAAGCCGGGCCGGGCGCTCAACTAGCGGCCCCACGGCAGACCAAAAGAACGATTCAGGCAGGTTACACTCACACACTTTCCAAGAGCGATTGGAGCAAGGGAATCACGCACACGGGACGATCGGCAGACGCCTCCGAAGTGCATACATAAGCGTGCGTGAGAAAATTCTCTATAATGGTTAAGTTGACAACCTATCGCTGCAATTGCGACTGTAACTCGCGAGCCATAGCACCTAATCGTTGCAAGATAACGTCAAAGGTAGGCCGTCCTTTCGGGTCTGCCTGCCAACAATCCGTGACTAGCTGTCGGTAGGCGAGGGGGCAGTTTTCTGGCATCGGCGGTCGCTCTCCACGATCGATTGCTCTCATGATCTGCAAGCGTTGACAGAACCACCGGTCAGATGAAGCAGCACAAGATCTGGTCGTCATTCAAACCCGTCTCAACAATCTTCGACATACCCCAGAAGAACCGCCCTTAGTTCCTGCTTGTACCTTACAGAGGAATCCGACTTCGAGAACGAGCAGGCTACATTATCCACATCCCGGCCACCCCTTTGTCCGCGCCATCTCAAATTGCGCACAGTTTGAAATTTCATTCGAAACTTTGAGCTTCTAATTACCGACGCGTTCCTCGTGTTTCTTAATGCTATAGATTTAAACGATGGCTTCTGTGTACCATAACGCCGGACTGCGCCGAGCTACTCCAGATCGTTTTTGCTTCTTTGCTCGTTCTGCTCTCAAATTAGAATCCCGCCCACTGGCATCTCCCGATCCACAACTTCACAGCAAGGCAACGATTGCAAGCCGTCCCCAAAACTCGATGCCTTCTCACTTGACGGAGGCTTCAACTCGCAGATCGATTCGCAATAATCTGAGGGTAGGCGGGAGGAGAGAACAGAAGGAGAAAACAGCAGACACCAACTTTGAACCACGAGAAGCATTCAGCTTCTGCTAGCTCAAAGTCTATGCACCGGTCGAGGTTGTCAGGCATCGGGTACGACTTAATCGCTCGTCTTTGACGACGACCGAACCAACGTGTCAGAGTTTCGGAACGGCTAAAATTTCATCGTCTTCGTGAACGAAGAAGTCAACCACTGGTGTCTGAGAGCAATAGAACCCCATGAAAAACCCCAATGAAAACCCGCAATAAGACCCCAAATAAAACCCGCACATGACAACCCACCTGCATCGGGTGCATCCCCTTGAAGGGCTCCTCCCGGGTGATGAGTTCCCACAACACGACGCCGTAGCTGTACACGTCAGCCTTCTCGTCATACGGCGCGTTGTCCAGCACCTCGGGCGCCATCCAACCCCAAGTTCCCACCTGCAAACCAACGGAGGTACACGCGTAAGTTATGAATCTGTCAAGGTCAATCCAGCTTCAGATTTTAGGGGATGTATCGTTTGAAAGGAACTTCCTAAAAGGAACCGTTCAGGACCTTCTGGCGCCCTTGAACCCACGTGTCCACCTGCAAACCGACGAGGGCACCACAAGTCAAGAAACGACTCTAAGCCGACTCTTTCTTTGGCAGATGGGAGAGTGGTAGAAGAAAGGATCGATAAGAGATGTCCAGAGAGTGAAGCCTCGAGACCTTGGGCACCCTCGTAACCCGTGCACACACATGCGTAAGCGTGCACACACCTGCTGACGCATGAACGGTGAGTATGACTGAAGACCAGGGTAAGGGCAAACCCTCTCTGACGCACGTGGACAACGGCATTAGGCAGGTTCCCCAACTTTAGACTTCACGACAGTAGAGGACTTGGGGGCTTTCAGGCCGTTCTGTGTGAATAACAAGGGTAGGACACAAAACGTGCCAACCCAGCGTTGAGCTCTCAGATTGTCTTCGTATATTCCTTTCTGGACAAGCTTTCTACCATTCACTCATGCGGTTCTCGGGTCCAACCACTGACGTCACAATTTGCCATAAGGGACCTGTCCCCTCTGACGACCGCTTGCCAGTAGCTCCGTTCCAAAAATGCCGAAGAGCCACGGGGGTCAACCACCGCAGCAACACCCGGTCTGTTGTTCCAATGTCGTCACACCCCACAAGTGGCAAATGCACTCCTCCGAAGCAGCCCTGCCGAAGCTGACGGAGTGCAAGCGAGCTTCCTATGACGTCATGCTGACCTGAGTGTATGCGTGGCTGGTCGCTTTCGTGCGCGCCAGCCCGAAGTCTGACACCTTGATGTGCCAGTCCGCGTCGACGAGCAGGTTCACACTCTTCAAGTCTCGATGCACGATTGCAGGTCTGCAGAGGACACAGAAATGCTTTCTAAATATCATCTAGAAGGGGTTTTCACTTACTAGACGAATCACTCTGAACAACTCAGGCTTCCTTCCTCGCTGACTAGCAAACGGTGTACCGTATGCACAGCGTCTACTCGGAGCTACGCGGACGAAATCAAGTAAGCTTCGGCTGCATTCCCGTTGCACGAGTGCAAGAGAACAAACGGCTTGACTGCCGCATCTGTGGTACAGAACTCTTTGCAGACTGACCTCATCCAACGATATTCCATTTCCACTTGACCCTTGGTTGCGGGACCACACCCGATAAGCATTCGGATCGAAGACTGTTTGACTATGATAGTTGGGCATCGCCAGATTGTCACTAAGAATCGCAATCAGCCGAATGCGTTCATGTCCGCAAGTGCAGGAAGGTTCGATGTGTCTCCGTCTTAGCAGACAAGTCGACCGTCCACAGATCAAAGCAAATACAACCAGTTGTAGGCGCCGGACAAAATGTTGCCAAAGAAATACAAATATCTCAAGCGCCCTGATAGAAGTCGCTACGCAGCACAACCCTTTTGGTACCGTAGCAACTGGCTCAGAGTCGACAATGCTAACGTCTGTGTGCCCCATCTCCGTGTTAGCTTAACCCAGGCCGAAAAATCATTATGGCAGGAAACAAGAAACCTCTTAAGGACCTTGACGATCGGGTTAAGGTCAACTACAGTTAAGGTCAACTACAGACGGGTTAAGGTCAACAAGCGAGGATACAGGTGGTTTGATTCTGCGCGCGATCTCCATCGCCCCTCCATCATAGCAATAAAACAAGAACGATCTTAAGAACCTTAACAGTCGGGTTCGAGTCATCACTAAACGGGTCAGAGTGACCAGAAAACGGGATAAGGTCAACAGAAACCGGGTTAGGGTCAACATGCTTGCGTCCGCATGTGCAGGTGATTGATCCCCCGCGCCGTCTCCGTCGCCCCTCCATCATGGCAAGAAACTGAAACCACCTTAAATCCTGAACAGCCGGGTTTGAGATAAACAGCCACCGGGTTGATGTCAACCGTAGTCGAGTTAAAGTCAACTGCACTCACGTCCGTGTGTGCAGGTGGTTCATCCCGCGCGCCGTCTCCGTCGCCCACCGCAGCACCGTCCCCATGTCAATCGTCACCGCCGGATTCCGCAACACCGCGTATAAGCTCCCGTTCGCCGCGAATTCCATCACGATGCACAGGTCAGGGGGGGCCGTGCAGGCGCCCATGAAGAGGATGACGTTGGGATGACGTAGCTTGAGGAGCAGCCCGACCTCGCGGATGAAGTCGAGGGCGGCTTGGGAGTTGGCGGTCGCCGCAGAGATGTTCTGGAGCCGCTTGATCGCCACCTCGGTGCCCTGCCACGTGGCGCGCAGGACGTCGCCGAAAGCGCCCTGCGCAAAGGGGAGAGGTTTCAGACCTGAGGGGTCTCGGACTTTGAAGTTCCAGGGCTGGGTGGTTCGGATCCCAGGTTTTCGGGTTTCGATCTGCAAAGGACTGGACCGACAAGATGGTAGTACGTCGGGGGTTTGCTCCAAAAGACTGTGGCCCTCGGGGGGGGTCATAGCAGCGCTCCCGGAACCTCCGCCTCAGCTTCCGCAAAACCTGCATAAACCTGTTTCACGCACTTGGACCCTTTCCACACCGCAGCGACCACTCCTCAAAGGGCTTCGCACCCTCAACTACTAGTGTCACATGCCAGACACTCTTGAGACACCAAGTTGAACCTCGTTAAAGCACCTCCATTCGACCAACCTCCTGACGTGGAAGAAAGAAGAAACTTCAATGAAGGTAACTGGGAGCCCTCTTGGAAAGAGGGAAATTATCCAACTCGAATCCTTTACTGAGAGGTCAGATCTGAAGCGGGATCCGTTGGTCTGCGTGCTCGAAAACCCGAGGCTTCGGTGTTGGTTTTGAGAATTAACGCCCGAGACCGTCGGCTCCCAGCTTGGACATCCAACAAGAAGGCATACACGAACTGGTTTACAACAAGGGTCCCGACTAGCTCCCGAAAAGTGCTAACTCTCTTTGTCCCCACTCTGCCTTGTTAAGGACACTTCCATGTCGTTTACGGACGCCCACCTGTCCGATTTTGGGCCCCAGCGTGAGCTCCGCAAACGGAATTTCCCAGTCCGTCGGAAGCACCGTCTCCAGCCGGTTCTCCGCGCTGCTCGACCGCCGGTGCTGCACCGGGGGGGGCAGCTGCGGCTGGAACGGCTTCTGCAAAGCAGCCCCCCCATTTAGATTGTCCCCCTTGTTCTGCTTATTCTCGCCAAATGTCTCCCACGCAGACGATTCCGACATGCTCCCCGGCACTGTCCAGCTGTCGGGTTCGGTTTCGGCCCCCCCCAGGGGAGACGCGACCGCTTCCATCTGCGGTTTCTGGTTCCAAGGGGGTTCGACGACCGGCGGCTTTTCGACGCGCAGTTGTTGCCCGAGCTGGACAACCTGTTGTTGGGGGGGCGCTCCTGGAGCCGGGGGGAGGATCGCCTGCTGAAACTGCCCCCCCGCCGCAGGGGCTACCTGGACCGGGGGCTGGATCGCCTGCGGAAACTGCCCCCCCGCCTGCGGGAACGGCTGTTGGAATTGGGGGGGGTACTGTACAGGCGCGACGTACTGCTGCTGGGGGGGGCCGGGGGCTGCTGGTAGGCAGGGGGGGAAAGTTGGAACTGTTGCTGTGGGGGGACTTGGAATTGGTTCGGGGGGGTCGTGGCTTGCTGCTGGTATGGCGCGTGGGGGCTGAGTGCGGTGGGGGGCTGTTGATACTGCGGAAACTGCGCTGTTTGCTGCTGATACTGCGGCAGTGTGAATTGCTGCTGAAACGGGGGATTTGGCGGGTACGGCTGCTGGGGGGACAAGAACTGCTGCGCCGGGGGGGACGCCGCGGTTTGCTGTGCAAGCCTGAGCGGCTCCCCCCCGTTCGCCTGGATATTCATCGACGAGAATGGGGACAGTTCGGGGACGTTCGGCGCAGGCCCCTGAAACTTTTGCTGCTGAAAGTTGGCCCCATTCACACCGAACCCCGAACCTTGACCCGCGTCCCCCCCCCACGCCAAGGGGGGGCTGCGCGGTCGTAAACCCATCGCTTCCGGGGGGGGAGGGCTGGCCGCGATATCCGCCCCTGACGGCGCCCTCTGGGGAACGTTCTGGAAAACGGGGCTGAACATGTCGGGCGACGCGGTCCCGGAACCCCCACCAAAGTGGTCGCCGTCGAAGCTGCTCCACCCGTTCTTCTTCCCGCGATGGGTGCCGCCAGCGGGGGGCCTCTCCGCCTCCCCCCCCAGATGCGTGGGCAACGTGTTCGACCACTGAAGTTCTTTCTGGGGGGGCTCCCACGTCCTTTGCGGCACAGCCACCGGGGCCGGGGGGTTCCACGCATCGTCCAACTTCTTCGCGGGGGGGTCGACTCCGCTCAACCGGCTCTCTAGATACTGCCCCGGAATCCGCACGTCCCCCCCCCTGGCGGCCGCTCTCTGCTCGGGTGACGGACCCGGTAGAGGCCCGCTTTTTGGACCGCTCTTGGTTTTCTCGCGCCCGCTCAGCCTGCTGCCCCTGGAACCGCTGCAACGCCGCCGCGGCTGCCGCACCGACCCCCCCCACAACGGGAGACCCAACCGGGACCCCCTCCCCCGAGGAACGGTGGTGCGAGCGCTCCTCGTCAAGCCAGGTTTCATCGACCGCAGACAGCCCCGACTCGTCCGAGGAGTCGAACGACAGCTTCGCGAGGTGCGCCGACGCTTTGAGCTGCTCTACAACGTCGGGGGGCGCACCTTCGGAGCTGCGGCGGCGGTGAGGGGGGCCGGCGTAGAGCTCTTCGCTCGGGTTGCGGCTGTGAGAGGCCGACTTGGAGGAGAGGTCGTCGGAGGCGAAGGCGCCGGAGGCCTGGTGGGGGGAGTGCCTGGAAAAGAAGGTATTGGTGGACGGGTCTTAGTGAAAAGCAGCGTTGTTTCTGCAGATGCATTGCAGAGTGCCAAACGTGGACTAGGATACCTGGCCCCTCCCAAACCATAAGTTCGTAAAATCTTCGTAAGAGCCAATAGCACGAACATACCAGCACAAAGGCAAGGCTGTCGTTTACAGTAGCGTCTTTTTCCATCCCTATGTTGCTCTTTATAGGTTGCCACTGGAGGATCACGGAGAAAGGGAGGGAGAGCTGATGCACGGAGCAACGTCGCTGGAAAGTCCGTGCTCGTTCTGGCTTTTCAAGCAGGGATCTAGACAGCATGGACTCTGCATTTGTCAACAAAAATTTCATACGAGGCAGCCAATCAGGGGAGTAACGCCAAAGGACAGCCTTGTACTTTCACCTCAACGATGGAGACGGGCTCGCCGAGATCGCCGACGGCGACTCCAACACGAAACCGGGGGGGTCCGCTGGCAGCGCGGGCGGCGTGACACACTGCGCAATCGCAGGCTCCCCCCTCGCCTGCTCAAACAGGCTCCGCAACTGCCGATGCTGCGCGCCAAACTTTCCAATCGCAGCGCTCAACGCCTCCCCCTGCGGGCCCTCCGGGGCGCCCCCGCACAGCCCCAGGAGTGACGTAATAAGATACCAGACAACGTCATACAACAGGTCCGCTTCCCGCAAGATCGGGATGATCGCGGCAGCCACCAAACCGACGGCGTTCTCGCTCATCCCTTCCGGGGGGTTCGCGGCAGCAGCGGGCGGGCCCCCCGCCCGCGCGGAGCTCGCGACCTTGGCCCGCAGGACGGCGAACCCGTCCTCCAACGCTTTGAGCAACAGGTCCTGCATTTTCTGCAGGCACGCGAGCGCTTCGTGGTTCAGGGGGTCCGACGCCCCCACTCCCCCGTGCAAACTGCCCCCCCCGCCGAGGTCCACCGAGTAGCTGCTCTCAAATGCGGGGAACCTGTGGTGGAAGGCTGCCTTTTCGACAACAAACGCGGCGTAGGGGGCAACGAGGGGGCGGTAAGGATCGACGGCGGTTTCGGGTACGGGGCGATTCCAGAAGGATGCGGTCTCTTGGAAGAAAGGGAGGCGGCTGTAGGCGGCTGTGAGGACCTCGGGGGAGCCCTGCTGCATCAGCTTGTGCGTGACGATTAGCAGCTTGAGGGCCACAACAGAGGGGCTGACGGTCTTCTTGGCAATCAGCGAGAGGGCCTGCAGAGCACAAAGGCGAGAGGAGGGCTTGGTTGGGTAGCTCTGTGAAAAAGACTAGCATGTTGATTGTGATGCGGAGAAACCACACTCGAACAGAACTCTTTCTTCTTTGTTCTCAACTGGATGCCTCAAAGAAAATCAGGACTTCAAGTTGATGTCTTAACCAGTGAAACATGCTCCGTTGGATTATTGCCAAATGATTGGTCAAATCCATTATGCCTATTTGAAGCAACATCATGACCACCTTCTTGAAAACCTGAAGACGTTTCAACGCTAAGTCTTGCCAACTGGAGATCTGACATCCAGCACAGACATTGTAACATTCCACGTCTTGCCGTTCAATTGCCTCATGCTCAGAAAAATAACCTGTACCACCGATCGTGCTTACATCATTGTTGACCAATGCACGTACAAAATATTTCCAAACCCCTATCTCTCAGACCGAAAATTGGACTTCTGTGTACAAAATCAGACTATCTGCACATCAGTTTGCACACAATGCATCCGTGTGCATGCTCCACCACAGCATCGCAACGTACTACGTACAAGGCCACCAGGAGTGCACTTTCTATGTGCCATCAGTAAGTGCGAACACTTTACAGAAAGCTGGCCACTCACCGCCGATGCGCCTGCTCCGCCGTGCTTCCATGTGCTCAGCACGAGGCGCCTTATGTACTTGGCCTTCGGCGGCGTCTCTGACTTGCTCAGCGCCTTTTGCAGCGCGCTCCGCTTCGAGTACCATTCCTTCAGCGCGAGGACACCTGTTGGCTTGCCGCCCGCAGAGCTGCTGCTTGTGACACCGCTCTTAAGCCTAGCCAGAGGTTTCCCGCTCTCGTTGTCGGATACCGGAGAGTCCCCCTTGCCGGGGCTGTTGCCTTCTCCATCGTCAGACTCCCCAGGAGAGAGGGGGGTCTCAGGTTCGCCCCAGGTGCCGTGGGGGCGTGCAATGTACCTACGAGGATGACATTGGGTGGTGTGGAGCCTGTAGATGATGCTGATCTGACAGCTGTCCAGCCCTAACGTGTGTTTATCAAAAGTTGGCAACTTGTCTCGAGGAGTGGGGTCGTGCAGAGAAATGGAACTTCTGCAGCAGCTGGCTTGTGGTTGCTCGTCAAAAGTACAGCTGTTTAACTGCAGACTTGGAGTATATACAGCTGTTGCTGCTTCTCAAGTCAGAAGTAAGCAGAGAACACTGATGAATCCATAACACGACAGCTGTCCACTGCTCCACTTGGTGTGTCAAAAACAACCGTTGTCCAGATTTGAATGAATACAACTGTCAAACCTCCTCATTGATGTGTACAACCAACAACCAGTTTTTGAAACAGAAACAGGTGAACATGAAAGGAGAACAGGTTCTGCAAGAGTTAAGGATCTGTAGCATCTTCAACCACCGCCTGTCACATCAGCTGTCGGCAAGCAATACTATTTCTATGCTCCGTCTATGCTCTGTCAGAAACAATGCAAGCTCAAAGCTTAAATGGTGCAAGCAATCTCTTCGCAGAAACTGCTCTGAAGCAGGTTGCAAGCAAGGAGAAAAAGATACCAGAATTTAACGCATGCAGACTCGGCATTCAACAACAAAGAGAACAGCAGAGGTCTTGTTTTACGACCCTATACGAAACCCTTAAGTCAAACATCCTAATCGAAAACCTTGCCACAAAAGGGACACATAACATCAACATGACAACGTCAAGACATTAGATACAGGATCGATAGGCCCACGAGGAATCTGGACAGGTTGTTCATTTCAAAAGCATCAGAAGAATCATCAATAATCTTGCAGGAAGGAGAGTGGCAATTCAGCAACAGCACTGTGGCACAACAATTATTGACAGTCAGAATGGAGTAGGGCCTCAGTTGTGCAGAACCAGGTGCTTTCAAATCCAGTAGAAAACCCTTTCGGTGTATCATACAAACAGTGGTGTGGTGCCATCTAACAGCATACGCTGATTGAAGAAGATTCTGCTTGGGAGACCAATATTGGCATAACTCAGCCTCTGTCTAAACACAGTTTTGCTGTGGTCTTATCATCCGAAAGCACAAACACACAATGCAGGCAGCAATGTGAGACGTGGCAGAATTTTGAGAGGGGGCTTCATGACCTTACAAACCAACAATCTGGCGTGCTGCAGAAGGGCAAGCCAATGACTTATTCAGAAAAAAGCGACTTCTCACTTTCCAGGCCTTCGAACCCTTTCGCCCTTCTCTGCTGTCCGGATGTCCGCCAAACCTTGTGGCGGAAGAGGCTCAAGCTTTGCGTAGCCGTCCTTTTCGGATGAGCCCTGACGTTTATGAGCTTGCGAGTGAGCAGAGGAGCTGACCCGCGCAATTCGTTTCGGCTTGTCAGCGGTGCTCTCGGAGGCATAAACGCCCCCACCTGCTGCATCAGCCATGCCTGCCAATGACTAATTGCACCTCATGCTTTCAACCTGAACGAGGATCAGGAAGCCTGATCAGAGATCAAGTGTGTCATTGTGACCAATGCTTGAAACCCTCAGGCTTTGATACCTTAAAGAAGCGTGAATCAACAGCTTTGATCAAAACAACTAAGTACTGGATTGAATCCTGCAGGTTGTAACAAGGGAAGGGAACAGTTCACCACATCAATTGCGCAGCTTTTAAGCATCAAACTTCTTGAGCTGTCTGCGACCAATTTCAGGCAAGCACAGAACCCTCGTCTCCTAATGAAGGTTCAGCGCTAGGCGCTAGCAGCCAGCTTGATGTTTAGAGGTCACTTTCTCCGCTCCTCCTCCGCTTTGTCTGCGCTTGTCCACAGGATGTGAACATGGGCAAGTCAACACATCGGTGATGACCACGTGCACCACACGTCGACAAGTCTGTTCTAAAAACCGATCGGAACGGTGTAAAGTTTGTGAACCCAGCAGGTTTTTTAATTGAATGATTTTGATTCGGTCAGCTGCAACTTGTCATGATTCGCTACGACCACTCACGGAATCTTCCAAGTTTAGAGCAGTTCAAGTTCTTCAGAGCTCAATGTTCAGAACAGGCCCAAATTTTCAATGGATTATGACAGGATGTGGTCGTGGTCGCTACAGGACTCTCTGCATCTCTTCTGATTGATCGATGAGTTGGTGGCAAATGCTCTCACAGTCGCGAATTGCCCTGCACTTCTCCTCCTAACCTGCCGCAGCTGGAGTCAAATTATCTGCAATTGTCGACTCCGCACACCACTTTCCTTCCACAACAGAAATTGCAACAGCTCTGAGACCCCTCCACTCGTGATCCGTCCATCAAAGCACGCTGTACTCAAAAGCTCTGACCCCAGAGGAGTCTGGCTGGACTTAACTTACAGCACGTTCTTCTGATCAACAATCAATGCAAGACGCTTGAGACGCTGCAAGTCCATCATGGGGCACCTGAAGCATGCTGCTCTCTCAAGCTCCGACCCCAGAGGAGTCTGGCTGGACTGCGGCGATGGAGTCCGCTGCCGCGTCGAGGTGCGGAGCCCCTGGGTAGTCAGAGTGCTCTTTGTGCAAGGAGGCACTTTGCGACAGCCGACAACATGGATGGTCCTTGGAGAAGCTGGAGAAGATGGATTACAACGAGCTGGGGTGCAATCAGAGGGGGTTGGAATAGCTTCACATGAGGCTGGATCAGGAGGAGTGCATTCGCATCAGCTTGAGCACCAGGTTGGGATTGAGAGTGTGAAGCAGCAGGAGCAGGGGGAGTTCGCAGTGGCTGATGTCCCCTGGGGTGGTCGCCCAAGGCTGCAGCTCATGCCAATGCAGGGGCCACCTCTCTACGAGATGGAGGAGTCACGTGATGTGATTATACTCCACACGTCTGCCATCAGGCTGACTGTCACACTCAGCCCTTTGTGTCTCAGCTGGTGAGTATGCACATATACCCCACTGATTCAAGGAAATTGACGCGCGAAATGTCGTGTACTGGTTCATAACAGCTGCCTTTCTCCTGTGATGCATCGGTACTTAGAGACTCTTTCAGGAGTCTTGAACGCAACTGAACATTAACTTTTACTTTTTACCGGACATTCCTTCCAATCCTTTCAAAACAAATGGAGTAGCAGCTGATCATTATCCCATGGTCACCACCAATTGCTACGAGATCTCCAGACGTCCAGATTCTAGTGATCGGACTCCCAAGATCAGACCGTCAGATTCCTTCAAGCACATCTGCACACCCTTTTTGACTCAGCAGCTGCTGGCTGGTAGCTTCTCAAACCAGCTGCATCCTTCTCCTGCGAGTTCAACGGCTTGGTAGTTCTCCATTTGTCTTCCTGCAACCAAGACATTCTTAATCTATCAAGGATCCGTAACCCTCGATGTCACACATCCCAGGTCCTTACGCGACGGCAAAGCTTCGGACGCCCCTTTCGCTGCGGACAGGGCGAGCCACCCCTACTTCTTCGGACGCAAGTCCAACCACGTGAAGCACTACATGGAGAGAAACAGAGGCGACTTCTACTGTGGTCTGGGGGACAAAACCGGTCCCCTGAACCTGCACGGACGACGGCTTCGGTGTGACATGACTGACGCTTTGGGATATGATCCCAAGTCGGGCGACCCGCTCTACAAGAACTGGCCCTTCCTGCTCACAAAGGACGCCACCACAGGTATGGAACACTCTTAAAGTACTTCAGTTGAGCAAAAATCAATCTATTGGCCGAAGGAGTGACCTGCATTGCGGGGCGGATCCTGTTCATCACTTTCAATGGAAAGGTCTATCTTCGAGTAGAGAACCAGTGACATGGCGCGTGTCGAGGAAGTTACAGCCTCCGATTCATGAGCTCAGAACGAACCTACTGTCATTTTTACTATGGAAGTCCTGTGCTGTACTTTCCAGTCTTCGGCCCCGTCCACTGCTGAAAGCTTAGTCAGAGCGTTCAGCTTGGAAAAGACTGATTAGCCTCAAAATATATACTTCGAGTTCAATGGAATAGAAGCTTGTTGCCTTGGTTATTTGGAGGGCGGAAGTTGACAGGCAGTGGCCAGCCATAAGTCCCAGGAACGAAAATGCATCCTTATAATCGCAGCAACAATGCTTTGCCAGCCAATAGGGCTTAACGCTTCACTCTGCCAACTCTCGAAGGCCTGAATCTGAAACTTCAACCTTCTTCGAGATTCCAATCTTTAGAGCTCCTCCCTTTATTGGCTCGTGATCTTTTAACCGACGAAGCTGGATAAAAGCGCAAGCATTTTTGGTCTTCCACCGCGGGTCCATTTTGCTTGCCTCTGTGAGCTGAGCAGAGCCTTGACTTCTACACTCTCGGGTGCGGAACTAAGTTGCAAGAGGAATGACTTCCTGGGCGCTCGTCTGAGGGAAGATTAAATCAATTCGATGGCTCACTGACCTACACCCTTCAAGTCTCTTTACTGGTCCCTCGTCACAGGCTTTTTGCCAATTTCAAGAAACAAGTGTCCGTCTAGCTCCAATCGTTGGATGAAACAAAACGCAAAGATCAAGCGCAAGCACGAAAAGGCTCTTTCGAAATCTCTTCTCAGTCCTCCCTGATTTCATTATTCCGGCAGTTTGTGTAGTGTCGTTTTACGACAATGGTCCTCCTTCGACTTCGGCTGCAAGCACAGCAACGATTGCGGGCCGTACCGGTTTACAGAACCTCCGGCTGTATGTCCTGCCAAGCTTCACGGTTTTGTTTGAGTGTATTTCATCATGAGAGCCATCTCCTTCGGCTTCTTTTACGACTCACCCCGTACGGTCCATCTTTGTCCTGGTTGCAAGTTAGTACCCTCAAAAAGGGCTCGTAGTATATGCACTCAAGTTCCGGACGTTGACTAGGCCTCAGGAACTCACTCTGAACATCAGATCACTATCTTTCCGGGCGGCGTAGGGAATTCCTGAAAACTAACGGCCTCTTTCGCGCCTCCTTGGTTCGACCTCGGCTCCGAGCACAGCAACTACATAAGTGGAGAGTCTTGAAATGTCCAGACCTGTTTCCGGACATGTTCAGGCCTCGAACTTCAAGAATGTTCGGACCTGTTTCGAACATCTTTAGGCCTCGTAAATTTGAAAAGATCAAACCCAACACACATTTGTGTTCCAGGCATCTCCTACGGCGTGTTCTACGACACCGCGCCTTCTTCGTTCGACCTGGGCTGCGACCACAACAATCTGGAAGAGCTTGCAGATTAATCATTTTGTTCGAGCTCGATCAGGCCCATATTATACACTTTTCCAATCGACGTCATCAGTTCAGAGGTCCCTTAATGGGGGATGGGATGCAGGGGGAGGGGCGCTCCCCTGTGTCCTACGGCGTGTTCTACGACAACAGCGCGCCGTCTTCATTCGACCTGGGCTGCGAGCACAGCAACTACTATGGGTATACCCTTTCGCAGATTTTGCTCGTAGATCTTCAACATCACTCATGCACTTAAGGCTCTTAGAGTATCCTATCACATCTCCCAAACGTTTCCCAAGACGTATTTTATGACAGCACTGCGGCCGTCTTCCTTCGAACTGCGCAACAACTCTAGACCCGGCAACGTTGGAACCTCGTTTCTGGACATGTTCAGGCCTCGTCTAAACACCGAACATTGTATTTATCTTTCCAGGCATTTCCTACGGCGTTTTCTATGACAACACCGCGGCGTCTTCCTTCGACCTGGGCTGCGAGCACAGCAACTACTACGGGCTTTACCGCGGGTACGAGGCGACCGATGGCGACCTGGACTACTACTTCATCCTCGGCCCCAGGCTTGCTGACGTCACCCGCCGCTTTGCTGACCTCACCGGCAAGATGGCGTTCGGGCCGCGCTGGTCCCTCGGTGAGGGTTTATTGTTGAATTCTTTTTCAACACATCGGCTGGGGCGTCAGATAAAAGCCGTCGGAAATATTCTGGACTATATCAATTCTGCTTGTACAAGATGGACATGCGGTATTGTTCTTGAAGCCACAGTATAATATTTGAAGCCACAGCCAGAATCGGTTTGAAGCTTCCTTGTCAGGAAGATGGGCTTCTTCGGTTTTTGCAAAGATACTCTTCCCACGAGTGTGCTCCCTCCGCACCCCAAGCGTCCTGGAAAGATCTCTACCCACCCAGTTGTACGTCGATCAATACGCCTGGCGGAGAGTTCTTATGCCTACGCTCGAGTCTTTTGCGTGAAAACTGCACGTATTTCCTCTTGGTCAGTAAGGCAGCTTGACTTTCCAAAAGCTTGCTACGAGTAAGCTTATGTTAAGTATATTGTGACCGTCTTTTAGACGAATGGCGGCCTGAGCGAAGGCTGTGCTTTTAGTGTGTTTGTTAATCTCGTTCTAGTTGCTTCTCACTTTTCATCGCCACCGTCATCGTCTCTTGCGGACGCCCTGAACCCTCTTTGGACGAGTCCCACCGTCTGAGTGGTCTGAAACGTGCTCTATCCTCTTTGACCCTGCTCTACTTTCTGCTCAAGGCACGCCTCCCAGGGCCATACCATTGACAAACGCCCGGAACGCTCCGGACGCCTACCGGCCGAGTAACAACCCGAAAGATTTTTGATCCAAGCACGCTCTAGTTTCTGCCCAGGTAACGCCGTCCGGGCCATGCCCCCCGCAGACGCCCCAAACGCCTTCTGATAACTCGTGAGCCGAAATGGTTCCCACTTTTCTTTACGACCAAGCACTAGGTTTTGCTCGGATTATGCCGCGACGGCCAAGCCACTTGAAGACACACCGGACGCCCAGAAGCAGATCGAATTATAGTCTGAAGTTCCGAAAGTTTCTGCCTATTCCTCCTTCAACCCGCTCCAGCTGCTTTTCAGCTTAAGCCGCCACGGCGAAGCCCCTCGCAAATGCGCCGGACGCCCAGGTGCAGATCGGACGCTTTCTGGACGATGCTCGATCTTTACTGGGTCGAATTGTGCTCAATCGCTTCTGACCCCGATCTAGTGTCTGCCCAGGTTACGCTGCCACGGCGATGCCCCTCGCGGATGCGCCGGACGCCCAGGTGCAGATCGGACGCTTTCTGGACGAGGCACGATCTTACTGGGTCGAATTGCGCTCAATCGCTTCTGACCCCGCTCTAGTTTCTGCCCAAGTTACGCCGCTACGGCCATGCCCCTTGCGGATGCGCCGGACGCCCAGGTGCAGATCGGACGCTTCCTGGCCGTTTAACGATCCGGACGTATGTTATATGCATTTTGACCCCGCTCTAGTTACTGCCCAGTTAACGCCGCCACCGCGATGCCCCTCGCAGACGCACTGGACGCCCAGGTGCAGATTGGGTACTTTCTGGACGAGACACCGTCTGACGATTGGAGATTTTTGCCTCTTGTGAATCCGCTCTAGTTCCTTTTCAGGTTACGCAGCTACGGCCATGCCCCTCACGGACGCGCCGAACGCCCAGGTGCAGATCGGACCCTTTTCGGCCGGGTAATCGGAAGTTGTTTCATCTCTTGACCCCGCTCTAGTTATTTCTCAGGCTATGCGGCCACGGCCATGCCCCTCGCGGACGCCCCGGACGCCCAGGTGCAGATCGGACGCTTTCTGGACGAGTGCACCGCCAACCGCATCCCATGCAGCGCCTTCCACTTTGGGTCCGGATACACGAGCATCGGGCCGCGCCGCTACGTGTTCAACTGGAACCGGGACAAGTTCCCGGACCCTAAGGTGTGTGGAGAATTTTGAAAGGTACAAAGGAACGAGTACGAAAAGGGAGGCCTACGTCCTCTGATACCTGGAAGAGCAATCGGGATGATTGGTACGTATTCAACTGGAAAGATACTCTGATTTTGTGGCCTTTTTGAAATCTTTCGAGCAAACACCGTGTATTTGAGGAATTGGTAGATGATGCAGCAAGCCTGTGGACAGGCACGGTTTCTCTTCCGCTTACAATTCCGCTGAGACCGGGATATTCTTACTTGAAAGCCTGAATGTGTTGGACGTCATTCATCCAACATACTCACACTCCTTGAGTTAGGCTCTCTCACTTACATCCCAGATGCTTATCCAACGGTTCCGCTTGGTTCCGCTTTGTTCCCAGGCGCTCATCCAACGGTTCAAAGCCGCCGGCCTGCGCGTGGTGGCCAACCTAAAGCCGTGCCTGCTGAACGACCACCCCCGGTACGCGGACGCGGAATTTGCCGGCGCGTTCGTCCGGAACGCCGAAACCGGACGTCCGAGCACGAGCCAGTTCTGGGACGGCGAGGGCGCGCACCTGGATTTCCTAATCGCCGCCGCGGTTAAGTGGTGGCAGACCGGGTTAAGGGAGGCAATCCTCGAGTACGGAATCGACAGCGCCTGGAACGATAACAATGAGTATGAGCTGTGGGACGAGGAAGCGGAGTGCGGGGGGCCGGGGTTACGGACGGAGGGTTTGGGGGGAACGCAGGGTTTAGCTCAGGGTTTGGCCCAGGGTTTGGCTCAGGGTTCGGCTCAGGAATTCCAACAAGGTTTGGCGGCTTCAGGGCCGGGGAAAGGGGCGGGAAACTTGCGGGCTGTGACAGGCGAGGAACGGTCGGACGGTCTGGCCTGCGGTGCGGAGACTTCGCAGGTCGCGAGCAGTATCAACGACTCAGAAGCCGCGACTCCTGCGTCTTTTGCCACAGAGGACGGTGGGTCAGTAAAGATTGGACACGTGGCAGCAGGCCGTTCGGTCCCGATCGCGCTGGCGCGCCCCGTGCTGGCGCTGCTGATGACACGCGCGTCGTACGAGGAGCAGGTGCGATTCCAGCCGGAGGAGCGGCCGTACACAATAACTAGAGCGGGATGCCCAGGAGTACAGCGCTACGGGCAGACGTGGAGCGGGGACAACACCACCAGGTGAGTCGCACACCAAGGCCGAGTCGAACTCTCGTGCAGCCGTGTCTTTGTTAGTTCGCCCTGATCAAAGTTCGTGGGTTCTTGCCACATGTGTTTGGTCCCGTTCTCTGTGACTCTGTTTGTGGGCGTGTTCCTGTTTGCGCCTTATTTCCTTATGGCTCTTGAAGAGTTGCCGTTTGCGCCTCATCTGCTTATGGTACTTTAAGAGTTATTATCTGCCTCTGGTCTGCTTATGCTTGCTTCTCCCAGCTTTAATTGACTTCGTCCGTGCGGCTCCGTTGCTTTCCCGCCAGACTCCACGCTCTATGCCTTTTCGTGAACAACTCGTTTGTTTCGCGCTGCATACTTTAAGTTGACTCATCTCCTGCGTGTGACTTGACAAGACGAGACAGCATCTATCAACGTCCCGCTGTCGACTCAAGCGAAAGTCTTCAACGGACTGAGTATTTCTCTCTCGACGCAATACACTCTGTCGGAAGCTGCTTGAAAACGGCAAAGAAAAATTCGTGCCTCGTTTTAGCCTTCGAGCTTCGAGCTTTGAGCTTCTTCGAAGCGAGCAAGATTCAAACCTTGTTTCGTGAACGTTGTATCAATCAACCACGCTGAATGCCTTTCTAAACCATTCTTTTGCCGACACTGACCGACAGCCCCGTCAACCTACACCATGTCACTGTCTCAACTTCCGGCCGCTCTTTCTGACGCAAACTCCTCTCCGCTCTAGTTGGGACCACCTCCGTTGGAATGTCCGCACCGGCCTCCAGATGTCCCTCAGCGGCATGTTCAACATCGGGCATGACGTCGGCGGTTTCGCGGGGGATCCCCCTGACCCTGAGCTCCTGGTGCGCTGGGTCCAAATGGGCGCCCTCCACCCCCGCTGCGTAACCAACAGCTGGAAGGCCGACGGGACCGTTACCACGCCCTGGATGCACCCGGGCGTTACTGCGCACGCCCGCTCGGCGCTCCGCCTGCGCTACCGCCTGATGCCGTATACGTATACGCTGTACTGGCACGCAGCCACGGAGAACGAGCCGATCCTACGGCCGACGTTCGTCGAGTTCGAGGACGATGAGAGGACGTTTGACGATTGCGACGAGATGATGCTCGGAGGGGCGATTCTTGCGGCGCCGGTCGTCGAGCGAGGCGCGACGACGCGCAGAGTGTACTTGCCGAGATCTGGGCCCGGAGGCAACGGACCGGAATCCGGCGACGGAACTCCGGCTTCAGCCTCGTCGCTCGGTTGGTACGACTTCTACAGCGAGGAGTGGTATGAGGGGGGCCAAGTGGTGACGTTGGATGCGCCTCTGGAAAAGCTGCCGTTGCTAGTTGCCGAGGGGAGCATGGTGCCGATGACGGCAGAAGCGGACGATTTTGGACGGCTGCACGACGAGCCGTCCCGGTGCGTCCGGGTGTTTCCTTTCCAGGGGGTGGGGAAAGCCACCGGGCAGCTGTATGAGGACGACGGTTTGGGGTGGGGCTTCCGAAAGGGGGCGTATCGTTTGCTCACGTATGAGATGGAGACAAATAAGGAGGAGGTCAGGATCACGGTTGCCAGCGAGGGTAGCTACAAGCTCCCGTACAATGAGATCGTCTTTGCCATGCCGGCGGGTGAGAAGAGGCCGCTCAAGTTGAGTGCCAGAGTTGAGAGCGGTCTGCGGCTTATACCGGGAAGTTTCCAGTGGCATGAGTAGCTTGCACAGGTCAGCGGGGCCGCAGAGAGTTTTGCCGGCAATGTATAACATGCTGAATGCCTGAGCGGAAGTGTTAGTGCTTGCAAAGGACAACTTCACTGAAAGCTATTTTGACCTGAGTGTTCGCCTTGAAGCATTGGTGACTTATTTGCTTGTGTAACGCATGCAGCATGGCAGACACAGCTTCCTTAGTCTTCTGGCGCTTTCAGCACGGGTTTACCTATGGTGGGCGCGGCAGCGAAGGCAAGCAAGTGGCCATGCATCACAATGCATGAAAGACCGCCGCGTACAGAGCAGAGTGCAATCCGATTCGTTGTCGAGCTTTGGATCAGCTCGATGTCGCTTATTTTCGGCCCCGGTGCAGCGGTAGCGATCAAACATTGTACGGTTTATATACCCGGAGTAACCGTCTACATATGCGCATGCAAGCGCCAGGATCTGATCGAGGCGATATATACATACACATGGCTTACATGTGGCGCGCGGACTCAAGTTCAGCGCGCTCATGATCGTCTACCATCAGGCTGGCGCACATCATGACCCGTTGCGGCTGCGCCTATGCCAATGCCATGCATGTGCCAGCGTAGAGCTCAGATCGAATTCAAGTTGAATATCAATCTAGCGCTGAGCGCACTGCATCGCCTGCCAAACGAACATATGTTCAATCCCTCTTTCCGCATGCTAGAAGTGCTGCCCTCAAACTATTGTGCATGTGTTTTACTTGCTCATGAGGGCGCTGCAGGCTCAGCCCCAGCGGGCTGCGCTAAAGGGGCCGGCCTGACGACTGACTGACGTCATATAAAACTTTACATGCGGCATGGTGGCTCGATATTTTACCATAACTGGTTATATGGCAGTGACCGTCTGAGTTTCCTGATCTACAGTGACAAGCTATATAGGCACTAGCACACTTATAAGTCTTAATTTATCATCACCAGACCTCTTCTATGGCTGATTTGGGACTCTTACAAGATCGATTGTCCCTGTCGTTTGAGTCGGCGAGCCCGTTTCAAGAGCTAAGCTGTCTGCGATCAGGCTTCAAACACCCCCTAAAACGGAATGTCGTTTCGGGAAACTATAGGAAAGCGAGCTGCAAGATCGTCGGCAGACACGATGAGACTAGAATGCAAGGAATGGATCGACCACAAGCAGTTCACCTGCCTTGCCTGAGACCGCTTTACTCGTGTCTTCGTCTTCCCTTGGGAACGGTAGATGCACTTTCTTGGTTGTACAGATCGCTTCTGCAGAAAAAGAAATGCAACATGTGTGCATCAGCATACGAAACCTGGTCAAAGACGCCGTGGATTTGCAGACGTAACTGAGACGCTGATAACTGGTGCGTCCGAAATGTTGCTCCCGGAGTCCGAGCAGATTGTGAGTCACCATCCTCGTTGCATACGTGTACAAAGTTCAAGAGAGATGTGCATCTAAGCACACAGGACTTCCTAAGACTTTCTGGATTGACAAAACACTTCCTTGATCAGTAATCAACACGCTGCTCGCTACTCCTCAAACAAAGCGCCAGCGAGTAACTCGAAGCAGATTGGACATCAAAACCAATCTGACTTGCAAGCATCGGACAACGGGCCAAAAACTCCCTGCAAATAACTGCTTGCTTTTTGCATCCAAATGTCAGGAAAACCGTATCGAAGGACAAAAAGCCAAGTCTTCTGCTCACATAAGCCACGCCCCGTGGAGGAGCGCGGCCCCGACAGCTAACCCAAAAACTCGCGTCCTGAGTTTCGGTTGTTTTGCTAGACCTATTCGAACTGCAAGGACGCAACGCCTGGCGTTAGCAGCACTCAAAGCAGCTGGATCAAGCAGGAAAAGCTAGTGAAGCATCCATTGATCGGATTCCGATTGCAAGGATTATCAAATGAGTTAACCACCCAAAGGATCTGATATGGTTGAATGCATGTTGTTTCAGGAGAAGAACAAGCTGCAGGTGAAGAAGAATCATCGATCGAGGCCCGGCTGTTCGCCTCTTAGTACATGGCCACTTGCACAGGAACCTTGAGGTTTGCCCTTGCTAGCAGAGATCTGCGGCCTTGCTAGAACAGACTACAGGAAAAAGTGCACGCGTATAGTTTGTCACTGTTTGCTTTCTGAGCTGGATCATATAGGGGCTCACTTAATGGGAGGATGGGAGCATATACAAGGGGAACAAGGTACTTGTAAGGAACTTGTCGAGGTTGCCGCTGGTGTGGATTCCTGCAAATCAGTCATCGTCGTGAATGTTCCGGAGCTCAACATTCATAAGACGTCCTCACAAAGTCCGACGCTTTGTAAGACAGCGAACACCTGAGGCTTTTAATCAGGCTCTCTGCTTTCCGGAACCGTCTCACGGAGATCACAGCTCATGGGCCTCGGAAGGTTACTCTTGCAATGGTGCCAATTGCGGCAGGAAATTGACAGAATGTTTGGGTGCAGCTTCCATCCATTTGCAACGAACAAAGGCCCCTCGTGGATTAACTCACTTCATCCAAACATATCAACCGGCAACTGATCAACATGAGCACTTTGTATGAAGGCTAGAGTCTCTCAAAGCCCTGCCCATGTCACAATATACAGCCGACTGGAGAGCGCTTATTCTTGCTTAATAACCAAGTCTGATGTTGCCGGCAGACACACCCAGATGCACACTGCTTCGGAAACAATTGCAACTTGTATCACCACCTCTCAAACAGAAACAACAACTGCGAAAATCTATTATAGCTGTGAGATGGAAGAGGGGAAACTTAGCCAACACTCCACAATGTTTGATTGACAACCACTTACTCTGCCGGTGGTGGTAAGCTAGAATGGGGTGCCATGTGGCCCTCCCTTGTACCGCGTCCAATCTGCCTCCCTGAACCTGGCAGCCAAAAGCAAAATTGGGACTTTCTGCAAATAGAAGATCTCATATGGTCAATTGGGAAAGTGGTGATTAAAACTTGACGTTAAGTCAGCCTTTGGGCTGGTGTTTCAAAGCTGAAACTGTCGGAGCCCGGTTATATATAGAACGCTTGAATAAGAACCGACTGCACAAGTGATAAGTTGCCCTGAGAAATTTGCCCTTAGTGCGCATGCACGCAGCTGGGCTTACTCAAGGTATGGCATGCAACATTTCTTGTTTCCAGCTTCCTTACGGTGTCTGGTTTGAGAGAGATGGACATCAGAGAACTTAAAAGAGCACCTGCCAACTCAGTGCTGTCTTTCCAATGCTGTCACGTCCTGCCAATCGCCAACATATGCACACCTTTAAGCTGCTTGATATGTTGCACGAGCTCTATGTAAACCAGCGCAGTTTCTCAAAGTAGTGACCACATGCAGCCTACAGCCTCCAGCTTGCTCAGTTGATTATCTCAAACACAGCAGAACCATCCTCTTGTAAGTTGTGTGAACCAACCTGATCGTTTTGTTGTTCGACGTTCAATAGAGCAACTCGCGCAGCAAAATTCCTACGACCAAGCGATTGCTTCAAATGCTGGCCAGCCTTGCATCCTTAGTAAAACCTCATCTCATACAGCAGAACTATCCTGCGCTAGCTTGAGCATGCCTTCTAGTACTAGTTCTAGAATTGCTGCAATATGCGCAAGGGGATCACGCAACTTGAAGTTACTTAGTACTTTTGCAGCTCGGCATGCTGAGAGCGACAATTCAGGGTGGTAACGGTAGAAGCATCTCCGTTAAATAGTAAATCCAGTAATGTGTGGTGTATCCATTATCGCATCGAAACTAACTAACTTTTGAATGCGGATCCCAACGAACGGTGACGATGAGAAAGCTGACTTCACGATGAGAAAGCTGACTTCATCGACGGCATTGAAAGAAACCCTTTTGAGCGCGCGCATTTGGTTCACTTCCCGCAAGTGGAGGACGAGCGCGAGCCTGACTTGACTCAGTCGGAGTAATGCATGATCAGCCTGGAACTTCCGCAAAACTTCGACCCCAACCTAGGTACCTACCGCTAGTAGTACCGGAGTAGGTACTACTGGGACGTGATTTGGAGTGCGTCAGGCCCGTGCTGTCTGAAGCAGAAGCTCTGTACTCGACTTTGAGGACCTATATTAGATACTACAGGGGAAACACTATCTAGCAGCAGTACGGTTCGGAAAGCGGCCTTATGAGGTACTGTATCGTGGCCGTCCATCTAAGGAGCCAACGATCACAGAACTTCATTGACCGGTCGGTGCCGCGATCATTCAAAACAGCACCAGGATATTTGCAGCCTGAACAAGCAGTTTTTTTTCTGGCGCCATAATGCATGCACGAGAATTGTAATGCTGCATCATCATCTCCAGCTTTTGCAAGTCAACAGTTTAAATTCATCAGAGGGCCACCATTAATTTCCTACAAAACACAATGCTGTGGCGAAAGTCACAGTGAAATGCTGTCAGATAACGAGGGTTCAAGCCTCCAGAATGGATCCAGATCAGTCAAGGATCAGTGACACTACAGCGCCTCCTTTTTGTTGATGTCCTGCGAATGGCCCCAGAATCTTAGATCTGGTGTTGCGCAGCGAGAAATCACCCGTCAATTTGAGACAGACGTGAGCATTCTGAGATGCCAGGGGCTGCTATTTGTGTTCTGTATAGCAGCCTTGGGTGATGTGAACGAAAGGGGATGTCAACAACAACCCGGAAGATCTAACATAGAGACAGACGAGTCCGTAGCAATGCCGTCATATTCATGTCCATAGGAACTCTTCCAGCAACCAGAAGTCCCTTGATAGAGCAATGCTGCGTTAGGGGCCGGGTACATCTGGGGCTGTAGCACTGAATGACTTTGGCAAAGGGAGCACGTGAGGCAGCCCCCAGAGTCTGGGCAGAGACAGCGAACGCCCTTCTGCACTGCTGAGTTGGTAACACAAGGAGGCGGTCTGATCAAGTAGCCTCAACCGCCCGTTCATGCATCATAGTCGCAGAAGGATGGAGCGCCACATCAAAGCCCTGTGAGAAGAAAAACGCAAAAGCGGAGCGTCAGGTTTCTGCTCTGATTGCAACGTCAAGGGTTTGGTTGAGCGGGAAGCGAGTGACACGATGACTCTCAAGCTGGCAGAAGGGAGCCGCTGACGTGGCAGAGTGTGGACCAATCAGAGAGTGGCGGGTTCCTAGGGGCAGGCATCATGAAGCTGTCGGCGGTGGAAGAAGCGGTGTCATGGATTGGGGAGTTGACAGGTGTCTGGCTGGACTCCGATGGGTTCGACTTCTGCGAGGTGCGCCGACTGCTTTTCCAGACTCTTACCAGGGATAGACGTCACGGATGTGCCTGCAAGAATCGAGTGAAGCCGTTCTATGCTTTTGTTTTCTGGTAACTGGGGTTAAGCCCAATCCTGAAGGTTGACAGGTGTTTTAGTTGAAGAGCCAGTTCTAGGTTATGGTGATTAGTAGGGAGCAATCAGAGTTGGAGCATGCTGTGACTCAGTGCTTCAGACCGTGATGGATTACTCTGCTAGCCTCGGCATTGCACCCTGCTGTCTCCTAATGTCAGCACCAGCAGTTACACTATAAAGGTCCATTGTGACGAAAGAGGCTGCTATCGTAAAGAGGTCTAGAGGCCAGTCTCGGAGCTGAAGGTCAAGATTGACGTTGCCAGAAATTTTCTCAAAGAATGCTTAAGTTCACCTCGAAGGAAGAAACATACACGCAAGCAAAGGCACAAACCACAAACCAGTGTCTATAAAAGCCGAGTCAAGCGCTGGGTGGGTTTGCCAAACGGGTTTCCATCTTCCAAAGGAACAAGTCTGTATTTAAACCCTGCACCTTCAAGCCTCTTGAAACTCTTGAATCATGAGCGCATCAGCTCAAAGCCTTATAGAGAGCCTTCTGCCGGACGTTCGTGTTCTTCCAGTATCTTTCAATCTTTGGCATGAAGCTCTCTGCTTCATTGTTGGACCAAAGGTCTCAACTGCTTGCGGGTTTTCTTGACAGCTGGCAGGTCATAACGACAGCTGGCAACCAAGGTTTCAAGCAAGACTTAAACCTGAAATAAGATTCTCACGCCTGGTAAAAGTATCAGTCCAATGTTGCTGACGATGTACAGTCCGGCAATTTGAACACTATGTAAAAAGAGCGAATGCCAGGGTGAGCTTCAGAAATGAAAGTTGAAGAAAAGGTGTCAAGGACCTTCACTCTTCTTCGCACACTCTTCTCATTTCTCGCATTCGTGTAGCTGATTTCTTTCTGCAAAGCCGTTCATGCGACCAGAGGCCCGCAAAACTAGCTGACAATTCGTCCTGAAACGACAGGACTTGTTGGAAGAATCGCAGCCTAAATACGGACATCATATTGCAACAAGTACATATCCTTTGGCAATGGCGATGGAACACTTTCACTCCGTTCTTTGGTGCTTGAACCAACGCAAAATTTCCAACCCCTGCAGCAACTCTGCGACGGCGATCTTCTCGTCAAAGTGGCGCGCAGCGCCGCCCCCTCCGCGCTCGACCGCATCCACATCTCCCCGCGCGTGCTCGCCACGCAAACCGAAAGCGCGGCGGTCCGCGACATCCGTTCTTCCGGAACCCCCCTGAAACGGGATGGCAGTTTCCCCCGGGAGGACCGCTTGGGATGGGTCGAGCGCACGCGGTACCAGGCAAAATTCAACGCGATGGAGAGCATCACCACGTTTCTCGCCGTGTGCCGCGCCGCCGGGTGCAAGAAAGAGGACCTGTTCTCCGCCGCGGACCTGACGGAGCACCGCGATGCGGAGCGCGTCGCGCGGGGGCTGCTCGCGCTGCGCGTGGCGACCGCGAGCCGGGGGGCGTCGCTCGAAGGGGACGAAAAGGGCGAGGGGGACGACCCCCTGGTGCAGACGCTCCGCAGGATCGAGCTGACGTCATCCCCGCCGTCGCCGCTGGGTGGGAAGCATTCGAAGACGGGTTTTGGGCGCGAGCGGCGGAGCACGGGGGAGGGCTCGTCACAGAGTTTGGACGAGGCCGCGAATCTGGATGACGAGTACGACGCGGCGGTGTGGCCCGAGTCTCCGGTCGGACGGGAAGAGCGCCCGGCGTTTGGCGGGGGCCCGCGGTCCCCGTCGACCGGCAGGACGAAGCGGAGCGACTCAGTGACGAGCACGTCGTCCGCGGTGAGCGCGTACGGCAGCAGCCTGACGGCGCTCGGTGTGAAAAGCCCCGAGGAGTTCGACACGATCCGGAAGTTCGCGCGGCGGCTCGCGTCAAAGGACCGGGTCGTGAAGGAGCTCACGGGCGCGATCCAGGCGGCGAACGACCGCGAGGAGCGCATGCGCGCGCGGCTCGCCGAGCTGGAGACGCTGATGGGGAAGGGCGGTAACGGTGCCGGCGGCGGTACCGGTGACGGCCCGCTGAGCCGGACATCGTCGGCGGGGACCGTGACGGCGGACCAGTTGGACGCGCTGGTGGGCGACGTGCGGCGGCAACTAGAGGAGGCGAAAAACGAGTTGAGCGAGACGAAGCGCGCGTACGGCGAGGCCGTCGCGGAGTGCGAGGAGTCGCGGCGGCAGTGCGCGGAGTTCCGGACGGACCTCGAGATCGCGCAGCGCGAGGTGTCGGAGGTGCGCGAGGAGCTGGCGGGGCAGGGCGGGACGCGCGACGCCGAGCTCTCGCGCGTTTTGCGGGAACTAGAGGAGCGGAAGAAGCAGCTGGAGGACGCGCGCGCGGCGAACCAGCGGCTGGAGAAGGAGCGTGCGCGCGCAGAGAAGGGCGTGAAGAAGAAGGAGAAGCAGCTGCGCGCGCTGCTGCTCGTGGCCCAGGGTTTGCGCGAGGGTTTGGCGCGGGTTAAGCGCGAGTTCGAGGCGTTCAGGGCGCCGCTTTTGGGCGATATGCAGCGCGTGTTGGAGTTGGGCGACTCGTTGCGCGAGGTCGGCGAAAAATATGACACGGTGCGGAAGGAGAACAAACGGTTGCACAACGAGATCATCGACCTCAAAGGTGGGCGCTCGAACGTTCACACTCTTGAGCGTCTCTCAAAAGTCAAGTGAGATGACTGGAAATCTGTTGGATAAACGAGGAGACGCGTTTTGCAAAGACGACAGCGGTGATCGATCCCAGTATTTGTTGAGGCGCGCGCGTCTCTCGTTGCTGCAGACAAGGAAGATCTACCTAGTCAATAACGCGTAGCTTGCCCACAGTTCAGGTTCTGCAGTCGTTCTGTATAATAGGTCCATGCTTGATCATTCAAGGTCTAAGTTTCGTTCCTGGACTCTGTAGGCGTGCTGACGAAGGAGCAGGCAAGGACGATTCGAACAAAGCTCCGATTGGCAACGGTGTTCGTGATAATATCGTTTGCCCAGCCAGCAGTTTGACCGTCTGACGCATGCCTGAACCAGCTGACCAAATGATCTTCGTCCGGCAAACCGTGTTCGCAAGCGATTCGTCCGTTTCTTGAAAAGCGTCTTTCCCCGCCCCCCGAAAAAGAAGCTCTGAACCCCGTACCGCGCGCTCCGCAGGCAACATCCGCGTCTTCTGTCGCGTGCGGCCCCTGTCTCACAAGGAGCTGCGCGACGGCGCCTTCGCGGCCGCCACGTGCCCCGGGGATGACGTCATCCTGGTGAAGCAGCAGCAGGGGGTCAAGGCGCCCAGCTACAAGTTCAGCTTCGACAAAGTGTACGGCGGGAACGCGACGCAAGGTGGGTGGTTCGATACGTAGGCTTTCGAACGCTCAATTTCTTGAGAAGTGAACGACCGCGGTCGAAACCAGTCGGCCAGCAACCGCTTCGCCGGTGCAATGCACCATCAATCTGTGTAAGAGCAGGGACATTGGTGTCTTCTCCAACGGCTGTGGTGAGCCGTGCCCTCCGCTGAGAACTCAGGCGTTGGTGTATCAAATGAAGAACGTGGTTGTTGTCGAACATCCAACACTTTGTATAATCGGGATTGTTGAAAGCAAAGTGTCGGACTTTCTTCGTTTGTGCGACCTCACAGGCGCGGCTTCAGCTTCTAACCTTCTTTGCCTTACGAACGAGTTCCTAACCCGGCTCGTTCTGGAGTATCGTCGACAAAGCTACTTTGGAGAATCTTCTGACATTCCGGAATTTTAAGCCGTTTGGCCGCCTGAATCGATCGGAAAAGTCCGATCACATCGTCATCGCTGACGAACGCTGACGTTGTGCCACGTCATCCCGTGCAGAGGAGGTGTTCAGCGAGGTTGAGGGGATCATCCGGTCAGTCATCGACGGCTACAACGTGTGCATCTTCGCATACGGCCAGACCGGCTCTGGCAAGACGCACACCATGGTGAGCGCGCGCCCGCGCGCGGGCGCGCCCACTTTGAGCTTGACGCGCGCGACTTTGCAGCGCGCGTTCTGCTCTCATTTCGTGAAGAAAATGGTTGAAGGCGCTGTCTGCAACGAGGGTCCGTGTCTTAGGGTGGAGCGACAGAGACGGCTTACGAGTATTCTTAAGATTGAGCACGCTTCAAATCAAAGCGTTTCCAAGGAACCGACACGCCAAAGTCGTCGGGTAATATTGACCATCCGAACGTGGCTGCACATCTTTCACCCCTATCTTCAAAACAAAGCAATGTTCTTCTAGCCAGGCACGATCATTTGGATGTTAGGTCGGACGGGAGCGAAAGTCAGAGCTCCAAATTCAGATACTTTCAGATAGAAGCACCGCACGAAGGAGATCTCTTGACACTTAGCTTGCTGACTTCATGCCCATCTCACTTTCACAGTCCGGGCCAAGCGGGCAGCTCGACAGCAAGTCGGTCGGTGTCAACTACCGGGCACTTGATCTACTCTTCGGGCTGCGGAGCGATCGGTCGGCGGAGTGGGACTTCGACATCGGGGTAGAGATGGTCGAGGTGAGGGCGTTTTTGAACTCTGCCGCCCGGAGAAATCGATTTGAGATCTTTGTCTTCTGAGGTGCCGTCGGCACTGTTGCGACGAAGAGAATTGAAAGCTAGCCCGATGTCGTCATTTTGCGGAATGGTCGACGTGAGGGGGATTTTGAGTCCGTAAAGCTGAAAGGAGTCCCCTTGGACTCTACTTCTTCCGAGGTGCTGTTGACATCGGGGTAGAGATGGTCGAGGCGAGGGGTGTCTGTGTTCTGTAAAGCGGGAAAATGCCTATGGAGTACTGCTTGTCTTTGTTGCCGAGAAAGTAAAGTAAGGCTAGCTCATACCGTCAAACTTTTTGAGATTCGTACTCCCTGTTCAGACTTTGTAAACCAATTATGTAGTCCTTCAATTGTGAAAGCCAGGATTCAGCAGATTGATTCCTTGGTCGAATGTTTGCAAGCTTTTAAGCCAAGGAGATTCAATGTAGTTTTTTAGGAAAGGCTGTCGTGACACTAGGAAAGGCTGTCGTGAGAGAGACCCAAAAGAGTCTCTTCCCTCGCGACCGCGCAGATCTACAACGAGACAATCCGTGACCTGCTCATGAATGTAACCTCAACGAACGGGAGGGACTCCCGGGACCGGAAGAAGCTCCAGATGCGCATGAAAGAGGACGGCAACCGGTCGGCAGACGCGTCCCGGGTCGCGGTGTTCACACCCGAGGTACGAGGAAGCATCTTATATGCGCTTCTGAAATTCACCGCTTTTTGCGTCCCTGCCCAAACTCGGATTCGATCCCTTCCCTTCTTTCACCCGACGTTTGACGGGGACGAGTGCGAGCGAACTGGAGATTTTGCGCCTGAGGGGGTTGCTAGACTTATGTACCCGCGCAACTAACAGCTCGGCTTGGTATGCTCAGAAAGTAGAGGGACGATTATTCACCACCACAGGCTTTCTTGAGAGCCTGCGGGCCGCTCTACCGCTGTTGCAGATAAGCTATCCGTTGTGCGCGCTTGAGCCGTCATTAGGTGCAGCTTCAACCGGGGGAAAAACCCGCGTTCTTACGTCTCGCTCTGCTGAGCTTTTGACACGCTGTACGCGAGAAGTCTCACGGTGTTCTGCGTTCCGCTCAGGACGTGTTGGCGGTGATGGATAGCGGAGGCCGGAACCGCGCCACCGGATCGACGAGCATGAACGAGCGGAGCAGCAGGTCGCACTGGTGAGGGGACTCCCGCGCGGTTTGCAATGCACTTGTTTGCCTCCATTATTGACATGTTCCTAAAACGGTAAGGCATTTTTATTGGTGATCATATTGGCCGAAACTCTTACCGGGTTGACCGCGTTGACCAAAATCGAAACTTGAGCGATCTAACCCCCTACAAACCCCAGCAAATTCTCTGCTTCGAAAACGAGAAACCCTTGACCCCACAATAAACCCTTCATCGCAAAAGTTCCAATTTGGGAGGACATTCTAGTTCGAATGAACCTTTGAGGCTGCATCAGGATCAGCGGGTCGAAGGAGAGAGGTGACTTGAACCTTCATTTGCTTGAAAGCGAAGGAAGGAACCGCAATTCTTCCGTTTGGACCGTTAGCCTGTTCTTCCGGTCTTCTCTAGGTTTTTGTGTAGAAGGAAAAGTAGAGTAAGGTTAACACCTGGTTGCCGGCGTGCTTCGTGAACTTCGTGAAGACGTCACTTTCAAGCGTGCTCATCCGTTCCAAATTTGCCTCGCGGCGCAAGCGTCTCCGTGCACATAATGCCCAAGACTCCCGTTGGTTCCAAACGGCGTTCTGAAACCGACGTCATGCTGACCGCAGCATCGTGACGGTCCGCGTCGACGGGTTGCACAAGGTGACGGGAGAACACGTCAGCAGCAGCCTGCACCTGGTGGACCTGGCGGGCAGCGAGCGCATCTCCAAGAGCGAGGCCACGGGTGAGGCCATAGCGTATTAAAAAGGGTATCAATTGTCATCGTACACTATGAGAGAATTGAAGATAGGCTCAGTGGTTGTGAAGGCTTGGTTTGTCCCATTGCGGGAGGATCTGAATGATCACGTGTCTGGACGGTGATTCAGTATGGTCGAGGACATGGCTGGGTTCGAAACGTGCGCTTAAAGCCTACGGCCGACGAGGAGTCCCAAAATCGAGTTCAGTGTCTCTATTAGTCCACCTGACTCAGTTTAGCTTCACCTTTTCGTGACACAAAATAGCGAAGTCTTCAGCAAGAAGGCCCGCTTTATGGCGCGAGCAGATCGAGGTAAAAACATAAGATCGTCAACTTCTTCCTTTAGTCTCTGAACATCAGACTTACAACCACTTTCCTGATTCGGGACAAAAGTATGACAGCGTTTCTCATTTCGTAGGGGACCGTCTGAAGGAGGCGCAGCACATCAACAAGTCGCTGAGCGCGCTGGGTGACGTCATCGCGGCTCTGGTGGAGAAGCGGCCGCACATCCCGTACCGCAACAGCAAGCTCACGCAGATCCTGCAGACCGCGCTGGGTGAGCGTTCTTGAGGTTCTGAGGTTTAGAATTTTAGGATTCCAGGGTTTCAGGGTTTCAGAAATTTAAGGTTTAAGGCTGGTTAGAAACAAAGTCTCAGGTCGGTTGAGGATCTCTGGAAGGTTAATTCGCGCTTGGTGAGCTTTATCAAATCTTTAAGAGATTACCGGTATCGAAAGTTCTCAAGGATTCTAGGACTTTTTAAAGTGATGTATGTATCGACACGCCCAACTCAAGCAAAAGTCCTTACGAAGTGTCGAAATAGTGTGGGAAACTTTTTGCGATCTGATCAGAACCTTTGCAGAACCTCAACTTTCCTCTCGCAAAAGCGAGGTTCTGAGCAACATGGGTGGTAAGTTTGATCGACCTGAGTACCAAAGATCAGTCACCTTGATTGAGCCCAGGCATAAAGTGCACCTTGGTTAGCGCAGGATTACACGCCCTTGCTGATTGCTTTGCCTGTATGTCTTTCCGTTCAGGCGGCCAGTCCAAGGCGCTGATGTTTGCCCACGTCAGCCCCGAGTCGGGCTCCGTCAGCGAGACCGTCAGCACGCTCAACTTTGCGCAGCGCGTGAAGCAGGTCGAGCTGGGGAAGGCGAACCAGAACAAGGGCAGCCTCGCGGAAATGAAGGAACTGGTGAGGGAAAAAATGCTCACCGAAACTCGTTGAAATTCCTCTCAGATTCGGTCTACGCTGCAGTACGCAAAAGGAGAAGCGAAACGCTGGAAACATCCGTAAGCGGTTGCAAGAATGAACGTGGCAGTGACGCACCGATGCGCGGGCTGTTAAAACAGTCATTTTGAGCGATTCGCCTTCACCTTTTCTGGAAGAAAAAGACATGCCAATGTAAACAAACCGGCCTTGAGAAGCGAGAACTGTGTAGCGAGACATGAGGCCAGCCTTGCAAGGACATGTCGGAAACTTTGGCTGCTAACCAGGCTGACTACCAGACTTGACGCTCGGGTTATTGGACAACTAACCGGGCTTTAACCTTGTTCAGGGGCTGGTGAACGCCCAAGTCTGGTTACTGGACATATAACCAGTTTCTAACCAGCCCAGAACCGTCCTAGGTTAAGGGCCAAAAACTCCTGTGTGTACAGGCATCCGCGGGTCTGGAACAATTCTGGACATCGTAAAACTTAGGGACAACATGTTGTGTTCGACGGGGTGTTCGATACGTCCCAGAAAGGCGGGGACTCCAAGCTATCATCGAAAACCTTGGAGTTCGCACCTGATCCTTTGCAGGATGGCGTTGCAAGTTGTTGACCCTAAGCTCGAGAATCGATGTCGCCGAGGCACACGGCACGGGTCAGACACGAACGCGGTCGGTTGGAAAGATGGACCATTCCACTCACCGTCGGTACTTTTCTCGTCTTCGCAGATGATGGAGAAAGAGCGCGAGCTCCAGGAGATGGACGCGCGCGTACGGCAGGCCGACGCGGCCGCGGCGGAGGAAGCGCGCGTCGCGGTCCAGGCGGAGCTCGCGGCCGCGACGGACGAGGCGGTCGCGCTCCGGCGCGCAGTCCAGGCGCTCGAGCAAGAAAACAGGGCCCTCAAACTCAGGGCTGAACAGGCCCAAAAGCAAGGGCCCCGTGAATTGGATCTCGAGCCGAAGCGCGCGGCCGCGCGGCCGCCGAAACTCCAGATTCCGCCGGCAGAGATTACCGTGGGCGACGGAGAACGGACTCCGACGGAGAACGGAAGGGTAGGGAGCCCGCGCGCGGAAGCGCGGCCGCGGCGACGGAGCCGGGACGTCAAGCTCGCGAAGAGCGCGCCGAATTTGGAAGTCCGGCGGAAGAGCAACGGGCGGAGCTCGGACGGAGAGACGGAATCGAGCTCCGATACGGGTTCCGTTCCGGTGTCGCCGAGCCGGAAGCGCGGCGAGGGCTCGTCGATTCCGCTCCCAGTGGGTGTCGGTGTCGCGCGCGGAACCCCGAGCGGATCGTTGAGCGCGCGCGAGCGGGTGGCGAGCGCGCAGCCTTCCGCCCCCCAGCACAACGGGAGCGGAATCCGGCGGAGCTCCGGGGCCGGCAGCCAGGACGAGAGCACGAGCGACGAGGAAATGAGCGCGCGCATCTTCGCGGCCGCGGCTCCTCTCGGTCGGAACGGGTCGCTGGGACAAGCAGTCCCGGGCAGTCCTACCGGGCACAAACCGAGGCCGGTTACGGCCGGTGCGAAACCCGGGTCAGCGCCTGGGTTAAGGCGGAGGAGCTCAGACGGGCCGGAAGGGATCATCAGAGCGGACCCCGCGGTTTCGGCGCAGAAGCGGCCAGTGACTGCGGCTCCTTCGGGGTAAGTGGCATCCGTCGAACCCTTTTTGATGGTATTTGCATGCGATTTTGGAGATTAGCAATGTTTCTTCAAAGAAGCTTGCAGATTGGTGTGCACAGCCGGACTTGCAAGTGTCTCCAATTCTGAAGACAAAGCTAGGCTTAGTAAGAGCATGCTCTTGCGGCCTCAAGAAGGATCGTATCAGAAACGTTGGGCGGTAGCGTAGACAGCGTTTCCTTCAAACTCGAAGGCGTCTGGAGCAATCAATCAATTCTGAAACAAAACGTCCGGCGCTACACACCCGGATGTGAATGAATACGAGACTGACTAGCTCTCTCCCAACGGTTGCAGCAAGGTCGCGAGGCCCACTCCTGTGGCTGGGGCGCCTGTCGCTGTTAGAAAGTCCGTCGAAGGTGCCGGGACTGCAAGCAGCAAACCCAAGGCTTCGACGCGAAGCGCCGCGTCGTCCAATGCGATTGCCCTGACCACCGCCCAGGCGAAGCCAAAAAGCGCCGCCGCTCCAGGAAAAATCTGGGCGTAGCCTAAAAACAACAAATAGTGCTAGATGAAGGGGTCGGTAAATCTGGCGGCCAACTGTACCAGTAAACGTCGAAAAGCTTTAATAACGACTGAAAGTGATCGTAGAGAACAGAAACGTTCTCAATGCAGTGTGTTGCAGTGTGTTAAGCTCTTATTGTTGTTTTGTGATTGTAACGTAGATACTGTGAGGCAGTGAGATTTCTGACCCATGTCTTGAGACTTTTTCAACAGCGAGGCAGATCTGGATCTCACCAAACTTTTAGCTTATCTGGTTTACTCATCAAATAGCCGGCAGTAAGTTTATAATTCTTAAACATTTTCGCACGTTGCATACGGAACCATGCCGCTTATATTACTGCGAGAGCGCTGCTCATTGCAGTCCAATGACCCTGATCAAGTCGGCTTAACCCAGCTAAATTATTGAGGCGATTAAACTGCCGTAGCTCCTCGAAGAGCAGCTGAGCAACGGTAAGGCTATCTGGTTCCGCTCAGCGGCTCATAATACAGGTCTGTTTGCTTGTTCAATAACCGGTATCTGAGTACCCGTTCGCTAGTCATACGACCTGTTTTGCGACGAAGAAACGCTATGCCGCACCGTTCATGCACTTCATGCTAACACTGCATGAGCGGATGGATGCACCAGCGGATTACCTTTGACCGTCCTGTGTATAGCTCCACAGATTCAGTTCTGGCAGAGCCCATGCAGCAGATTTAGCAAACTACCCCCAAAACCCTCTGGACACCAATCTAGAGCAGCTCAAGACATGGACACAACACTCTGACAAGCGCCGCTTCGTGGTTTCTTAGTCTTGGTTTTGGCTCGAGTGCGAATACTCGGAAAGGCAATAAATACATTGAGTGCTGGAACGAGGACAGCAAAGGACCACGGGAAGCCTTCTCCGCTGTAGGCCGTGCAAAATCGGAAACCTGGACCTAACTTCGCCTTCGGGTTATGTGGTCAAAGAGGACTATCTGCTTGTATTCTGGATCCACTAACTGCAGATAAAAAATGCCAAGGTTTGAACGATCGAAACTGCAAAGATTCCTTGTTGGAAGCAGAGTATTGACTTTCTGAGCGATGTCCCCCTCTCTGAGGTCACCATCACGGAAGGTCGTACGCAAGGCTTCGAGCATGAAGGCTATTTGGGAAAATCTAACACCTTTGAGACGGAACTTGTAGAGTGGGAGAGAGAGCTTGACAAGGACCATAATTCTGCATTTCATTAGCCAAATAGGATTGAGCGTAAGACGACAGTGAAGTTGTGTCCTCCCTTTTCGTGCAGCGCAAGGGCAGTGGAATCTAAGAAGGAGACTTATTTTCAGATGACTGAAGACGTTCAAACAGTGCCAACTGTGCCAAGCCACGAGAGCAGACTGGGATACTGCAATAAATCCAACAAATAGGGTTGATCAATAATTGCTCATCCTGACTTCAGACTGAAGCCTCAATATTCTTTCAATGAAGCAGACTGCGCGACTCACTTCCGTGCGAACTGAGTTGTCACCCGGCTTCGCTTTTGGGTCGACCTGCGTGCACAGTTGGGAGACCTTTGTGCATTTACGCAAGTCCTTATACAGGTATGGTAAGCGTGGAGAAACCGCTACAGCACCTTTCAAACGATGCCTTTTCTTGAAAGACCTTTGCCTCTTAGCGAATCCAAAGAGCAGCACGGCGAGTTGAGCGTGGATGTGTCACAAACTTCAACCTTTTTGACATTTGTGGACATCCTCGGGCTGCAGAACGAATTTGCTTGCACCGTGGCACCTGGACTTTCATTTCCAATCTGACGTCTTATTGTGACGACTGTCAAGCGAGTAAGCTCACAAACACACAGTTGCTGCATACTCCAAGCACAGGCTCAACAAGGCTTTTCAATTCTCGGTGGGCAAGGATAGACGCTCACGTTGATTACTTTACGGTCCCGCTTGTTTTTGAAGAGCAGACCTTCCTCGTTGTCGGCAATCACCTGCACGAAGAGAGATCCACTTTCGAACAATCTCAAGAATACCCAATTCTGGCGGTGTATACTGGAACTCTCTGTCCTCGGTATTACGGAAGGAATATAGCCAACCTTAGCAACAACTCGTGAAGGGTAGAATCGCAGAGTCCTTGATCACACGAGAGTAAAAGTCTACAAGCTCAGCGGAGAAATTTGACTCCTTCTATCACAGCCTTTCTATCTCTGCCCCAACGACGTCGTTACAAGATCCAACAAATCCGGGTCACTTGGACGCTCCAACCCGCTCAATCCAAGCCCAGCTGACCAGCAAGAATAATCACGAGAAATAAGGCTTTCCACTTCCTTGCAAGTCTCTTCTGAATCCAAACATGTCACCAATCGAATCGCAGCTGACCTGAAAGTTCGGCGTGGCGTTCGACGTCGATGTCTGCGTCTCCCAGTTGTAGAAGCTGAGGTCGGAGGGCCGCGGCAGCAACTTCTTCTTGCATTCAAACACCGGGTCGAGGTCCTCCGTCTTTAACCGCTGGGCGTAATCTATATAAGCAGACACCTGCGGCCGAATACGCGGTACGCTTTTGGCCCCACCTGGATCGCGGTATGCCAATCTGCGCTCATTTTGGACTATTGTTGGGTAGCAGAATCTGTTGGTCAAATCAAAGCTGGATCGCTCTCAAGAACGATGATGAATTGAGATTGATAGGACGAAAAGGACGGAGGCAAGACGCGTCTCAGGTTGAGGTGAAGTGATTGGTGCGTACATGCAGCTATGGAGAAGCAAAGCTAGAGGGAATTTAAGATCACACAAGAAACGAAACGGAGGTGAACAACCAGGATTCCCTTGTCAATTGGTCACTGAGATTGACTGAATAATTCGTCCAGGTTTACGTTCGATTGGCTTTAAGGACAAGTCGCGTAACTCAGATTTTTGGTGTCTAAGTTGTGACTCGCAGAGTCCTCTCCCTAGCAGCGTAACGTACCTCTTGTCCTTTGCTGTTGACGTCACGGACGAATATGATAGTCTGAACGACTTGAGTCAAGTACAGAGGCTTGTTCAAAACACGCTTGCAGGGACCTTACATATAGGGGCTCACAGGCTTCCAGAGGAGAAGGAAAAAGTGGCCAGATTGTCGCTTCGAGACTTCTGTAACATGCAGTGGACGGAATCAAGACAGACCTTGCCAGATAGCACCTCAATGAATGGATGCACGTACTCAAGACTCGAAGCTTCGAACAATAAGACTTGCATGCAGTGAAGTCACTGCCTGGAGCGCCTGATAAGGATACTGCCAGCTTCCCACTCCTCACAGGCTCCTCTCGTTGCGCCAAAGCCTGCACGAAATCGAATGGAGCGCTTCTTTGGCCTCCGTAGAGCTGCCACGCAAATTTGGCGAAAGCAAGCAGCCCTCTCTGCGAGCATCTGAAGATGCACTCGCACGCCCGTGGATCCGGTCTCTCTTCTGGGAATAGTCGCAGGAGAAAACCCACTTTTTCTTAAACTGCGTCTCAAGTCCAATGCAAATCACCTGTACCAGTAAGAAACGGCGTGCAACTGATGCAGGTGAAATCGTGGTTGCTTGGCGGCATTTGCTGTGATTCTTTTCATGAAAGCAAATGCCAACAGCAGGGAATCGGAGTGTTGAAACTCTTACCATCAGAAGCGGGTGTCCTTCCACATCCTTCCCCACGCTGTACAGTTTCTTAGGCTTGTTTCTCAGTTTCTGCAAAAATATCAGCACAGGCTCCATCAAGGGAAGCGCCAGAGGCATCTTCACAGTACCCCAGGTTCTTGACATTCAGCAGGCAGTGTCGCTCGCGGCAAGGCTACATCCTCCGTGACAGCTTTCAGATTCAAAATCTGGAAACGAATATGCATGCAAAGTTTTGCATGTAGGTCCTTGACTTGTCCGTAAGGTCTGCAAACTGATTTGTTCCTCATCGATTTAGAAACTCTCAAGTTAAGATTCTTGTTGGCCTACCTGCAACCTTGCTTGCTCAGCCGCCTCCTTCCTTGCCTCAAAGTCCTCCCTTCTGAGGATCTCGCCATTCCCTCGGTACCTGCCAGCGAGCAAGTTATACTGGTAAGACTTGAAACAATAACGACTGCAACGGAAGAGTTTCCTATAGCATTGCCCTGAAGAAAGTATGCCAAACACATCAGTGTCGGGCATGTGGTGAAAGTAGAGCAAGCGCAGGGCAACTTTGAAATTCGCAATGCTGCCCAGGAGCTGTTATTTCCCTTGGGATGAAAACTCCAAAGAGATGGTCTTTGAAAGAATCGGACTCACCCCAGCTCCACCAATTGCCGAGCTAGGTCCACATCTTCGAGGTAAAACATGTCTGTTTGCGTGATGTGATGATCCAGGTACTCTTCATAGCTGCAGTCAAAAAATGGATCAGGCTCAAGGACTGCCGAGCTCAGGAGAAGAAAAATTGCACACTCAAAGTGTCAATAGCCACATCAATCTCTCGCAGGAGTGAGGATGCAGCTAAACAGTACACATGCTTTGGGGCAGCAGAGATTTTGAACCAATTGCCTGTGCATTGCTGAAAGTGACGGCTAGGACTTGCTGTCAAGCTATGGAGATTTGGAGCCTCACGAGTTGAATTGCATAGCGGCATCTTGTATGCCAGTATCAAAGCCGTCCATCCTCTTTGTACTTGATCTCTGCGATCAAAGGAGCTCTCTAAGCAGCGTGCCTTCCTTCTTAAGCTTCCTTGAACTGTGTGTATGCGAGCACGTCACCATTTAGCGCACTGTTTGGCTGACTAGCCAGCTCTCGTGCTCTAGAGCAACTATAAAGGATTCCTTTATCTCACTCAATAAAACTTCAGCGACAATCGAATGATCAGGAGAGTGCATCTTTCTGCAAACGCTTACGTTAGAGCGACTTTAGAGACGAACTCAACATGAGCTGCCGGGCCAGAGCACGCCGGGGGCTGTAGGTAAGCTGGATTGTTAGGCCGTTCGGTCAGCTCAGTCTGGCCCCCACACGCGGCCACGGCGCGCGCACGCATGGCTTCGAGTCCTTCATCCGACGGTAATCTACGAAAACAAAACAATCATCGGACGGGTTTGAAGGAAAATGACTTGTAACCGTCGATAAGGATTTTATCAACGTCGAGAACAGGGCAGCTACAACACCAAAAGACTGTACGGTAACCGCCGGCTGATCCAACGAGTGCTTGAGACGAAATTGGGGCTTCTTTACTGTGTGTACTGTATATACATACCCATCAAGTTTAATACCTATAAGGATCTAATACCTATAAGGAAGTACCTGGGGCAGCAACCTAACTAAAAACCCTAACCTACAAACATCACGCGCTCCCCACCCGAACCCACCCTAACCACCATACCAACCCCACCCGTTCGCCGGGCGTGTCTTATAGCTCTTAGATCCTTATAGGTATTAAACTTTATCGTTATGTTTATGATGTTTGCTGGCACACAGGTGTGAAGTCCTGCTGTCCCTATACTTGATCCTGGATCTGGCCCCTGATCAGGACATCATTACCTAGGTACCCTGTGTAAACCAGTGAGCACCATTCCTGCTCACAATCTGCCTCCTGCCCTGTAGTCAAAGGAGTAGCCTCAGTAGGCGCATGGTCGTTGCTTTCAAGCATGCAATCAAAATTTGAGATGACCACATTCGTCAAAAGACCATCTGGATATCAGGCAGACAGCTGTCCAAGAAGACTGCGAATCTTGCATTGAGGCGGTGATTCTTCAGGGAACCTTCTTTGTCGCCTTGGAGCCACAGATGCTGCGGCCACAATAAACTTGTGGCTAAACCTTCAAAAGGCGCAAAGGGGTCAGAGAAACCTGGATCTGCATCCCAAGTAGAAATGGCGCCAAACAAGGGCACAGGGGGCTATATCGAGCTGCAAATTCCGGAGGGGCAGGCTATCAATGTGCGGTCCTCGGGCGACCCTGCCATGATTTATCCGATCAACGACGACCAAGACATGGCGCACGAGAGCGTCAGCCTGCGGGATGATGGGTCTCAAGGGGTGAGAATAAAGTTGTCTTTGTTTTTGTGGACTCCTGCTAGGAATGCTTGTGCTCTGCATCTGGGATACATATGCCTGTTAAATGGTCATGACTAGGTCATGCGAGGCCGCTTTTTCCGATCAAAGCTGTTGCAGACACATTGTGGAAAAAAGGACCAGAGTCTGGAGTTGCGCAGACATCACAGAACCTTGAGGCATTTTCTTTGGCTTACCAGCCAAATGGTCCTGGAAACCATTCCGGCATTCATAAGCATAGGTTGGGTTACAGCTTGTGAAGAAGAAGCAAGTTCACCCAGCAATTCTGTAAACCGCTGACCGGAGAACTTATGCTGACGGTCCTGGGCATTGGAATTAACGCTCTGATCACATTCAAATTCGTTGCAAAACTAGCAGAGAACAGTTTTAGCTTAGGCCACTTGCGCAGAAGTACGCAATAAACTCAACCATCTGCAGTTCCGGTTGAGTTGACCGGAACTAGCCGGCAGCACTGAGGGTCAACAGCATTTTAATGTTATCATGATCCCCCGCACATCGTGTTTCAGACAGAACCGCTGCGGCAATAGTGGAAGGCACGGTGAAGGTGGCCCACATCCAACCTTTCTCATGGGAACGCGAATCCTGATGCCCACAGATTCCTGAGACCAACAATCACGCACAAGATTCGTTCAGGAGCACCCACACAAGCAGCTGAATGTAGCGGTCAAACTGACCGTGAAGCTGGTAAATATACAAGATTCGTGAGAATCCACCTTCGCCAAATCGGAAAGCACTGAGTTCGGAATCTCAATAGCCTGTTCCCTAAACCCTTCTTGCAGGATGGACGCAGTGATGGACGCCGTAGTGAAGTTGGTAAACATCCACAGTATCGTCACACTTCATTTCTAAAAATTTTCGAGGTTGCGAAAGTCGAAGCCCAAAACGCCAAACGGTATGTTTTTGTTACAGGACGGCGCGCATCACAACCAGCTGACGGCGATGGTCGACGGCGCCGTGAAGCTGGTGAACATGCTCAACTTCATGAAGGTCGAGCTGGGCGACAAGAACACGTTCCGCTCCAAGGAGGTCTGGCGGTCCGCGGGGGCGGAGTTCGTCGCCACGCTGCTGTTCGTCTTCATTGGCTGCGGGTCCGTAGTTGCAACAGGTACGTGAACAAGATACAACCTGAAGCAAGCGTAACCAAAATTTTGGTGGCGCATGAGATTATGTGACCGGGGGCTTTGTAATGCAGTCTGTTGAAGAGCAAACGAATCAGACGTCTAACTCAGTCAGGGGGGGCCCTTGGCCAGTTCTTTTGAAAGCTATGGGCGTTGTCCCAGAAGAGTGCCAGAAAGTCTCGTGATCAGAATGCGCTAGGGGCTTATCCAGGCAAGCGATGCTTTGTAACGGTGAGAGGCAGAGGAGGCGATTCCGACCGCGTAGGTTGGAAGGACTGTTTCGTCGATACTAAGGCAAGCCCAGCAGCAAAACATCACCCGTTTGATCCTTCGAACCTGTTTAAACGCATCTGGTTTCATCTCAGCGACTGAATCAACCCGCCGGCATTGAGTAGCTTCTGCCGCTTTGATATACTGTCCATCTGGTTTGTCATCCACACCCAGGTTACAATTTGAATACTTGTCCCCTGAACGGCGACCATATCTCCTTCCAGGCATGCTTGCCCCGGGCCTCGACAGTGCCCGCCTGGTCGCCATCGCCGTCGCACACGGGCTCGCGATCGCGCTCCTCGCCGGAGCCACGGGAGCGATATCCGGCGGTCACATTAACCCGGCCGTAACCGTGGCGTTTGTGGTCGCCGGAAAGGAGAACCTGATCCGCGCTTCGGTGTACATAGGCGCTCAGCTACTGGGGGGGATCTTCGGGGCGGCGCTTCTAGATATGTGCACACCAGGTGGGTTATCTAGGTGGTTAAGCACTCGTTAGCAGTGGTGTATTGTCTGGCTTTGGGGTGGTTTAGGACTGAACGAGGCCTTCGTTCAAGACGCAATCCTTCGCATGTGGATATTTGGCGGTTCTTTCTGTGTGTTCGAGGTCGTGTCAAAATTGATATAGGGTGGCCCTAGCACACTCAAAACGAGACAGTCATCGTCGTTGTTTTAAAACGTTTTGGCAAGGAATGGACTGCAGTAACTCACCCGTATGTGGGCTGAAATACCCGGCTTGCCAGTTTTGACAACACTGGGTGGCCCAGAATCTGACCCAATATAAGGCCTGGACGCACGACTTTGTCTATCAATTGTTCTTCCTCACCCGAGCGCATTCCCACCCCCGCAGGCCACTTCGTGGGCGGCCTCGGCTCGCACTCCCTGGGCCACGGTGTAAATGCGGGGCAGGGCCTGGTGATGGAGGTCATGCTGACGTTCATCCTGGTGTTCACTATCTTCGGAGTCGCCGTCGATCGGCGCGGGCCCGGAGTTATCGCGCCGCTGCCCATCGGCTTTGCGGTGCTGGTGGACCACCTCGTGGGCGTCCCTTATACAGGCACGTGTGCATAGCTTATCTCTCTTATCACGTAGCTTACGGCATGGTTTATCTACTGGTTTCTTTCAGAAAATTGTTGTGGTAAAGGGACTTCCCGTTGGGCTTTGCGGTGCTGGTGAACCACCACGTGTCGCCTCATAGCTTATCCTATCTCGAATAGCTTGTGGCGTTTCGTTTCTGATTTGGTTTGGTGTCGGAGTTTCTGGGTTTTGCGGTGCTGATAGGCCACCCTCGTGGGCAAGCCCCAAGCAGGCACGTGCCTCCCCTCATTGCTTATCCCCCGGTCATAGCTTATTGAGTCCAACATCTGCCGTTTTGTTGGGGTGGGATTCGCTTCGCAATTTGCACCACTTTGAGCAGAAAAATGCGGCTACAGGTTTCACATTCGGCTCCTTCTGAGAAGCGCATCAGCACAGCCTCTCCGGCTTATATCTCCAACTTGACAAAACCTTGTGTTCCGCTCTCATCCGTTCCGGTTCCGCGCAGGTGCTTCCATGAACCCCGCGCGGAGCTTCGGCCCCGCTCTCGTCTCCGGCAGCTTCACGAGCGCGCACTGGATCTACTGGTTTGGGTGGGTTACGCTGACTTCTTTCTTTACCATTTTCTTGCAAACAATTGAGTAGATCAACATTCACAGCGCAAAATGCAGTCACTACTGCACATTGATGTTCTTCGTGAAGTACCGCCCTCATCTTTGAAAAGAGTCTGCTCTGGCAGGCTGAGACGCGCTTTGCGCATTAGCAGACAGCGGAGAACGCGCGGTTGACGTCAGCCCACTATTGCAACCTTGATACGCCGAGGCGGAAAATGCGCTTGGGCAGTTCAGCTTCCACCCTTCATTAAGAGCTGGAGTCTCCACTTCGACCATTACGTAATTGAGCGCTCTTCCCCCATCCGTCTTGGCATTCCGTTCGAAATCCTCTGGAAGAACCGATCCGCACAGGAGTCCCGGTGTTCTCTACCGATCGTCGCCTCGTTTCTTCTGCCAGCGGTACCTTCTCACTTGGTTAAAGCTTTTGAAAAGAACAAAAGCTCATGCTCTCAATGAGGTGCACGCCTTCCTTTGTGATAACTTTCCTGGAACTTTACCCATCTTCTTCCTTGCATCGGCGCCACATTGGCTGGAAAGACAAGCAAAGAGAAAGAGGGGAAACCATCTGATCAGATATGAAACTAATTTATAGCCTTTTTTGTCCTGAGAATCTTTAACATTCTTTTGCAGGCCTTGCATCGGCGCAGCCCTGGCGGCCTTCGTATATAAGCACATCTTCCTTCAGGCGCCCATCGTGCCCATGGTTCAGGACCAAAAGCCCGAGAAGAAGGTGGTCCTTTCTGCATAATGCCAACCGGGAAAGGAGTTGATAATTTTGCGGACTTTCTGGTGTCCGGAGGGTCGGTGGAGAGTTGCTGATTGAGACGAGGACGTCTTCCTAAGCGTCCGCACGTTGCGTGCAGACGCCTCAAATGATTGTGAAACAGACAGAGCGTTCGTTTGTTGCATAGATAGTTTGCTTGATTGAAAAAGAGAGATCAATTTACGTGCAATCGCTCGACGTACGGTCTACAGCGTTGCCATCTGACCCGGACTTCGCGATTAATGACCGCGGGTGAAACCGCTCGAGCTACATGCAGACTCATTCAGTTAAGCCGTGAACCTTATATAGCATGGGCCGGGGTAAATGCTACGGTGCGGGAAACCGGCTCGGCCATGCGCTCTCTTACATGAAACTCAAGAAGATAGGCCAAGATGATCTTAAGTTGAGTCCGACTAACCCTTGAACCCTAACCTAATTATAAAAGGTTACCTGCTCCACACCTGTACGCACCTTAACCCCAAAAGTAACCGTACCTGTCTCAACGTGCGGTAACCTTATTATGTCTCGCCTTAGATCCCTCTCTCTTAAGTTCGATCTGAGAAATGGCACTGCCCGCCTCGTCACATGCATTCTGGGGCACCTAACAAATTTTATCATTCTGATGATGTCATGTGCTCGCTTGCACCTGATGATTGGTGAAACAATTCGCTTGTTGAGTGTAGTCATGCACGCCAACGGAGTGAGATGTAGTGCAGCCTGACAAACAACAATCAGAAGAGAAAGGACGGGGCCCGGGCCCGGTCGCATGTCATGCATGCAGCTGAGAAAAGTTGTAACATGCCGCAATCATTGGAGCTGCATCATCCGTCTAGCTTCAGATATCCATGTGTGAGGCGATCACTTGAATGGGAGGCCTTGACAGCTAGCTAGATTGATCAAAGTCAATCTCGCAGCACGAACAGAGTCCCCGTGCATGGCTTCCATGATCACTGGGGCGATGCACACAATCTTGTTAGTTGTTTGATTGTTGGTTAATCGTAACTCTTTCTAGGACAGTCATCCTTCGGGACAGAGGCCCTTGAGTCGGCACTGCACATAGACTGAGACGCGGATGCCTGAAGCTCTTACCAACACGACTTTAAGTTTACGACAGCTGTCTCAATCGACAGACACGAAGGGGCGACATAGTTTGTCATCGGCTGGTGGTCGATTCCTATTTGAGACTCTCCTATTGCCACTTCGTCCGCACTTTTGGGCTTGGCTGGTCGGTGTAACCGGAATAAGGGGCAACTTCAGAGGCCTTTCTTTCCCCCCAGGATCTGTTTCTAGTCTTGCAGCGGCAAAGGCGGCCTTTGACCTGAAGGAACCAGCACCCCTCGCCCCTTCGTTCTTAACACCCATTTCTTCGTAAGTACTTCTCTTTTTCATGGATTCAGCTGCTGGTGCACTCCGTGCAGTCCGATTCGCAGACACCTGCGATCCGACGGCGGTGCTTTCGCTGCGATTCTCCTTCCAGGACAGTCGTTCTCGCTTGACGGTCCCCCCAGCAAGATTCTCCTTCCCGGCGGAATCCGCCCGCCCGTCTCCAGCGCATTCCGGGAACATGTTATAGAAGAGCTCCAGCGCTTCTTTAGCGGGGCGGACGTCTGGCTCGCTGTTACTGCGCGGAGTCTTCTTCTCCTTTTCGGCCGTCGGCTTGCCGTCCGGTACGCTCACGTCAGCACCTTCCGACCCCGCAGTACGTACCTCGCCACCTGTTCCGTTTACCCGATCGTCCGTTGCCTTCGGTTCCTCCAACCAAACAGCTTTCGGAGCCCGCCTTTCCGCCAAACCCGTTCTGAGCGGGCGTAGGCTGACGTCATTTGCAGTCCTGACCGTCGTTCCATTTCCGTTTCCGTTTCCGCCCATGTCTTGGACTCTCACCCTGTCCCTTCGTCCCCTGTCCGTCAACGCCGCCCGTTCTAGTTCGCTCCCCCGGTCTGCTCCAACTCGTTTAGTGCCACGTGGCAGGATCCTGGTGGCCCGCTCGAGCGACTCGACTGTCACGTGCTTATTCACCAAAGTGGCATCAGCGCTCATTCGGCGCCTTGTGATCCCCCGGCTTTCGGGATTCCCGGGCAACCTTTCCGTTCCGTTTCCGCTCGAACTAAGTCTACCGCTGCTGGTTCCGTGCAAGTCAGCTGGAACTGCATCCGTCCTAATTTTCAGTCCCTGTACATAACTTTTCTTCCCCGAGAATCTACGCTGTTTGCTGAGCACCCCCTCCCCTTCTCCACTCTGAGCAACCCCCCCCGCCATTCCGTTTGGCACTCTACCTTCCGTCCCGTTCGCTCCTTTTCCGTTCCGTTCGCTGCCGAGCCTCCGCAAACTTCCGCTCTCGTTCGCATCACCCTTGCTGACGTCGTTCGTTCTTCCGCTGACGTCATCCTCCTCCCCGGGAGGCGTTTCCAGATCGATCTGAGGGACGGCGGGCAGCGCACGGGTGGCCGCTACCAAGTAACCGTTGTCGAGCATTGCGGCCGCGGCCGCGTCTAGAGTGGGCGCCACTAGGCGCTGCCGCAGGTTGCTGATGACTGACGTCACGTGCGCGTGATATGACGTCAGCTGCAGCAGAAGGCCGAAAGCTCTCAGGCTTGCAGTGTTGTTGCGATTTGGGTCAAGGTTGTCGGCCGTGCTTGGAACGACTGCGACTATGTCTCCGGGAATACGTGTGCAGTAAGGAGAAGAAAAAATGTTGGTCGATTTTGTCTTCGGTAATACGTGTGCAGTGTGGAGAAGAAAAAATGTTGGTCGATTTCCAAGGGGCAGTGAATGGATCACAACAAGGTACTTAAGTTTCAACCAGTTGAAACAGTAGCGGCTTCAAAAGTCTCCAAGATTCGAGCCCAGTTCGTAGCAGAAATGGCGTGCGAGCAGCGCCTTTCTATTTGGCACCCATGTACAGTCCAAAAGTTTGTCACGGCTGCATATACATTTCGCATCCAGATCTGCGCTTGATTTGCTCGCAAGGAATCACCAAACTTTGGCACGCACTGGGACTAGAGAACGAAATGCCTTTGTGAGGCCTTCAAACAGCCAGAGACATACCCTGCTGACCAAATGAAAAAATGTTCCCTGTACTCCTCAACTTCATCCCAGTCTCCTTACTACCTCGACAAGATCAGTCCACACCCAACAACGAAAGCTTTAGGGAACTAGACTCGCAGAGGAGAAAGGACCGCAGAAACATCTGGACAACGTAGTCCTCTGAAACCTGTTTTTGAAGCTTCGACGTCAGCCTTACCCGTTCGCCCATGTCAGCAAGCGCACCCTCCACCCGCATCACGTGCCTCTGCCGCGCCCGCGCGGCCGCGCTTTCCGGTTCCGTTCCGCTGCCCGGTTCCGTTCGATGCTCCCCGCCGGGAGATGCCGCTTCAATTCCAGCTGTCGTTGCTTCGTCGAAGTTTTTCTCCCTTCGTGATCGTTGCGGTTTACCAATAGCTTCCAACTCTTCCGCTTCTTCGTTCATTCCAGATTTCGTTCTCGTTTCGCTGTCAGTGCCTTCCTTCGACATCCCACTCCATTTGCCAGCTTCCGTTCCGGCGCTGCCTCTTCTAGGCGCCGGAACACCTCCTGAATCAACTCCATTAGTTGCCCGTTCCGTTCTGCCACCGGAGTTCCGGCCAGCCGTCGAGGGCCGCCCGAACGGATCGACGTCCGGGTGAATGCCCATCCGCCGCTTGAAAGCCTCCATCTCTTCCAGGCTCGGTGCGAAAGGGTCATTTAAAGGTTCCCAAGTACTGGGCGGGCTACGACTGCCTCCATTACCTTTTAAGAGGTCCCCACTGAGGTCCGTGTTTGACGCCATTCCCTCTTTGGATCCGTCAGCGGAAGTTTGTTGATCCGGCGGAGCCTCGGCTTGAGAGACCGGAAAGCCGTCTAAGAAAGACAAAGACGGCAGCGCCTCTCGGGCTGCTTTGCGGTAGCCCCGGTTCGACCTGTAGTTGAAGGAACGAAGTTTCGGAGGTTGGAAACAAAAGCCTGAGTCCTTGTTTGCAAACGGGTGGCTAATATTCGGCATCCTCTTACACGCGCGGCGCAACGAAAGGTCCTTAGCCCTTGACTGTCTCTCGATGCCAGGCAATGGGAGAAAGAAGTACTGGAGAAACGGTAACACAGGTAATTCATGACCAGTTGGTCTGAGAAGAGGAGGAAGCGAACGTGGTCGACGCGTTGAATTTCGATCGACTGAGGAACCGACGGACGACTGAATCAACGTACTCGTCAGGGTCATAAAGCGCCATGCTTGTGAGCAGAGCGCCAAGCTTGCCTCGTCTCGAGTCTCACTAAAGTTCTACACACACACAGAGCGCTAAGCCAATCTTGAGGAATCTTGACAGAGCAGCACGGCTTGCAAAGTCGCCAGATCTGACTCTTTCGCAAATCTCTTAGCGGATTTTATGTCTCACTTACTGGAAAGCCTGGCACAGCGGGTTGCCTGCCAGTGTCAGCTCCGCAAGCGCCTCGAGGGGCGCGAGCGCGCGTGCACAGATCTCCGAGCTCGGGACCGCATTCCCACCAGCGTCCAGGATCTCGAGCGACGGCAGCTTGTCCGAAAGGCCGTCCAGCGACGAGAGGCGGTTGCGTCCGATGTGGATCTCCTGCGAGAGGATATCAGGTCGGAGATGACGTTCGATCCAAGAACTGACGTCATGCCTTTCTACAGCCTCAACACCAAGATTGGGAAAAGATGAAGAGGAGTTTCGGAGCTGGCCACAGCAAAATGTTGCAACGAAGTTGCCTTACAAACTGCATCCAAACGGAGATTTTCTGAATGCTCTTATTGAGAGCCATTCGTGTCTGTTGATCAACCTGCAGTGACGGACGCTTTGATCCTTAGCTTCACGACCCGCCAGTAATATCGCTGCGGTTGACGAGGCTTGTTTCATCTCCGGCTTTCCGCCCCAGTAGCCGCACAAGGACGCCCGACGGCTATCCAAAGGCGCTTCGACCACAGGTCATCCTTGTAAATACGAAATGGCAAGTGCTTCGAGCGGTTGCTCAAGCTACGAATGATTACAACAACCACATTAAGTGTCCCCTTGACAAGCATTGAGAAAACTGATTGTAAGTTCCTATATCGGCTCTCACCGTGAGTTCTGGCAGCATCGGCAGAAGTTCAAGCCCCTCGACTCCGTTCTCCTCCAGCCGAAGGACGTCCAACCGGGTTAAGGGCGCTAACCCGGACAGGTCAGCGATCCGGTTGTTCCGTAGACTGAGCTCCGTGAGCCCGGTGCATTTTCCCAGGCCCTCCAGTGACGTCAGCTGATTGTGGTCGAGGGTAAGCTCCTCCAGTCGAACCAGGTTGGAGAAGCCCTGAAGTTGAAACATAATTTAAAGAATCGTATTCGTCACACGAAAAGCACTGAAAATTCGAAGGCCCCAGGGGTCGAACCAGCAACGACTTTGTGCTGAAGGGCTAGATTTAGACACCGGCACAGGAGATAGCAAGAGGACTGAGTCGAAAGGGTATGAAGAGGGCATGATAAGGCTGCTTTTGAGTGGTCCTTGGTTTGGGAGACGGGCGTTTGCCTCACTGATCGTATCTGCAGCTGACCAAGACATGTTTCTTCCTTAAGCAGTTGTCAACACAAAGGCAGGCTTCCTTCAAAAGCAGATGACATACGATCGAAGTGGAGAACCTTCCGGAGCTCCTCAACGGACAGAATCTAAGCATAATGATAGCAGGTCTTAGCTTACCTGCAGCTTCTTAATCTGGTTCCTGCTCAGGTCCAGTGACGTCAGGTTTGTGAGCCTGGCAAGACTCCGAGTGTCGATGATTCTGTTCCCTTCCAGTCTCAAAACCTGAAGGGTTTCCAGGGCCCCCAGCCCTTTGCATGTTGTCAAGAGGTTGTTGTCCAGAACCAGATTTGTGAGCCGTGTGAACCTGTGGGATAGAAGCACACCTTTTACTCAGTCTTCAACCACAAGCTATTGTGCAGAAAATATCGTTCATGCAGGGGCGAAAGGCGTCTTCTTTTAGATCAGCTTAGGAACAAAGAAGAAAGCTGGTTTCTGTGGGTTCTGCATACTCTTCTCCTTTGACAATCTGCAGTAAGAACGATGATGAACACAAACCTGCGTTGACTACCTTTCCTCCGCAATCTCGATGCTCAAGCCAGCCCAACAAGATGCTTCTTGTACAACTTGAATGAGTGCCGATTGACTCATGGTCATCTTGGAATTTTCTCACGGAGTGCTCCCGTCGACAACCCTTGCAGGCATGAAGGTATGCCACAGAGCGTGCGTTTTTCAAGGACCCTTAGCATTGTGATTATCGATATAACTGAATTGAGCTAAACAAGTCCCAACAGATCACAACGATGCTTCTCATCAGATGTGGAGTTTACAGCATTCTGAATTCTGACGCCTTCCATCACGTCAGGCGCCTTACTCCTCTTTCACCGTCACAGATGAGATTCTTCCCAAGGTGCACCTTGAAAGCAGGCTTAAAACAAATCACAGAATATCATAATCACCAGAAACCTCCTTCAAACAAGAATCCTGCAAATATTACCACCTTCAAAACAACCGGTTGCTTCCAGGCAAACTTCAGCACCAGCTAAGGAATGAGCTGAAAGAGACAATAGCAGGGTGAAACACATATCTTGCTGCAGCCCCCTTACCTCTGCAGTCCTTCCAGTGCCCCACTGAGTTGGTTCGAGCCAACCCTGAGCTCCCTTAAGGCGGGCCAATCTTCGGCCCTCAAGTTCGTAAGCCGTGTGAACACGTTGAAGGACAAGTCTAGGGTCACAACAGCTGACAGCTTCTTTCCGATGAAGCCTAGACTTTCAAGGTGAGATTCCGTGACGTCTTTGAGTTTCTTGCCACGTAAGTCGAGAACTGAGCTCTCCTCCATCATTCGCAAACAATGAGCTCAATTGATCTGCCAGAGCACCATCTGTAGCTCGCTCAGGATCATCACACTGGGTTCAGCTTCATTCGTTCATGAAATGCTTTGCAACGTGCAACATTTCAGCTTGCTTGCTTTCTTCAAGGAGATAAAAGCAGACTATCAAGGGTTTTTTGGAAGGAATCCAGTGATCCTTTTGCAGGGGAGGAGTTTTGCATGTTGACTTGGGCAATCCAACAACCTAAGCGCTCAAGGGGCGCAGCCTTCTAGCTGAACGTGTTCTGGCATTTGCAGCTACCCCGGGCCCAGGTGGGCAAACCCTAATTTTGCACTTGCAGAAACGTCGACGACGAGCATTACCGGGCCACTTCCGATGACCGTTACCACCCTTAGTACGGTAAGAGGTGGAAACCCTGCATTTCCATTGTGTACCTTGGCGTGTGACTTCTGCAGTTGAGCGGCGCAGAGCGCCTAGAGAGGTTTTTGGTCCATAAAATACCCAGATCTTCGTGGTGCCTTCAGAGATTGTCAGGGGATTCAGCCATCTGCCGTCTTGGAGAGTAAGCCAGCAATGGCGGCCGCAAAAGCGGAGGACCTGTACCCCGTGTTTCTGGACTTTTTGGAGAAGGCCAAGCTGAAGAAGACGCTTAAAGCCTTGAAGACAGAGCTGAGTGCGCAGGTGAGGGGTCGATGCGCCACCTTGGGCTGCTTTGTTGAGGAATGAATTGGTGATCACCTGTGGATATTGCGGTGGTTAATGTGGTGTCCTGGATCAATGTCTGCGTCTTATGCATAGGCTAGCAATAGGCCAAAGAAAGCACCACCGGATATCAGGTGGCTTTGCACACAGATAGTAAAGACTACCAGCAATAAAAGGCAGCATTGACTTGTGGTGTGGCTAAGTTGGTACAGTCAAAAGCACTTATCACCACCATCTCAGAAAAGTCTATGCTGGTAATGGTTGTTTCAAGCTCTTAGCCCAACGTTCATGTTTCTTTGCTGCTTTGAGCTTTCTGCATTGCGCATGCTCACTCATGAAGCAAACCCCTTTCTAAAAAGCGGGTCGATGGGTGCTTCAGAAGGGGTGCATTGCCAACGTGGTTGGCTACAGGTTTTTATAGATTATACCAGGGCTTCTTTGATACCAGCCCTCAGTCACCAAAGAGCAGAGTGCTCGAGTGTTTGTCTTTATGGTTCTATGTTTTGCTATGCAAAACAGCACTCTAACTTGTGCCCCGCACATTGTAGCCTGCTTCGAAGCTGCCGAAGCCAGAGGACGACCTCCTGGGGATCTACAACTTTTACCTCGCAAGCAAGTCAGGGTGAGATCTCAGACCCCTCCTGGTTCCAAATGAAAGGCAATCTTGAAGTTTTTGAAATTAGGGTTTACAATCAATGTGGGAGTGCAGCAGAAGAGGTGACTTGTTCCAGGGAGTTAGATGGGCCCACTTTTTCTTGAGGTGGTGGCTTTCAGTGGCCCCATCGATGAAGGCCTTGTTTAAAAGTGAAGGGTGTGGTAGTATCCAGACCTGGTAATGTGTCTCACACAAGGCCCTTATGCTATGGGCAATCAGAAACCAGATTGGTCGTAAGCTCAAGCAAGCCATCCTGTTGATGCTTCAACACCCTCTTGCCAGCATTGCCTTTGGAGTCCTCGTCTAGCAGATGGGCCCGCAGAAAGTCCTGCCGCCCATTGCCAAAGCCAAGTACCCTACTGTCTGAGTACTGCAACGTTGTCTACTGGCATCAAGCAAGCGCTCTGCCAGAAGGGTGCCTCTTATTTCTATCAGAAGAAGAGCACCTCTTTAAACGTCTAACGCCTCAGAAGACCATGGTCTGCACTGGCTAAGGAGCTCATATGGATGTTCTTCAGGTCTGGCAAGAAGCGGAAAGCCACAGAGGTCCCCGCGCCAGCTGCAAAGCGCGCGAAAGCAGCCAATGGGGTGGCGGTGCCTGCAAAGAAGGATGAGGAAAGTTCAGAAGAGGAGTCCTCTTCTGATGAGGAGGCGGCGCCGACAAAGCCGGCCGCTACAGGTGTGACTTTCTCAAAGACCTGGTTTGGAGGTTTGCTGTGCGTGTGATCCCGCTGATGACATGCGAAGTAAGGAGTTTTCCAGCGGAGCGTCGCACTTCTATAATGAACAGATGCGCAGTATGGATAAGGTTTGAGGGTTTCATGTGTAGGCGCTGCCTTGAGGAGGGCCGTCACTCTTTTTTTCTGGGGGGTCTTCACTTTGCGGGGTCTTCCGGGTGTATTGGAGCTTGCATATTGCGGAAGCAAGTTTTAGGAAGGGCAACTTGACGCGCCATCAAGTCGTTTTAAAGGCTGTCAGGATATGGGATCTGCCTCATCAGAGGTGGGTGTGAAGCGCAGAACTTTCAAAAGCAGAGTAGTCCGCATGGGCAGGCTGGCTTTTCCGAGGAGCCTGCGCAACTTAGTGCCTCGATCACCTATCATTGGGCTGAATGTGTCCTTTTGTGGTGTATGTGTGCAGCCAAGAAGCAACAAGCTCCTGCACCTCCGGTCGCCTCCTCTTCTGAGGAAGAGTCTTCGGACGAGGAAATGACACCGGCGCAGCCCCTCACGAAAACGACTACTCAGAAAGCTGCTGCCAAGAACGCTACTCCTGCCAAGAGCGCACCTCCAGAGAAGAAAGCGGCACCGGCAAAGAAAGCCACGTCAGAGGATGAGTCCTCGGAGGACGACTCGTCTGACGAGGAGAATGAAAAGCCAGCAGCGAAACCGGCAGTGAAGACAGAAGCGGTAAAAGGGGCTGCGAAGGCGGAGGAAAGTTCTTCTGACGAGGAGTCGGATCTGGAAGAGGAGGTAAAGCCAGTTGCGAAGAAAGTGGTTGCGAACGGGGGGGTAAAGCCTGGGGCAAAGAAGGGGGGGGCGGTGGAACCGATGGACGTTTTGTCTTCCGGGGAGGAGAGCTCGGACGAGGACGAAGAACCTGTGGCAACACCGGTGAAGTCGGGAGTTGCCGCGAAACTGGGAGTTCCGAAGACTCCGGCAAAGCCAAAGACCCCGGCGAATGCGGCTGCCAAAGAAGATGAGTCGTCGTCTGAGGACGAGAGTTCGGATGAGGAAGAAGAGCCTGTGAAGAAGCCGGAAGGGAAGAAATCGGTTGAGGTGAAGAAGGAAGTTACGAAGGTGGTGGTAAAGAAAGACGAAGAGTCGTCGTCGGAAGAGGAGAGCTCGGATGAGGAGGTTGAGCCTGTTCAAAAGCCAAATGGAAAGACGGCCAAACCGGTGGCGAAAGCGGTTGCGAAGAAAGAGGAGTCGTCGTCCGAGGAGGAAAGCTCAGACGAGGAAGAGGAGACGGTGAAAAAGCTGGAAGCAAAGAAAGCGGAAGTGACGAAGACGGAAGTCAAGAAGACGCAAGTAACAAAGACGGAAGTGAAGAAAGAGGCGGCGAAACCTTCCGTTGAGGAGTCGTCTTCAGAGGAGGAGTCGTCCGACGAAGAAGACGAGCCTGCAAAGAAGGTGGCAGCGAAAACGCCGGCTGCAAAGAAAAAAGAAGCGAAAGCGGCGCCTGTAAAAGCACCGGTAAAAGAAGATGAATCGTCCTCTGAGGAGGAGAGCTCGGACGAAGAAGAGGAGAAGAGCACGCCGAAGGGGAAAAAGACAACGGCGGCGCTGGCGCCCGCAACGCCGAAGACGGCGCCGGTAAAGAAAACGGAAGTTGTGGAAGAGGAGGTGAGGGGCTGTCCGTTATTCTCTGCAAAGTTCTGGAAGAGCGGGTTGAAAAGAAGGCAGAGAAGTTGCTGACGCGTCTTGGGGGCTCGGTTGCTTTGGCACGTGTCATGGCGTCGTCACTCTGTCCGTTAGAGCGGGCCCTGTGTTGGTTGGGCATCTCAGAGTGGTGTCATGGAAATTGCACTTCGATCGGGTCGCGCATAGGAAGCAGATTGCCTGGTGTTCTTGGTACCCTTGGAGTCTTTGGTACGTCGAAGTGTATATAAGAGTGTGTGTCCATGCACTCTTTACAGTTCAAAGAGAGGCGTTTGCCACTTCGCAAACGATGTGATGCGATACTTTATTGCGGCTCGAAGACTGTGCGTTTGCCCCTGGAACATTTACAAACTGTGTACGGACACTTTGGCCAGTAATGCATCACCCATGCAATGTTTGGAGCGAGGAAAGAGCTTTCAGCTGACGTTTGCAGGACGTCAGCGACTCGCTACGTTGCTCGGTGGTCACCCTCACTTGGTCAAACGTTGGCTCTATCAACCCCGCGAGTACTGAAAACTTTAAAATGTTTTAGACTACGGTTGAGTATCCTGACCCATCATCTACCGTTCTGGCAGCCTGAAGCGAAGGCCGCCTCAACGGGGAAGAAGAACGGGCGTCATCCGACGGAGAACCGCTTCCAAAGAGTCAAGATCGACGAGGTAAGAGATTCAGCGTGAAGATTTGCAGTTGACGCCACCCATGCTGCCTGGCTACATCTCTGCAATCTCAAGGAAGTCTCATCAGGTCAAACGGTCGACACTCTACTGGCGCGTGGGGGTTTTAAGTTTCAGGGTCTTCAATATTTGATTCAGAAGACCCATTTTGACTTGCTGAGTGAACAAGCTGCGGGTTCACATAGTTGTTTCTTGGTCGCATGTTTTGTTCTTCTGAGCCATATCCTCTCCTTTGTAGAGGGATCATAGTCTTCTGTCCCTCTGTAGGTGAAGTTCAAGGACGACCGGTTGAAGAACAACTCGTACTGGGCCAAGGTGAGCCTTCCTTGCCGCAGCTCAGCGTTTCTTTCTTGTATCACGCCGTTCCTCCAGAATATTTTGGCGTCATTCTTTCAATGGCTTTCCGGTGGTCGTTTTAGTATCTTCTCTTTCAGCTTTTTGGAAGCTTATTCAGGAGCCAACTGTAGGTCTCGTGGATCAGATGTTTTAGCTCAGTCCATTTGGCCCGCTGAGTAGGGCCGCGGAGTGAACCCACTGTAGAAGAGCCGTACATTTTCCCTCTGATCACCGGCCGCATTCTTAAGGTTCTTGAATTATCTTGGGGTGTGAGTCTTGCCCTCCATCCTTAGTTCTCTTTTGCGAGTTCTTGCATTTTCTGTGTTTTCCGGACATGAGTCTTTCTGTCTGCTAAGTTTGTCCGCTTGGGCGTGTCATTCTGCAGCTGTGAAAGCGTCGGCTGTTGCTTGATTGCAGATTTTCGACTTGGCGTACATTCCTCTCTGTTAAATTCCATGTTCTTTTTCTGATTGCTTTAAGTGCCTTTTGGAATCGCACTTACGTTATCTACTGCCCGTTGCCGATGATGAGACGTCCAAATGGGTCGTTTCTCAAAACATTCGCAGTACCCGCCCCGAGCGCTCTCGCCTTGCCGGGCTTGAGAGCGGATGCGGCTCCTTCCTTGGATGTCTGAGGCAACGCTTATGGGCAGCTAATCGTATAAGCCTTCAAATGTATGGAGAATTCGTCAAGGTCTTCAGATTGAAGTGGGCCGAAAGCACTGTCATCGAGGAGCAAGATGCGAGGATCGTTTTTGGTTTCATTCAACAAGAAAATGAAGGCAAGGACCGCCAAATTTTTGCTCTTCTCGCACTGCATCAGCTAAGCGCTTTTGCCTCATGACTTAATTGCACAGAAACGTTTCAGAATGAAGAGTTGCCAGCTTGCTGTTGTTCACAAATTGGTAACGGGAGAGTCGGTCCTCTGCAGAGTGGCGCGGAGCAGGGGTGGGGTGCCAAGGCTCAGGAGGTCCTCGGCCAAGTTCGCGGAAAGTGAGTCGTTCTGCCCGTTCAAATATCGAATTTTTAGGAATAATGAAACCGTAAGTCCAGGTCCTGAAATGGCAACGTGTTGCCCTTCTTAAGTTTCTAACTCAGGGTCTTTGTCACGTCTCCATTGAATTTTCTGCCCTCTTCTATCTCAGTTTGACCGTAGGGTCTCAGTCACGTCTCTACTGAAAGTTCTGCCCTTTTCTATCTCAGTCTGAGCGTAGCCTTATTCTGAAGGGGAAGCATCAGTCCGCCAAATCCCCCCATGCTCTGGTTCGTTACGCTGCTCGACCAGATCAAAACCATTCCAAAACCATCGTGTTTAGTTTGAGCAGTTCTGCCGTAATCCTGCTGTTCTGTCCGCATAGGGAGGCATGTATGATTCCTTATCGTTTCGATTTCTGTTCGGACAAGACGAAGCATCTTTCCTCGGAAAAGCATTGGCTGACGTGCGTATAAGTAAATGTGACACGTCCGTTTTCGCAGGGACTTCCGACATGAGAAGACCAAGAAAAAGCGCGGCTCGTACAAAGGGGGTCCGATTGACTTCGCCAGCCACTCAATCAAATTCAGCGATGAAGACGAATAGGTTATGATTGCCCACAGGACTGACGAGATTATTATTCTTGAGCACTCCTACATCGAAAGACTTGTAATGGTTTCGCTTGAAGCAGCGCATTGTTTTTAGGAGCTGTCGACATTGGTGTTGGTAGGAGCATATAAAAAAATGCTGGTTTTTGAGCAATGCTTTTTTGCGCAACCAGATTGTTTCTCCAGAAAAAAACACAAGAGAATTTTGAGGTTCTGCCATCGTTGCCGATGGTCTCTTTTCGTTCCGATGGTCTCGTTTCTTGCCGATCGAGTCGCCATGTGCTAACATGTTTCCAGTAAGTGTGACTGGCCACAAATATTTCTTGCATAGTAGGATATTGCATGATATTGTGAGAACATTATCCCCTTAAATTCTTGCTTTGCCATGTGGCATGCATACAAGTTGACAAGTGTCAAGAGACAGCCCAATTCCGTGAAGTCACGGTCACGGGAATGTTGCCATCTTTCCGAGGACAGCTGGCAGCTGTCTCCTCAGCAAAAGTACCTACTGAATTGGGTGTGTACCTACCTACGTTGTGTACCCACGTTCGGGGATCCCTCCGAGGAGAACGCCCGGGCCCCGGATCGGATTCAGCTGCATCATGGCTACTCGCAAGGCGCTCGCCTGCTGACGTGGCCAGCTTAGTGCGAGCGTCCCGGGGACCTCCAGCTCGGCTTTGCTGACAGAACCATCATGATGCCTGCCCGGGGCCCGTGCTGCCGCATGCCACGCTGGACTGCACCAGTGAGAAGCGGCAGCACGAGCAGCGGTACAGGCTACAGCGTACTGGTCTACAGGTACCAACTGTACATGCAGTTCTCATGCTGCATTTTATGCACTGTAGGTAGTGCATGATGGTTCTGAAGGCTAGGAAGTACCACAGAGCAGCGTACCATAGAGCAGCTGCGTTCTCCTGACACACAGAAAATAACCCACAGGATATAAGCATATGCAGTGCAGACGATTCATGTTGAAGGCGGCTTCCTCAAAGGCACTCAGCAAGTTTCCAAGCTTTGGAATTGCTACCTACCTACATGCAGGGAATGTGGCTGCTCTGGTTACAGCTGTTCTTCTCTGTTCTGCGGTTCAATACTTCCAGTTGCAGCACTAGCTCTCGTCAACGAGGGCACCAACCGCAGTGACACCTTCCTTCTTCTCTCCGAATGTAGCACATAATTTTCTTCACTCGTGCACATACGTGAGTCGCGTCTGGAGGATGCTGTGCGCCTCCCTTTCTCAGATACACTGTTCCAAAGCCATAGCATTGCTTTAGGTCCTCATGCAGAGACAGTAACAAGTCGCAGGCTGCTGGAGCAGCTCTTGGAGCAACAGCTTGGTTGACACAAGTATTGCGATTAATTGATAAATCAGTCGGAACGAGTTTAAGGGGCTAAGAATTTCAAGCAGCGATCTTATCAGGAGGAGGTACCACAATCTCTGTATACACTCGAAAACCAAGGCAGGACCTCAGCCACCCTGTCCCTTGACTTGAGGTAAGCATTATTAGGGCAATTATGGATCCAAAATATGGGGAAGGGGCTTACGGCGTCGACCGGGCGACACTCTACAAGCAGGGTTTTGTGGAGCATATCAAAGGGCTCGCTCACACCCCCAGTCGCCTCCATGAGCGGCTGTTTGCTCGGAGGACTATTGAGAGCCAGCTGTCACATGATAAGGCGGAGTCGGGGGTGGAGATGGTCCGTAAGCTATGGTGGCTGGACATGGTAAGCTGTCGCCCACATTGCATAAGCTTTCCTGCAGTTTTGTACTGTTTGGGACCTTTATGGTGTTTAGTTGGATCAGGGAAGAAAGACTTGGTATCTATATACAAAAATCTACGGGCTTTATGCCCTTTAATCTCTGGCTTTTGTGGACCATACTTTCCTTGTGTTTACCCATTAGCATGCAAGGGGGAGAATCATCAAGTTATGCTATACTCAACCAGTATGCGTCAAGCAGGGACGACTGTGCATGTGGATTTTTGAATTTGATCCAGATAATGCGGAGATCCTGCAATTGGATTTTGAGCTCCCCCAACGATACCAGGTTATTGACCAATAAATGTCGCTTCAAGGCAGCCTTTGATCCAAAAATCATAACCTCTGAAGCTCGGATTCACTGTTGACAGCTCTGGAGTATCAAAAATTGACTTGGTCTCCCTGCTTTCTTACTGCATGATCAGAGGCGCTCTTCTTATGATTTGACTGGTTTGCAAAGTCCATAGCTCAGCGCTCCGACTCAAAATAACGCGACCTGAGAAGAAGGAAGATTCTTAGAGGAGTCCCCGCTCAACATTATAACGTCGTCTACCAGAATATGGGAAGCGTTCTGGACTTTGTGAAGATACTGCTGGTTTCAGATGTGATTTTGGTGCTGCATCTGCAAGTAATTTAGAATTCTTCGATTGAAAGCGCCTAGAGACCGCCAGTCTTGAAACAAGCTGCGAGTTTGACAGAGCCTGCCAGATTGCTGATGGTCAAACATGAACAATTTCTGATGTAATCCGCATGAAAATCCAGGAGAAAGCTGACTCCTTATGCCGTGTCTGCAGATCATCTTTGGAGTGGGCAGTATGGTCGGCGCTGGCGTGTTTGTCATCACGGGTGTCGCGGCCAACGGTCTCTCGGGGCCCAGTGTCATTCTTTCCTACATTGTTTCAGGTAGGCTGCGCTTGACACTAAACTCTCAGATTGGCCAAGCCTTCCCATAGAAGCAGAAGTGTAGTCGCAGCATTTGGAAGGGTCAAGGATTTATTAGGTTGCAGCTTTTCACAAAGCACTGATCTCAATGAAAAGCAACGATCTCAATTTCGTGCCTCTCTTCAGATTTGTAGGTTCAACCTCTGTCTTAAGTCCTTGAGGCTCTCCACTTTCCCTGCTCGTTTGCTTTGGGAATAGGATGTAGGCTGATTGTATCGCCCAAAGCTGGAACAGATTTTCACCTCAAACTCGCCTTGTAGACGTTGCTCAAGTAGCAAAAAGTCGTCCAGAAGTTGTTTCGAGGAAGGCCTTGACTCATCTCGATATCTGCCCTGAAAAAGGTGTTTTCTCAAAGGTTGCTTACACTCCGTTCCTTTCGCACGAGATGACGGCCGCTTTCTCAAATCACCCGTCACCTTAGCACGCACATACGCTCTTGTGGACGTCCTTGAAGCCAGTAATATTTGACCATGACAAATTTGCAGCGGCACTTTAACATGCCAGCGTCTGCTGAGAGTCGCTTGCTTTTATCTTCGCTGTAGCTTGAACAGCAACTTTAAGAGGCTCTGATGATTTGCAGTCTGAAGCAATGGACCGTGCGTCCCACTCTAGTTTGAAGCAGTTCGTTCTACCCATCTCTCACGCCCCCACCATAATCCTTCCTCTTTGATGAAGGGGTGCGTCCTGTATCTTCAGCCTAACCTCAGCGTCTCATCTCCAGGCAGTGTCTCAAAATTTCCAGCGCCCACTCTTTCACAACCCCCCCTCTTTCTTTGACGAGCCCCCTTATTTTGCTCACCAGCTCACAATTGCAAGCTTTCAACTAAGTCTCAACCTCTGAAAGCGACCTTGTTTCTTTGCCTTGAATTCGGTTCTCACTCGCTTCACCCCCCTCCTGACGGCCCACGTTTCCACCCCCCCATTTCAGGTATCGCGGCCCTGCTGTCGGCCCTCTGCTACACGGAGTTTGCCGTGCAGCTCCCCGTGGGGGGCGGCGCCTTTGCTTACGTCGCGCTGACGTTCGGCGAGTTCCCCGCTTACATCACCGCGTCGATGCTGCTCATGGAGTACGTCTTATCGGCCGCCGCCGTCGCGCGGTCGTTTACGTCATACCTTGCGGCGTTGTGCAACCAGGACAGCGGGAAGTTTCTCATCCACACGCCGGATTACGACCTCGATTTCATCGCCGTGGGAATAATCATACTGCTTTCGGTGTTACTCTGTTGGAGCACGAAGGAGAGTTCGAGTTTCAACCTGGCGGTAACGGCGGTGCACCTTACGATCATGATATTCATCATCATCGCCGGGTTTGCAAAGGGCGACGGCGACAATTTGAAGCCGTTTGCGCCGTTCGGGGTGCGAGGCGTTTTCAACGCCGCAACGCAGGTGGGTATCAAAAATTCCAAAACTCCCTCCTTTTTGTACGTTGATTTGGTGGGCGTCTCTCCAATCTGAAAAACATTAGAGGTGCCGATATCTGTTGTCAAATTGTCCGACATACGTAACCTGAAGGATGTCCTGCAAGAACTGCACGAACAGTCGAGCTCGGAGAGAAGGGGCAAAACACCAACTGCGGTCAGTCTGTAAGGCCCGACGTTAATCGTATTCATCGATCCTGACCAGAAAGTTGGATCGAGTCTTTCATCATCCCGGTCATCAATCAAGTTGTTTTTTTATGCACGAACAAGAGCCTCCCCCCCCAAGAAATGTATGGCTAAACATATACCCCCGCCTCTGTGTATTCGTACTTTGACTTCGTGCTTTGACACCGATACACAAACACTCCGACTAAGTTTCCGCGCCCCAGAGCCCTCTGTAGAGTACGTTGAATACCAGATTGGACCACCAGATGTTTTCACGAGATCATCATTGGCGAGATTCTGACTTCTTATGTGCCAATATTTTTTTTTTCTTGTCCATCGGATTCAACGCCTTCGCCACAATTGCCACAGAAGTATGAAGCCCTTCTCCTACACGTCGCAAAATCCGAGTATCACGCCCTACCGGAATAGAAGTGCATAGGAAAACTCGATACGAAGCTGAAACAATTTTTGCTTGTGCAGGTCTTCTTCTCGTACATCGGATTCGACGCCGTTGCTACGATGGCCGAGGAAGTGATCCGCCCCGAGCGCGATCTGCCCATCGGAATCGTGGGCTCGGTCCTCTTTACCACCCTGCTCTACGTCGGCATGGCCCTCGCTCTAGTTCTCCTCCAGCGCTATGACGTGAGCACGCTTTCGGTCGATGTCTTTTACCGCGCCTTCGCCTGAGCAAAAGTCCTGCTTGAAACTGTTTTGGTGAAGAGGATTTCTTGTTGCCAAACGTCTCTCGCATTCGGTGCCCCCGCTCTAGTCCTCCTGCAGCGTCATGACGTCACTGCTGACGTGGCACCCGTTCTTTCGCTGCAGATGATCGACCCCGACGCGCCGTACGCGGCCGCGTTCCAGGCGATCGGGTGGAGCTGGGCCAAGTACATCGTCGCACTGGCCGCGCTTTTTGGAATCATCACAGTGCTTATGGTACGCACTTCGCCATGCGCCACGCATCCTACATCCCTTTTGCATGTGCTCCTTCGATTCGTCTTCTATGAGTTACGAACCTCTAAATGTCGAATAAAGTTAGTAAAGTTTAGACGCTACCGTGTCGCGCTGGGGTCTTTACAATGCTTATCGCACGTCCATCTCTAGTTCTTCCTCGCCATCTCTCGGGTTCACCTTTGCTTTCAAAGTGCATGCTGCACGGTGCGGATATGCGCACGTCCGATCATCTTTGGAAGACCCGCACGCACGGACCGCCGCCCCTTTTACCGCGAACGCCGCTTCTGCTTTCCTGCAAACTGCAAGAACTGCCGGCCGGCACGGAAGAGGCATCATCATAAATCAGGGTCCCTCGATCACACGCACTTGAAACCAGTCTGTTTTGTCCGTCTTAAATCTTTAACGATCGTACGCACTGATACCCCCCATACTCCTTTCGCCTGAGCTGCGCCCATATCCGCGACCATAATTTCGAGGGAGAGTTTTCGTTGACAACCGTCCTTCGCGGGCAAGCCAAGGCGCCGGGCGGTTTCTATGTGACGTTGGAATGACGTCATCTCCCCTCCGTTGCAGGTTAATCTGCTGGGGCAAGCGCGGATCCTGCTCGTCGTCTGCCGCTCCCACCTACTGCCTTCTATCTTCGCGAAAGTAGGTTGCAATCTTTGTTGATCTGCGCGTTAACTGTCACGACGTCGAGGAAATTGGATTAGCTTTGAACGGCTTCTCTCAAAACCTGTTTCATTTGGGAGTAAGGGTCGGGTTTGTGCATCTGGGCTGAGCTGGTCTGCGATCACGAAGTAGAAGCGAGATGTTGGAAACTGCGGTGGTAGAAGATCTTTGACCAGGTGCGAGTCGGTTCGAGTCCCAGTTGATTATTAGGTTGCGGATTTATTAGACGAGAAATTGGTCCTGCGCTTTACGTACAGCTGAAGTTTCACCTGACCTGGTTTGCTAGAATGACAATCCACCAATCTACTAAGAAGATGGATTTGATTGAGTCCAAGACACCCAAAGCACCACCCGACCTCGGAACTTTTGGTCGTGTCCTCAGGTTTGCTCCTAAGTTCAACTTCCAGGAGACTAGACATCAACTCGTTGACGGATCACGTTACCATTAGAAACGCTGAGGTGCTGTGATGCTGCCGGCTCAGAAATTCCTGTCACCAAAAAGGCCGGGCCCCATCAACTCCGCCTTTACTATGGGCATCTTATAATGGCATGTGGTGGCCCGTAACCAGCTCCAGTTTCATGGCAAGTTGAACTCTAGAACGTGATTTTCCCCATCGAGTCGACCATCCATCTAAACATGGACAGCGCCGCGAGTTGATTAACCCGCTTCCCTATTCCAGTAGTATCGATTTTTTGTTGAGTTACGGTTATGTTGAGTTAGGTCATGCCCGGGGGACGGGTGGGGTTGGTTTGGGGTGGGTACGAGTGCGGAGCAGTTTAACTTTTGGTTTAGATTTTTAGTTTGTTTGAGCCCGGGGAGCTGATCTACTTTCAACATAAATACACTCAACTCCACATAAAATGGAAACTTATTCCCTCTCTTGACTCGCCTTGCAGATCAACCCCAGAACACAAACCCCCGTCAACTCAACCATTATCCTGGGGATCTTATGCGCGGCCATCGGTTTCGTAACCGACTTCGCAACCCTGGCCAACATGGTGTCAATTGGCACCTTGTTCGTCTTCTTCGTCGTGGCCGCGTCGCTCATCTTCCGGAGGACCTATGCGCCGGGTGTGAATAAGCCCTGGCTGCCGCTTATCCACATTGTCATCATCGCACTTTTCGCCATCGGCATGTCGACATACTACCGGGTTGAGACCAAGAAGTAAGAGGGGCTTGCCTGAGACGAGAAAGTCGACTTCGTTCAGTGCCGCGTATCCTTGTTGTAGTCAGACTCTTTGTTCCTTCCGCCTCTCTTTGCAATGTCCTAAGATAGACGGTCATATCGGGATCACTGCGCGCTATTGCTTGTCTGATCCGTTCATCTCGTTCTGTGGGCTAACGTCAGACTAGCGCAGGACTCTATTTTACAGTTCGACAACAGCTGTAAGCGCTTGGTACAGTAGTTCATCTCCAGGACACGCTTCAAAAGCTCAGGCTGCGAGCTACAAGGATTCATATGGAAGCTGGAAGAAGCGTGCCTAAACCTCAAAACCCATTCGTATACGCAGTTGGTACGGCATCGCCGCGTTCGCGGCCGCGTGGGCGGTCACCACCCTCTCTCTGCACATCACGTGCCCAACCGTGTACCGCGCGGAGCGCTGGTCCGCACCGCTCATGCCATGGCTCGCTTCCGGTAGGTACCGCAGACCGTGCCGTCCGAAAAAGCTGATTGCGTTGCGTTTCTTTATTCCTCATCCTCGTCCCCGTCTTTTTTCCGTTACATTTCTGTCTTGTGTTCCCCTCTTGCTTTTCTCTCTTGGCGATTCCTCTGGGTTGGGTAATTAGTGTACTTTGGTGTTTCAGGCTTCTTCGAAACAGTCCTGTTGTAATTACTGCGCTTAATCGATATCAGAGTTCTGTGATTGGAGCGCCGCTTTACGCGTACATTAGCTGTGATCTGATGCCTCGGAGTAACGCCACATGAGATGCTTGAACGCCTTTCCGTGGACACCTCGACTACAAATTGTACATCCGATTTGGAGTTTGGGCACTGATCGCCAAATTCCTCGACGTCTTACATTTTGGAGTCTATTCTTAATTGAACGCTTTCAAACCAGCCCTCCCTGATTATGGTCAGTTCCTTGTGCAGCCTCGATGCTTTTGAACGCCTTCCTGCTGGGCACTCTTGACTACGAATCATACAATCGTTTGGACTTTGGGCGGGCGTCGCTACGTTTGACGTTAACAATTCTCGAAATAACCCACAAGCAAACCCTGTTCAATTAACCGCCCTGAGTACGGTTTCCTCTTCTGCAGCGTCTATGCTTTTGAATGCCTTCCTACTTGGCACTCTTGACTACAAATCGTACATCCGGTTTGGAGTCTGGGCCGGAATCGCGACTTTCATCTACATCGTTTACGGAGTCCACGCCTCGTGGCGCCACGCTCAACATCTGAAAACCGTCGAGACGCAAGGCCGGCACGACCAGGAGCTCAAGTACATTGCGGAGCACCGAGGGGAAACCTAGCGGGTCTCGTGGGCGGGCGAGGGCAAGCCCGGCGGCTTTGCCGGACTTGGGGGATAAGCAATGCGGGCAGTCTGGTTCTGGGCAGAGTAACTTACGCGTTTTTCGATTTTCTCATATGGGGTTCTGGTTTCTTGTGGGGACAGCTTAAGATTATATGAGGAAGGACTGTCGGAAAGAAGGGGGTGAGCGCATATTTCCGTCTCAGGGAAGACGCCTAAAGAAAGCGGCTAGGGGCGTCTCTTTCGGACCGGAGAGCCAGACTTTGCGGCCGGTTCGAACGGAGGGAATGGGTCCAAGCGGGTCGAATTATTTGCTCGAGGGTTTCATCTGAGAGGGGGTAAGATTTTGGACACGCTGAAACATGTGCGTAAAGAGGCGCAGGAAAATTCAAGCAACCTGACGTGACATGCGAAGGTGCGTAAGTATGGATTGATTATGGGACAATGTGGAAGCTTATAAAAACCATTCCGCCGCGACTTGGTCTAACAAGGTTTGAATTATGGTAGATGGCCTTAGCATGTAAGCAGAACGTAAGGGTTAGGAAGGTGTATAGGTACAGGCTTCCCCTCGTGGGTGCTTGTCAAAAGGGGTGCATCGGCGATCGAGCTAGCGCGGTTCAGTGGGCAGCAAGATTTGGTCAAAATTACGGTTCAGTAACTTAAAGTATCCACGATCGGACCACAAGCTTAAGTTGAGGTACCGAGTATTAGGTTTGAATGGTAGGATCTGCAGTTGTGGGGAATCACGTAGAAGTTCCAAGCACTATAACGCAGGACGTTTTAACGTAGCAACATTAACGTCCCTAGCAATATATCATTAGAGCTGCAGGTTTTTGGTAATCCATTTGAGACATGGTGTCGTGAAGGCAGCAGCAAAACCCCTTCCACATGTGAATGGCCACGCAAGTAGCATTGGTTCTAATTCATCTTGCAACAGGCCTCCAATCTCTGGCGCGACATAAAATGGACGGAAGTTTGGTTGCTACTTAAGCAGGCCGCTGTTAGCTTGTGCTGTCTGCGTAATCAATCTTCGATCGAGATCATGTCAAAATGGGTTAATAACCCGGGGGCGGACTAGACTGCACCCTAGGCTGTATACGGGCTAAGACAGAGAGTCGAACCTCCTTCCTTTGATTCAAAACTTCCAGAAAGGCGCTTCCTTGCTCCCGAAGCATCCAACCAATAGATCGAGTCGTCCCAGGCATACCTTTCACGACGGTATATTCTCTGTAACATGCGACCATGCTCGCGCCAGGAACGAGCCGCAAAGAAAGCACGGATCCATAGCTAGCGCGGCCCCGGCGTCGTACATAGCCAAAGAGTGATGGAGTCTTGGCGTGGAAATGAGACACTATATGATTCTTGGTCTGCCGCCGTGCAGCGACACAACAGCGCGTAACATAATAACGTCACACTATTGATGGAACTTGAAGCGTTCATCCGCGGGATGATCGGGCCTCGCATCAATCTGGATGGTGAAACCTGGTGACCTGTCGAAGCGGCCCGCAGCCGCTTGCATTTTTGGAATATCACCCGTTGAGATTGAACATCACAAAGACATACACTTTCGTTAACATAAGTAGGAAGGGAACTCGAACGTATAGACGGGCAAATGAAGCCAATGTACTGGAACAAACAAGTTTGCTTGAGTTTATTTCTTTACTAGACTCTCGGACAAGTAGCCTCATGTTTCAGAAAACCAGTACCGTCAGCAAACAGGTTGTCGGAGGACTTAGCTTGGCTAACTCTTTTGATCGGACTAGGCCGCTGCGTCAAATGATGCCGGGAACCTCGACCTGAACAAGTTGATGTTCCCGGTACCCGGGGCCCACATAAGCAGGCTGCGCCCGCGGGCCGAGGTGCGGCCGCAATGGTCGACCGGTCGCTCGCACGCGGCCGCCATGACGTAACGTGACCATGACGTACCTCTGCAAACCTTGAAACCTCGAAAACCGGCGTAGGCGCGCTCAGCCGCGGCCGCACGTAGGGCGCCTGGTCGACGCAGCGAAGTTCTGGCTACAGAAACTCGGAAGACGCTAGGGCGACACCCTGTTCGAGGGCCTGGACGCATCAGCAGTGAAGAAGCCCTTGCCAGTCTCTGGCTGGTTGTATCGTAAGGTAAGCTTCTGATGGAGATCCTACTTGTCTGGTTTACTGTTTGAGAATGTTGCAATCAAGGATTAACGTTGTCGGTGCAGAGAGTGAAAACCTGGTATGCACGCATGCACAAGCAGCCAAATCGCAAGCGCCTTGACTCTTCTTGAGTTTCTCACGGGGGCCGACTGCATGCATTTTGAACCCATTTTGAATTGAGCGTCTGGCGGTAGCCGCTGATGCTTGTACCTGCATTGAAAGCTGCTACAAACAATTTGAGAACCGTAGATTAATGAGATATAGGTAGACCTACCGCCTAAACCTCTAAGGCCAGAAGATTATCTAGTAGATTTTCCTTGTACAAACTCAAACTTCTACCCATCGGACCTTCTGCTTGAGCTTGGGGTTCTGAGGCTGCAGCCGAGAAGGGGACCGGAAGGTCGACTTACTACACATGAAAACCACCTGATGTCACAATTGTTGTTGCAAAATTCAGAATTACTAGGAGCCACAATTGTCTGCCAACCGGGACATCTGAATGTGAAATTAACGTGGCTGGTGATCCTCGTTCCTGCACCCTCGCCAAACAGTTTCAAATGTTACTTGTTAAGCCGTTCTAATGTTACAGATGCTAAGGGAAAACAAGACCGCGAGACATGAACCAACAAACCCCTAATATATCATGACAAATCTGAGCTGCTTTACAGAAGGGGCGCACATTTAAAAGACGATTCAGCAATCAGTGGTTTCGCTCCCTTGCCTATCCCTTAATGTTTAACCAAGCAAATGACATTGAAGTCAACGTTCTTGCAGGGGACACATCGCAGAGTGGTTCTGGCAGATACTCTCAGCGTCATTGGAAAGTATGCAGGTCAATTCCGGTATCCTCAGTGCTAGCCATCCCAACTTGTTTGTGGGGCTGAGAGCACTTCCTCTGCACTTTAAAGTTCTGAAGTGTGATGATGCTAAACTATGCATATCTGACGTACAAGAAAGCCAAAATCTGGAAAGATGGACTGCCTTTTGATTCTGTCTTGTGTTTGTTAATGTGCTTCTTGGCTTCACAAAGACTTCGATTCATCGCAAAACAACCCGTCCTTGGCCTGGCTGCAATACAGACAGAGTCCGCAACCACCAATCTTAAACTCGTCTCGTTTTAACGGTTTGCTCAGAACAACCTTGACGCTGCTGTTCCTCCCATATGCAGATGGTGTCTTCTGGCAGATCCTGGTTCGGGCGGAAAAGGAAAGCGAGCTCCGCAAGTCCGTTTCTGATCCCGACGGATGACAAGGACGTTTCGTTAGTTGTCCAGCCGGACGACACAAATTTACTCGTCGTCAACGATGCGGAACGGTCTCCTCGCTGCGCGCAGAATGGAGATCACAGTCCGGCGGAGACCGGTCCCACGTACGGGATCGGGATTGCTCGTGAAACTAGAGCGGGGAGTCAGCCTAATAATTCCGTTGCCAATCTGCGAAAGGTTGTAGAGCGGCTCAAGGCGGAGCTTGCGCGCGCGCAGGCGCGCTCGGCCGATGCGCCGGCGCGCGGCTTGGAGATTGCGGCAATATATCAGCAATTGGCGGAGGAGAAGCGGGAGAACGCGCGGCAGGCAGAGGAGATTGTTGATCTGCGGGGTCAGGTAGCGCAATCGGCCGGAACTAACTCGAAACTAGAGGGGCGGGAGAGCGCGGAAAAGGGGACGCAGACGGAGGACCATCGATATCTCGAGGACGCCCTGATGATCAACGACCTTTTGAATCGAGTGGAGGCAATCGGCAGGGAACTCAAAGACGAGAAGCAGAAACTCGTCGAAGAGAAGCGGAAAAACGAAGAGAGGACGGCGTATATAGCGCGGCTCGAGGAAGAGATGAGGCGCAGGCGGGAGGCGGGCGCGCGGTGCGCCGACGAGAGGGACCGGTTCGAGTACGTCCTCGCGCTGAACGGACAAACCGGTTCCATCTCGCGTAGCGTCCTTGCGTCCGATCCGGACTCGCTACTCTACAAAATGTACGGCGGAGATTGGGACTACGCGCGCGACAACGAGGGGCGCGCGATCGTCACGTGCCATCCGCAGCGCTGGGCCGCGGTTCTGGAGCACCTGGCGACCGGCGGAGTTCCGGCGGAACGGGATCCGTTGCTGCTGGAGCAGGCGCGGCACTGGAATCTGAGCCGTCTGGTGGATGGCCTGGAAGCGCTGAACCCGGGCGTGATCGTTACCAACGACTCAGATCTGATGGGATTCACGGTCAGATGTACGTTTACGACTTTGACGAAGCAGATGAGCACCGGAACGAAGTCGACGCGGCTCACCTTTTCCGCGCCCCAGGGGCGCTGGTGGGCCGTGAAACTGTGCGAGCGAGGCGTCTTTTTGTGGTCGGTGACAGTCCCCGGGGGAAATTCAGGGGATCTCAAGAAGATCAGAATTTCTCGGAAATGGCGCTTGCTCTTGCGCTCGGAAATAATCGAAGTCACGAGTACGAGTTTGGAGTACGCAGCTGCTAGAGAGGACGATTGGGGGCATTCTTGGGGGAGGTGGGGTTACAGTTTCCACCAGTTGATAACGGAACCCCTGGCTAGAGCCCCTGACTGCTTGATTTTGGAAACCAAGATTCGATACTTGGAGTTATGGCATTAGAGAAGGCCGGACAGCTCTACTGGCAGGTCTTAACTCTGAGGATCGCGAACTTCTTGAAAGCTTGGAGCTGTCATGAATTATGCGAACGTACTTTGTAGAAAGCGATGATGGCGAACGTGTGTATCATACGCGCGTGCTATCGCGAGAGGATTTTTACCTGTGTTGCTAGAACCTTTTAGCAAGATCTCTTCAAGTTTGAGTGCATTTGAAGGACCTAATTCAATGCCTCTTCAATGCATGCGTTTCATAGACACATGTCAAATACAGTTCCATACAAGCCTAAATTTCGTAAGCGTTCGATCAAGCATGCTGTATTACAATGAGCCACGATCATTTTCAGTCGACTGCACGATGTAGTAGCCCCATCCTTTCCATGGGCACGGGCAGCTTGTGGACTCCAACCACAGAGCATCCCGAGGGCAGCTCTCACAGCTTTCACTACAGTTTTGAACGCATTGCCGCGCCGCGCTAAACCGGCGGCGGCGGTGAGTCAGCTGTTTGGCCCGCGGCCGCCCCGCGCAGTACCGTCAAAACCCTTCAGGAATAGTGAGCGGCGGCCGCCCAACCCTCGAGGTCGGGGCGCCTGGCCTTGCCAAGCCGCAAGCGGAAGCTCTGCGGGGCCAAGCGGTCCCAGCTTGTTGAACGAAGCAGCACAGAGTAAGACGCAACGGGCTGGGTTTGGTGAGGAGCGCTGCTCAAGGTCATCGTAGGTCTGTAAGTGACCGGTACCGGTAAGGGATAAAGTGCTTTTGTTTCCTACAGCGGAGGCCAGTCGAAAGCTTACAGTTTCTGAACGTACCTTTCTAGCTGAAGTTGAGCTGTTGAGACAGTGGCAACAACAGTTTTCCTCCCTGACCTCCTGTCTTCAGCTCGTCTTGAGAGTCCCGCAAGTGGACCAGCCTGAGGAGCAGAAGGAGGACTGACCTCTCCAAATACTTGCCAGAACTCATGGCGGAGGCGCAGCGCAAGCAGCGAGCATCAGAAGACGATGGAGGCAAGTGCAAATCAAGCTACACGACTGACTTGCCTCCAGTACTTGACTCTTTCAACAACTTCAAAATCCAGGGGCACTGGCAGTTGTGTCCAACCATTTGCATTGGATTTCCAGCTTGTTTGTCCGATCCGTATTAGTTTCATCCAGAGCTTTAGCGCTAGCTTTATTTCGTTGGTAATAGTGACTTTGTCGCCTGGAAAGAAATTCATACCAGAGACCGCCGGTAACACCTTGCAATTGGTTTCTATTCTTGGGCCCCTGTTGCTCGTGCGCTTTGTAGGTCAGAAGTGTTGGTTGGGAAGAACGCTGCCAGTTGGTGCCTTGTTTCCACTGAAGATCTGCTGGTATGCTCCCAGACTCAAGTTACTTTACTGCTTCATGGACCTACCCGTACCAGGCCTTTGCTTCAATCATCGTGATGGCAAAATATGATACCATGCGACCCTTTCTTCCGTACTTTGAGCTGCTCCTGTGCTCGTAATTGTGCCAGTTTAAACCTCGAAGCGCTGATCCTTAGACTCCACTCCAGCACAGCTCTTGCAACTCTTATTGGCCCGTGGACAAGAGTTTCGCCAAGCAGCCGGTACTCGGGGTGTAAAAGCAGGGAGAGACGCCGTTGGCAGTTCAGATGCGTGACAAACACAGACTGGTACCTGCACCCTTGCTCCTATCAGTGGCATGTGCGCAGGCTGCTTATGATACCAGTCTGAGTGACCAAGGGGTGTCGATTTCTGCATTCCTCGTTGGTCCTTATCAGTCCAACATCCGAGAGACTGTAACGAGCGGACTGGAATCCCCTTTTTGGTCGCTTCTTAACTGGACCCTCTTCTACTTCATTTTAGGGACTGCCACCGTCATTTTTGGTACATTCGCGAACGTGGATCTCGAGCTCTCCGCCGACCTCTTCGCTACTATCGTTCCAAACGGCAACCCCACAGGGATGGGGATAACGTTCCACGATGCGCGCCGCCAACCGGTGGTGTCCCCTCAACGGGTTTCTTTGATGGCTTATGGCCAGGGGTATGGTTCAGTATCTTCACCAGCAACCCTGATTGGCGGCGCGTACTTCATCAGCGCCAATCACCATTACGAGCTAGCTTTAGATGGAGGCAAGAAATACCAAATCACACCCTTCGGCGGATTCCAGATCCACGAAAGGTCCCTGTAGTTAACACGAAGTCAAGACTGCATCCGCGCATCAAAGCAACAGCTTTTAGGATCTAACAAAGCCACGCCATCCGGTTGATACAGAATGCGCTTGCGAAGAATGTAGCCAAAGCATCATGTGAAGGTGCAATTTATAGTCGTTCTTTGACCGCCGGCATTTTCACGCAATGGTGTGCTACGTCAGTCTCGCCGTAAAAGATGCTTGTCTTGACCCATCTAAGTGACATTCAGATTTTACTCATTATTCGAGTGTTCTGATGCTCATTAACGAAGTCTTGAGTGTTTCCATCAGATTGAGCATTGAGCATCTTACTTTTTGTTCTCTCCTTCTCATCTGCTCGTTCAAATCTGCTGCATATAGTACACTTCGATCTGTTCGATCCCGTGAACTTGATCACGTTGTCAGAGGATTTCCATGCTTCCAGCAGCAGTGTGCACTTTGAGTACTGTAAAAGCGAATGCCGCATGAGCGTACACGTACAACTATGATGTGATTGTTTCAAACTGAAGGACTCTTCAGTGACCGAAAGGGGGATCCCTTCGATGGCCGGTACTAGACGCACCACACGATGTCACGACGTGAATCTTGCGGTCGGCGCCAACCTGAGTGACAGAGGGGCACGGATATAACCGTGGATGTTAGCCTTGCGATACATCGACGGCTCTTGAGCTACCTGACTCTGCTCCAGCCTGCATGTCTTCCTCTTGAATTCTTCCAAGAAGTATTATATAGTATTTCACAGCTCTCAGGAAGGAGGCTTATTGTTGCTGCGCTTGCTTGCACAAGGATGCAGCCTCGCAGCTTGCTTTTGTACAGACACCTTCTCAAAGAAGCAAACGCGTTTTCTCTCGAGAAGATAGGTCGCAAGATAAAGCGCAACGTCCGCGATGCATATGAAATTGCAAGGTTGGACAACAAGGAGGAAGATTCAGAGAGGCACTTGGATCAAGGAGAGGCGGTGCTAAGGTTGCTTCAACAGCTGCGGAGGTTGGAACACACACAGTTCCAGGCAATCTTTGGCGGGTTCTAATCCGCAATGTTATATGCACAAATGTAGGAGCGATGATCAAGAAGGAGCAGGCTCAACGCATAGGCACTTGCATTCAGCAGATGGCATTCCCTCTTTGCGCTTTACAAAAGCAACCCATATCTTTTGCGGGGTGCAACTTCTCATTGAATGCATCCAGCTGGGCATCCGGAAACAGGGCAGAGTTTGAAGCATTCAAGCATGACATGTTGACGATCGTCATCAGCTAGCAATCAGTCGCGCGGACCTTAAGTGATCCCTTGGAAGAGTTGCATAACGATCTGCGCGTTGTGGAGGGGTTTGTTGCAGGTTTGCTGGATTGAAGGCTGTGGCCCAAAGTAAGATGGTCTCGAAATTGCAGAGACTTCTTAAGCCTTAAGTGGGCTAGGACTGCTTTCCCGAAGAGCGGGGGTAGCAATAGAAAGGAAGAAAAAGAGGGTCCTGAAGGGCTCTTATTGAGGGAGCATGGCTGGAGCGCCAGCGGGAACGGCCAGCAGTACTCCAACAGATGAAGCTCAGGAGGGTGACGGGGTTCTGTTAGACGAGGAGAGTCTTCTCAGAGCTCCTCAGGCAGTGAAAGGGTTTACGCCTGCAAAGGCGGCTGGGGGCTTTCATGCCCGCCACCTGGCAGGCTTCTGGATTGGCGGGCTGATCAACAACTTCAGTTACGTGGTGTTTCTGACGGCTGCGGAGGATATATTGACGGGCTACTCTGGGGCGGTAAGTGAGACTGGGACGTGATGTGTCCTTGACGAGGCGTGGTAATGGGGCAGCAAGGGGTTGACTCTCATCCAGGCGATGCAAACACTGTCAAGAAGTATTTAGGCTTCTTTTCGGTCAAAAGAGTCGTGAAGCTAGGTCTGATGGCAATGATTTGATTTGATAACTGGTCCGTCTCCTTTACTTCTGCTGTCCCGATGGTGTGCGTTGAAGTCTTTGAAGTCTTCAAGCCACCGGCAGACAAACATCAGACAGAGTCAAGAGCAATGCTTCATCCAGTGTGTTCTGTTATAGCAGTTTGTAGAGTATCTAAACTATCTTATTGTAGTTTGGCACAGATCTTGAAGTCGTAAAATTGATCCCGGACTCAGCTGAGCTCTTTAAACCGCTGAAGCATGATTCCAGCGGGGTCTACTTTCAGAGATGGCATAAAGTGGATTGTGCTCCAAAGCGGCGTACCACTGATGTGCAGGTCTTCGTCCAAAGATGAAGAAACCACCAATTCTGTCTCTAAGCTTAAAGAGGCTTGTGCTCAAAGGCCGCCAACGTTTTGCCTGTAAGATCAAAGGGGGAACACAATGAAATCATTGCTCCGCATTCATAGCAACCGACTCTGCAGGTGCTCCTGGCTGACATCCTGCCGACGCTCGTCATCAAGTCTCTGGCGCCTTTCTTCATCCACCGCTTCTCTTACCTCCAGCGAGTGGCCGCAGTGGTGGTTCTCGCCGTCCTTGCTTTCTTGATTGTCGCAACCGCAGGGAGCTCGTTTGTCGCCCTCGGGGGGGTGTGCTTTGCCAGCCTGGCAGCGGGGTTGGGGGAGATCACGTTTCTGGCGCTCTCATCGAGGTATCACAGGTGAGTGGAGCGGATGTCATTTGACGTTGGAGGACCGGCAAAGTGGCCAGAGTGCTTTGCAGTTCGATGGTTCAGTAGTCTTTTGTGTGGAACAAAGAGTGTGCGCATTGACTTCGTCTTAGAAGAAGCTCCATCAGCTTTAGAATATCTAAGGTTCTCCTTGGGACATCGAAGATATAGATGAAGAGCACGTCTCCTGAAATGTTGAGTAGTTTCCTTCCAAGTGGATCTGCAGTGAAGACTTGAACCCGACCTGTGCATCAGATTGAATGGACTTTGTGCGAGCTACCTCGCAATGAGCACGGGCTTAGATCATTTGTTGCTGTTACAAATGGACCGCCCGGTATGTCCGGGACACGCGAGACAAAATACTCTTAGTTGGCAACTGTAATGATTCTGATCTTTCCCTTTGCAGGTCTACCGTTGGGGCATGGTCATCAGGCACAGGCGGCGCAGGATTAGCAGGGGCGGGGATTTGGGTTAGGCTTCCGATGCCCTGCTTCGATTCCAGTTCCTTTCCAAGCGAGTTCATTCGATCTGAGGCTTTTCAAAAGAGATGATGGACGATCTAGTGGCAACTAGGAGTAGTGTTTGCAGTGCACGGACTAAGCCTTCAGAGGGCGTGAATCCGACGGCTTGCCTTCAATTGTTGCATCCACGTCGGTCGGAAGTCTCTGGCTTTTTGGTTGTTAGTTTTGGTGAGCGATCAGTACGGGATTGGAGGTCTGAAAGCTACGTTTCCGTGGTTACAACTTTCTCAAAATGTACTTTACCGCGGTTGACACCCATGTTTTTAGAGGCGGCTCAAGGAGCGATGAAAAGACATTCTTTTTCAACCGCTCCCAGCTCTTTTAAACCGGCTAGCAAGACGAGGGATCCGGAAGTTGCTCTTTTCTTTTCTGGCCGTAAAGCCTGCTCGTATTCTGGAGACGTTTCATCAAACATTGGCCTAAGCTTTCTACCAGCTTTTCGATTTCTGTCCTTTCCCCGACGGACCGTCAGATTCGGTTAACCCATGTTGGGGTATTTACCACCGCTTTTTGTGCCCGTTTTCGCTCGTGCCAGCCGTCGGAGTAAAATTCTCTACTCCGCCAGGACTTGAAAAGTGAAAAAGTCGCCTATCTGAAGGTTTGGATGCCATCTTCTCCGCCCTCCAGGCTTTTGAACTCCTTCTGCTGCGAGTCATTCATGTCGTGTGCTCCTTCCCTACACAGGTTTTCATCCGCCAGGTGGCAGGCCTGCAGCCCGCGCTGACGCTGCTGGTGATGTCACCAGTCCCGCTCATACAAGGGGCAGCGTACTACTTCCTCATCTGCCCGGGGGGTGAGCGCCGCCCCTTGCATTACCCCCTCCTTGGGAAAGCTGAATGGGGTTAGCATAAGAGCAGGAAGGGTGTTCGACATTTCGAAAGCTGTGGAGACTAGAGCAGCGCTGTTCGAGATAAGTGGCGGTGATTGGAAATTGATCCGCGAGAAAAATGCTACCAGTATTTGCGAGGGCAGCGCCCAGATTGTCTGCTTTGTTCGGAAGCTTCAGTAATCGGTTCAATAACACTCAAGAATGTTGCGATACGTTTGTAGAAGGCTGTCACCTTACGTCGTTGCTTCTGCTATTAGGTTTCGACGCAACCTCATTCTGTTTAGAATCTGTTTGTCAATCGTCTTTCGTCGAACTTGGGTTCGTGAGTGATCTGACCAGATCCTACGAGAATCTTTTCAGATCCTTACTGAAGTTTTTGACTGAACTCTCTGACTGCAAAAAAAGCAATCATTCTACTGGGTAATAACTGTCTGACTCAGATCACTGACCCTCAGGCCTCGAGCCGTCCCCCTCGTTTCCAATGGGCTCTCTTTCCTCAGTTCTAGCTGCTCCGCTATCGCCCGCTTGCATCATGTGACGCAATTTGCAAACGTGTCGGCTGAGCTTCCGCTCGTTATAATTTCCTTGGTATCGTCCTGATTATGTTTTCGTTTCTACTTTTTGTTTTCTTCAGGAAAATCTCTGTAATTTTCAGACAATCAACAAGATTGAGAATATTTATCTAGGTCCCGAGCCGTCCCCTTCGTTTCCCCCGGGCTCCCCCCCCAAGTTCCAGTTGCTCAGTGACTCGGACTCGGACGAAACCTCGGCGCCGTCCGAAACGAGCACCCGGCGCGCGATGCACCCGGTGTGGACGTCCGAAGAGTCGGACGCGTTGCCTCTCGGGGGGGCACGCGTCGAGGAACTTTCCGGGGGGGTCGTTCGGGCGGGATTTGGCAGTCCATCGGGGGAGGGGCCACCGAGGGGGATTGCACGCGGCGAAGAACGAATCGCAAAGGGGGGGCACGGCAGTGGATTAGGGGGGGCTGCGGCGAGGGGGGGCCAGAATCACGAGCGGAATTCCGTTAGGGTGCGGGGGATTGTGGGGGAACGGAAAGTGGGGGCAGCACGCGCAAGGACTCTGTCGCTGAAGGAGGTCTACCGGCTCGTGCGGCCGCTGTTTGCGAGGTGAGGGCGATAGCAAATTTTGATTCGGATATTCGCTGCTTGCCGATATGCGGAAGGCTATGTTGCAAACTTGGAAGAGGCCATAGCGCTTGAGCTCCGATGAAGAGCTCTTGGCTTCTCCAGTTATTTGTCTTCTAACCCCCTTATTGTCGCTGAGCGCCGAAATAAGATTGTTTTGGTCCCTCTATTCTTCCGCTCTTCACTTTTGGCCTTCTCCTCTCCCCGAGTTGTCTGTTCTTCCCTTCTCCTTTTCCCCCTCCTCCTTGTCTCATCTTCGTCGCCCTAACTGTCCCCGGTTAGCAGCAAACCCGGAATCCCTGGCCGCATCTCGCAGAGCTCACACAGGTCGTGCTGCGCAATAGTTTCCTCTTGCCTACGAAGTCGCCGATGCTGGGCAGCGTGAACGTCATTTCGGTATCCACCTCGCAAAACACCGCGATGCGGTATGGGTCGAGCCTGTCAAAGACCTGAGACGCTGCTCGTTAAAATACGCCGCCAGATCTGCTCACGCACCAGGTGCTTTGCTGATTATTCTGCTTCTCAACAGTAATAACATCTTCAATAATAATAATAATATGTTTTACCTTCCTGTGATGCTCGTTTGCCCCGCAGGTACATGCTGCCCCTGTTCCTGGTATACTGTTTCGAGCACACCATCAACCAGACGCTATGTCTGCTCAAACGCCACTTTCTATTCTTGTCGCTTTCACTGATTCCCGTTATGCTCATTTTCCTGCAGGTACATGCTGCCCCTGTTCTTGGTTTACTACTTTGAGTACACCATCAACCAGGCGCTCTTTCTCCCGATGGGATACGCGGTTAACGGTGCGGAAGGAGCTAAGCACGCCTGTCCCATGTACAGTTTCCTCCAGACGACGTACCAAGTAAGTGCGGTTTGTCGTCTGGAAACCTTTCCACATATGCTACGTTTTGCTCAGCTTTCCTTCTGGACTGTGCGCAAGTGAGGAAACCCGTTCTTGTGGTGCAAGTGGTTCAGGCTGCCAGTGGTACAAGTGGTACAGGCTGCCACGTACTATCTCCTACGAGGATTCCGCTTTCAACTGATGACTGCTTGATCTTGTTCTGCCTTCTTTCAAGTATAAACACTCCTGGTCGTAGATGGAGAAGCACGCATGCCCAAACCGGCAGTCCAGGGCCTCTTCAGATGGCAATCCGTCAGAGCGGTTCCTTGTCAAATGGTATGAAACGAGGGCCTAAAGCACCGCATTTCTTCTTGATGCAACTTTGGCCCCACATAACGCAACTGCTCGATATAACACTTGAGATGACGACGTCCGTTGCCTAAGCAAGCGCTTCTATTGGCGCAGGTGGGGGTCTTCATCTCGCGGTCGTCGATCAGCTTCTTCCCGTTGACGCGCCTCTGGCCGCTGCCAACACTGCAGGTGGGCAGCTCTACACTGTACAGTTGCTTCATATAGTCTTTACTCAAATTTATGTTTCAGATTGTAGGAGCGCGGGCTTACGTTGGTTAACTCAGGGTAAATCTGGCCGCTAACCAGGCTGTTTACCAGGCTTGAATTCATGATAGTATTCGAGTGGCCGGTGTATAACCTTGCTCCAAGGCTGGTTACCGCCCAAGTATGATCATTGGACCATTTCTTTGACAAGCCCATAACCTTCCATGGTTGACGGCCACAGATGGCTGTGCAAGCACGTCGAAGAGCCTTCGCTTTGAATTCGTTCGCTTGACTTTTCCTCGACTGGTTGAGGGTTCCTAAATGGCGGAGGCCTTCACATCAGAGCACTTGATGGCACTTTTTTTAGGAGTTGCTGCTTCTCCAAAATCGAGTTACTGATCGTTATGAAACAGACTAAAACGGCTATGACTGCCAGCTTTCGCGGTCCTCTCTTTGACTTTCGCACCTAAGATAAGCATCTCTGGTATTGAACGTCCCCTAATGTTGTTCCACCCCCCTCATTGATGCAAGTTGGCCGTCTTCATAAGCAAGGCAAGTATCGCGTCAAGACAAAGTGAGTTGCCTTTCTTCTCTTACAGGGGCTCAACCTCGTGATTGCGCTGGCGGTTTGCTTACACGTCAGTCAGCCAGGCCGAAAGCCGATCGGCATCGCCATAGCGTATGCGGCGACCCTTTGGGAGGGACTCCTCGGGGGGGCGACCTATGTGAACGCGTTCACGCTCTTATCCGTCAATACGCCCGTCGAGCACAGGTGCGCTTATGCCCCGCCTAATGCTGCGTTTATCGGCCTCGGATTTGTTATCCTGCTGGTTAATCGACGCACAGTGCCTGCAAAGGGTTGGCAATCGAGGGGCGAATCAACTGGATCAGCCGACGGCGATTGCACCGCCGAACTTGGCAACGCAGTTAGATACGTTACCAGCTGCCTCACATGAACGGGCCACGCTTTCAGCTCTTACGGTTGCACCTTGAAAAAGTTCCGACAGGCTGTGCTCAGCAGGATAGCTGCTGTGCTCAATGTGGTTGGACCTCTCCTCGTCAAGGCCGTGAACCTACTTTAGAGTTTGTACGGCCGCTTATATGCGAGGTGTCTGGAGCTTTTCTCTTCAGCGTCAAATGTAATCAGCAAAACTGGCGTCACTCTTGCGAAAGGATGCGCGTCATCGGGCTCTTTCAAGAATTAGATGACGTCACTAGTTTCGAACGGGAAATGCACGGCCGTTGATTGCAGTCGGCGCCTTTTTTACCACTCGTCCCGTATTTGCAGGGAGTTTGCCATGGGGATCACCAGTCTCTCCGACAGTGTTGGGGTCAGCCTAGCGGGGGCTACTGCGTTAGTAGTTGAGCGAGTTATGCTGCGGCACCTGGGAGTCTCTTCAACGCACTGCTGAGCACTTGAATCATCTGCGGTCTTAGCTGTCCTTCAGTAGGGGTTGATTCGGCTCCACTTGCAAAGCACGTGCCCCATGCGTTTCGGCATGCTAAGTTCGAAAAACGAGCGAAGCGAAGAGTTCTCATGGGGCATGCATGTCGTTGCAGAATAGTCTTGTCGACGCTACTTTGAAGTTGGTCGTTTAGCTCAGCACTAGCTGCTCTGATTTGAGATGGGCTTCAGCAGTCTTCTCAATGTACCGGTTAGAGAACGCCCTTCACCGGAACGTACAAATTATGCCTAACGGTTTCGAGCATTTCTTGGCTTGTTTCACGAGATTGCCCCACCAAAGATTTGGTGCATGCGGTGTTTGAACTGGTGAACCTTGTGTCAATTCATAGTTTGCTTGATCTTATAATCACTTAAGCGGATCATCCACATGTGCACGGGGCGTGCACCGTCATGGTAATTCAGATCAATTCTAGGCGCACGAATCATTGCTACATGCTAGAGCCAGCCGCGTCGAGATACATATCAAAGTATGCACTCTTGAGGCATGTGTGCGTCACTTCTGCACGTACGTAATCACATGAAGTCAGCGCATGATCCCCACATGAAAAAGCTTTTCCGTATAGGCGTAGGCATATATAAGTATGTATATGAGACATGATCTAGATATAGTATGTAGTTCCCGCGCACTAGTATGTAGCTACATACTATATGATATCGGATGCATGAATATTAACCTTAGCCAATTCTTAGTGTATATTTGGCGATCGCATGGCGAGAATTATGAAAAGGGACCATCATGCGAGCCCATGCAGCACCGTCCGCATGTGCATGAATCATCAAAGTCAAGACAAGCAACATGGTCCGAAGAATCCAATTCACGCCTGCGCTACGGCGGAACTTCAGATATTTATGTATTGACGCATCAATATATATCATATATTGATACCAATCATATATGATATCAATGATATATGATTATATGATACCAATCATATATATCATTGGTACCATGCATGCACAAGCGATATGGACCGTGTTGGCAGTGCGGCGCAGGCCGGGCTCAATGCCGTTTGTGATCGAGCAGTACACCATGAATGAACCATGGTATCATGTACACCTTAAAGCATCGATACTGTCATGTTAATCAGCACCTGCACCTATTGATGCGCTGTACGCATTGTCTAATTGAGCCCTCAAACCGCAAACGCAAAGGAGAAAGTCTTTCATCCTTTCAACCAACCGCGTGTCTCCTTCAGTGAGAGCAAAAGAGGCCGGCGTCGGATCAATCCTGCCTGGTATAGCTGACCGCAGTAGTACGAAGTAGCATGCTGATCATCTCAACAGGCAGCGAGGCCTTGCCTATTGAAGTTGGCGGATGCTGACCGATTTGCTCAGCACTTCTTCTTCTTTCAGATGCTGCTTGAAGTCGGCCAGTCGCTTCTGCAAGCAAAGAATGGATTCCAGGAGTCGGCACTACAAGCATGTTGAGCACAGTCCGACGATCTGTGGACCTTGTCTAAATCCGATGAAAACCTCACAACTTGCTCAATGAAGTTAGCCAACGAGCAAAGCAGCAGCAATCTCCGCTTAACAGCCCTTGAAGTGACTTGATTTGGATGCTGCAATCCGAAGGACGACGGGATAAAGGACTACTCCGAGGCAATGCCCAAAGCCGAGCTTCTCAGGCTCGCCCGTCTATCACAACCAAACGAGGTTCCGAACGGATCCAAACTCCGCCTTTGGCTTCTTCGCTTCGGCATGCGGCGATTGATGGAAGAAATCGTCCAAGAAACCCACCTGGAATGAAGCTAGGTTGGTGGCTTTGCGCGCCAGTAACGTGGTTAGGTGGTTGACATACACATCAACCGCGCTCGTGGGGTTGTCCATCTCCGCCAGCAGCCTCATCTCCTGCACACAGGTAAGAAGCGGGGACAAAGGTTAAGCAGAAAGCGTTGAAAGCTACGGCGCTACTCCTCTCCATTCCTTCGTAACCTCTGTCCTCGTAGTGGCCACCAGTCTTTTTCTTCCTTCTCCATAAGCATCGAAGCGATAAGCCAAAGGAAGTAGAAAAAGTCACCTGCGCAGACGGGTCAACCTCGACCGGACCCATGAAAGTCCAGAACACCTCCCAGATCCTTTCTCACATCTCCATTCTGGGCGTGGCGACCTGTCTTCATCGGCATCCAAGCAAAAAGTAGAGATACAAGGAAAAGATCCCACTCGTGAAGACGAGTTAAGCTTAACCGATCCCGTAGGAGGTCAACAAAATTTGAAAGGTACCCACCTCTCGAAAAATCCCCAACCCCTCCTCGATCTCCTTCCTGTCTCGTTGCCACCAGCTCCTCTTTTTCATCCATAAGCATCCAAACAATCAGCGAAATCAATGAGAAACGGAAGTTTAGCCGCAAAGAATCGTCAATCTCAACCGGACCCATCAGGATCATCAAAACCTTAACCGAACCCATCATAAAACACCGACACCACCTACCTCCCGAAGGATCTCCATCCCTTCTTCAATCTCCTTCCTGTGCGTCGCCACCAGCTCCTCTTCCTCCTCCATGATCGCATTCATCAGCTCGTCGTGGGCCGTCAGCAGCGCGTCGTTGTCCATCGCCTCGACCACCCCCTCAAACGCCCCGTTGTCGACCCCCCCCGAAGAGCGCCGCCGGCGGGGCTGCCCCACGTGGCTCGGACCCGAGCGATCGTCCACATCCGTGCCGGACGGCCGGCGGGACCTGCCGGAATAGGAGTTTCCGTCACAACCCCCTTTCGACTTTTCTGCTATTCCTTTCCGGCGCTGCGTCTCGAAACAGTGTAGTGCTCGAGAATCTACCAAGGTTGCGGACTTTGCACAACTCGAATGCAGAGACTTTTGACAACGAAACAGGGCAAAAGCCCACATGATTGTGCAGAAAGAGCTGACGATTCTAGACCGAGCACTCAGATTGTCTTGCTTATGGTCCGAACTCACTAATACCCTCCAGACTTCATGGGATGGGAGCCTGAACTGTTCCCAAACAGTTGCATAATTTCCCTGCAATTCTCTGCATCTGCTACTCAAGACATTTCCGCAATTTAGCTCACCTTTCCTCTTTCCCTTCTCTCCGCCTGCCCCCAATCGGCGGCAGACTCGTCCCCTCCCCCCGTCCATCCTCCGTCATCTCCCCCGCTTTTCTCCCCCCCGCAGCCATTTCCTGCCAGCTCATCGGCCCCCCATTCGCATCCGGCCCCCTCGTACCCCGCCCAGAGCTCCCCTCGTCCTCCCCCCCTCGGGACGCGTTTTCGGCCAGTCCGAACCGCTGGTCCGAAGGTACGTACCGAGGCTCCGACTCGAGATCGGATGCGCTCCCGCGACGGCTGCGGACCCCCCGATCCGGGGGTGGGCCTTCGTCCCGCTCAATTTGTTCCATGCGCTCGCGGTGCCGGCTGGAGCGGTCGCTCGGGCGGGGGGGTGGCGCCTGGTGGCACAAAGAGGGGGGCTTGAGATTCAGACGGGGGCAAAGATAGAATCTCTGGACCAGAGATACGTCGAGCATGCTCCTACAGGTGCACGGACTTGACTGGAACGGTAACGTGGAGACGAACAAAGGAATTTTGAGACATTTTTGGCCTCGGGCGACTCGTTCAATAGCATCGCCCCATTCTTCATGATTGACCAGAAAGGGTTTGTCAAATGCAGTGACGAATATCCAACCTTCGTCGACTGGGAACGTTCTAGGCAACCGTCTTGTTCATTCGCAGACAGCACACCGACATGACTAGAAGTTTCATCCAAACTCCCTGCTGAGCCACTGGTTCCCATTTCAGCTCATAAATGCCTATCCTAGAACAGAGTGGAATATCAGTAATGTGCTAAATATGAAGATCAAAACACGAGGAAAGAGTTTGAACGCACCTGGCTGGGCGCCTCCTCTGCCCCCCCGCTCGGGATCGGCGGCAGTGTACCGTCTCTCTCCGTCAGCGCCCCGCTCCTCGCGCTGCCATACTCGCCCCCCTGCCGCGACTCCGCACCCCCCCGGTGCTCATTCCCTCCCCCCGTTCCCTCTGGTAATCCACCCCCCCGCCCCTCTCCTTTTGGTACTGCGCGTTCAGTCTCGGCGGGAGGGGGGGAACAAGCGACTGCGCTTCAGCGGTTTTGTTCGCGGCAGGGGGGGCCGTGGGGCTCAGAAAAGTGGGGGGCGGCTGAGAGGGCGCGGCCCCCCCGTTGCTGGTGCGCTGGTTTCGGGAGAGGCCCTTGACGCGGTCAGCGTAGCGAAGGGTGTTGAGCGTGTGTTCGCAGGAGCCAGCGTTTGGGGAGATGTTGGCGATCATGACGGTGCGGGAGTTGCCGACGAAGCTGTCGCGCAAAACCTCCGTGAGTTTGCTACCTGCGGGGAGGGAAATGGCAGGTTCAGAATTTTGGAGTTGCGGGAGATGTTGGTAACGAGGACCGTGTGCATGAATTGCTCACGAAGCTGTTGTGCAAAACCTCCGTCAGCTTGCTACCTGCGGTGAGAAGAAGACCAGCATTCAAAGACTTGGATGCTACAGTAGGTGGCAAGAATTCAGAGCTTCGGAAAAAAAGTGGAAAGGGCTACGAAGAGAGTAGCCATGAAGCTGTCACGCAAAATTTCCGTCAACTTGCCACCGGCAGAAAGAGCCACAGAAGCTCTGGTAACGAGCTACGAAGGAAAGTTGTTCACAGAAAGAGCGACAAAAGCTTTGGTAACGAACTGCAGAGGAAAGTTGGTCATGGCAAACCTTTCTCTGGATGAAATCAGCAAAAGAAACCAATCTCGCCGTTAATATGCAGAGAAACAAAAGCCAACTGCATCTTTCCGCCTCGGCTGCGATAGTGTTATCCTCACCCCTAAACGGGATATGCCCCTGCTCGTGGTCCAGCGCTCGGATGCACTCCTTGAGTGCGAGCAGGCTCTTGTTGATCTCCGCCCCCTCCAGCCGCGTTTGCTTGTCGTTGTCATACGTGTCGGCGCCACGCTCGCTTCCAGCCAGGTCGATGAACGAGAACTTGCCTGCAGCCAAAAGGGAAGGGGTTCGGAATTTTTTTTGCGGTACTTTGCTTCCTGCGCTGATTGCTTTGTCAAGTCGATGAACGGAAACCTGCCTGCGGCCAGAGCGGAAGGGCTCGTAAGAGAGTTTCTGTTTCTTCCCTTCCTACGCTGGTCGCTCCGTCCCTAGCAGCTCGACAAAATCTTTTTACTTCTTATCAAAAGATGAAGGAGTTGGAACGTGCGGAAAGAGGGGAGGCTCGGACAGAGAACAAAGAGCCAATGTCTATGGAGCAGCCCTTATTTCAAGGTATCGCCTATCAACGGCTCTGGCTACCCAAACGCAGCTAGTAGCGCGAAGGACTTTGCAAGCCCTACACGACGCTTTCAAACGCAATCTCTGTATTTCAGATGGCTAGACAGACATATGCAAGAGGCGTTCTGTTTCTTTTTGAGTTGCGACCGGGCAGCAGGATACCTAGACCTGAGAACGTCAGGAACGTCCAAAGACGAGCTCGCACAAAAAAGAATGATTCTCATATGAACGCCGGCACATAGTACCAGCCAACGCGTGTATAGAGGACGTCTGAGAAACGGCTTCCCAAGAACGACTCCGTAGCAGGCTTCAAAACGAACTTCAAAACGCTTGTTGAATCGTTTTGCGGGAACCGCGGGATTGATCCTCTGCATACTTGCTCCTCTGCAGACGCTCCAGATTAACCCATCGGCGCCCAATTCACCGAACTTTTGGAAAGACAGGCGCTGGGTCAGAATCTTCTCATCCACCCCCCCTATGCAAGTATTACTCCCCAAAAGTATGCAGAAGAGAGCAGAGGCTTTGTTTTTCGCTGGAATGAAAACGATCCTCACTCACCGACGAGCTTGCCGCCCCGCGAGAAGTCCCCGTCCTTGTGCTTCTTGAGCGCGAGCTGCAAGATGGCGTGCGAGCGCGACGACTCCTCGTTGGCACCCGTCACGCCCGTGCTGCGGGTGCTATTGCCGCGCTCCAGAAAGTCGCGCACATCGCCCACCGCCTCCACTTTATGCTCCTTCAGACCGACAATGCACACCTAGGGACAAAGCAAAACCTTTCAAGACTGAGCAATAGGTAGTATGAGAAGTGTTACTTTGCGCATAAAAACCCTTGGCCGTGGTTTTATACGGGTGAATTACATTCGGTTCACTGACGCCGTCGGATGTCAACAACGGCGACATGGGGCAATTGGAACTCGTTGAAGAGCCCCCATGCCGTGACTACGACAGAGAGTTAAAACTGTGCATTATGGAGACCGCAAAAGAACCCGCAATGTCCGCTTCAAAACCCTATACAATTGCATCATTCCTGATTCTGAAAGTGTAGGCTTCAGAAACCTTTGATGGACATATCAGGATCTGGGGAAGCTTCCAATGTCCTGACATGTCCTGACATCTTCAGACGCCCAGCGTTTTCGCATGGCAACTCCTTGAACCTGGCTACCCACACCTGGCTGCAGAAGGTTCATATCCTTTTGGTCAACATGTAAGTCACCCAGACCCGAACCGAAGCTTTGAACGCCTCCAGTAGATAGGCAACGTGAAATCTGGTGTCGTCCGAGCTGATTATTAGTTGCTGACAGAAGCTGATTTTGCCCCAGGCTGCAAATGGGCACACGTGCTAACTTGGGGAACAGACAATCGAACCCAAATCCAGAAGATAGAATTACTCCGGAACGTAACTCACCTGCTGGCGGCCGTCCTCGCGCATGCAGAGCTTGCGCCGGTCGTTGAGCAGGTCGTACACCTTCCCGCCGTAGATCTCGAAGTAGCTGAGCCACAGTTGCAGGTCGTGGTGCTGGGGGGCGCCCATCAGCTGGAAGATGTCCGCAGTCGCGCGCATCGGCAACGGCTGCATCGTGTACGTCTTGCCACTCCCTGCGGGTGGGATTTGGCCCGTGTTTAGAAGGTGAGGGCTTGGCGCACCTTCCGTGCTTCACAGAACCGAGTGAACACGCACGGCGTGGTCAATTGACGGAAAAAGCCGTCGGCTTCCTGCTTGGGCGCTCAGAGTCCTGCGACGACAGCATTCTGAAGCAACTTTTGAGGCCCGTTAGACGCGGCCTAGCATAAATGCGCCGGAAACTACGCAATCGCACTGGCCTCAGTAAACTATTTCATCCTTGGTGATCCAAAGGATGACTTCACAATCTGCTGCACTTACACGTCCCGGGTTGTTCCCGTCACACAATTCTCTCTTCCGTCAGCCAAAAACATCCCCCTTCAAGTAACCGGAAGGTAGTGAAAGTAACAAAAGACGGGCCAATCAAAAAGTTAGTATCCGACTACTAACTCACCTGTCTGCCCATACGCGAAGCACGTGGCCCGGCCCTTGTTGAAGATTGTTTGGACCAGCGGCTCAACAGTCAAACGGTACACCTGCACAGGCATTCACATTTTCTACATCTATTGAAATGGTCATGGCCGTTCAAAATACGTGAGTCGCTAAAACGGTGCCCATATTCTCCATCGAACATTTCTCTCAGAGCATACTTTTGTTTTGACAGACAACCATCCCTACTATCCTCTGAAAACGCCTCTCTTACAAAAGAGAGCGCACAGTCTCACCAAGTAATCGACGAACTGCAAATCGCGATTCAAGCGTTACCTAGATGGGCTCTGGATGACAATTGCTCGTTCAACCCAAACATAAGGACACCAGAGGACATCGGGCTAGCGGACGTGGTCACATCACATGCGTCAGTGCCAACACACCTAACCAATCTCGATGCCCAATGTTGTGTCAATGCCTCACCTCGTCATTGGTGACCTGGTCATTCAACACAGCGTCGAACATGAACTCGTGCTTCTCCACATAGGCAGTCAGGTCCACCTTCTGCCTTGGCTCGTGGACCTGCGAGCGTGCAGCAAAGGCAATCATTGGAATGGCCTCAATTACAGAGAATGAGGCTTTTGGGTTGTGCATTTTTCAGGAAAGGCCCGATGCGAAATGGGCTGTAATGGGCTGGCAATAATCGGTTCCCGCAAGCCTCAATTAGATTGGCATATTTAAGAGCAGTGTCTCCCTTGTGCAGCTTCTGCACTGATGCTGCCAAAGAACAGCCTTGATGTCAGACTTCGAGTCAAGTGGCTATCGTTTACACACTTTGTCTGACGGGCTCTGACAGCCGTAGCTGAGCAATCATTCACTTGAAGAGTCAAGCAGATTTGGGAATGGTTCTAAACCCCGTGACTTACTAAGGTCGACTCATCCAAGTGTTGTCATGGCTTGTCAATCGATCCTACACGTGCACTTGACAGTCGCTGAGCATCTTGTCAACCTAAGTTGGCTTACTAAACAAGGAGCAGCCACTCAAAACCAATCGCTAACCCTTCACTAACCGACCCAACCCGAGCACTGACCTGCAGTGCAGTCCCCGCCTCGTCAATCCACACGACATCCTCCTCTTTCCGCGCCAACTCCTTCTTGTTGATTGGCCGCTTTCTGACAACTACACGGATCCTCGCAACTCCAGCGGGGGGACCGTTCCCACTCCCCGGGCGCGAGGTCTCTGCCCCCCCCGGGGTGCTGGGGCGCCTGGGGGACGGCAGGATGCCCCCCCGCTGCTGAGAGCCGCTGTACTCGAACTCGTCGTCTGCGCCGCTGCTGCGCTTGCTCTGCACGAGATTGTCTGGGTATGAAACCGTTTGTGTTTGCGTGCTAGAGTGGTGTTAAGCAACAGTGGCAGTTTGAGATCGAAAGGGCAGCTTAACAGCTATACGTGCTTCCTAGTCGAATCATCCGCCTTCTGCCCTGAAGGCTTCCCCCGGCTTTGAACACCAGCAGCTTGCACGGGGAAGAAGCGTTGCCAGGAAGTGATCGCACAATTGCTTGAGACTGTGCTACAAACAGGTTAGCCCATCTGTTCCTACGGCCCCAGAACTGATTGTGACACCCGCACAAGTGACTACAGTAGGTTGAAAGGATCAAAAGCAACTCAGCCCAGCAGCCTTCTTCCCCATCGTTCCTGTTGTCCGCTTGGATTCCAATCATCCGTACACTATCTCCAGGGACTCCCAAGACTGGTCAAAGGTCAAAGCCCTCCAAGACTCACTCCCGCTTGCCGCGCGCTGCCGTAGTCGTCATCGCTGCTGTTGTTTGCCTGGGCCCGGAAGAGCGCGTTCCGGGCACTCGCAGACCCGTTGCTGTTTGCCTCTCTCGACGGCCGATGGCTTGACTGCCGCCCAGAGGGTGGGAGCGGTATGCTGTTGACGGGAAACTGCTCTTCGTCCGAGCCGTTGGCGTAAGCTCGGGACTGGTATTCAAACGCGAGAGGTGGGGAGGGGCTCTTGTAAAAGGGGTCCGAGAGGGGCGGGGTGCCAGAGACCTGAATGGAGGAGTGGTGAACCAGTTCAGAGCTCAGGTTCAAGTTCTCAAGAAACGGAAGCCAGAATACAAGTGCCAAGTCAGATGAGAGCAACGAAGCACGGGGTCGAGCCCCGAAAACAGAGTGAACAACTCCAAGCGATCGCAAAAGTGTACCTGAAGACAAGCACCTTTTATGGAAGGTTGGTCGCACCCATGTTCAAGTTGCACATGGAGCCCGCGACGTCAACCAAGAATTGACCAGCTGGGGTCAAAAAACTCTCCCCGCAACATAGCCTGAGATGCATTTGAAGATTTCCAGCCTAGTTCTGGCGCCTCCGGCATTTGGCATGCGGTCCCCCCTCACCTCAAATGGCTACTGATTTGAAACTCTGACTTGTGGCGTTTCCTTCTGGACCCGGAGCTAACACCATGACGTGAAGTGCTCTGCACTCATGTCACATTCTGAACTGACTTTCTTCGGTCAAATCAATTCATCTCGTCTCTCAAGCTCCACGCTGCACTGTACTCACGTCATGGAACAGATCACTATCGTCCATCGCATGAATGTCCAATATTCCATGGTCCGCTCTCAGCTCGGGAGAGAGGAAACTCTCGATGCCGCCCGCCGCTTGCTGGTTCGGCCGCGAGAGCTTTGGGGGGGTTGCGGGCTCAGCATCCGGCTCCCCCCCGGCATTGACTGTCTTGAGCAGCCGGAACAATCTCTGCTTGTCCTCCAGGCTCGTGACGCCGTATCTGCCGTAGTCCTGTCAACAGCGTAAACTATCGTCAAATTTTGAAGATTTGAGAATAGTCTCTCCTTTTGCCTTTCTCAGAACGCCTCTCAAGCTGAGGGGACCAGATCAAAACTGCCACGCTCCTTTCGTCACAGTAGTTGACAGAGAAGAAGAAACTTTTTGCCTGAGCTTCTCAGGGGCTTGTTCAGGGGTGATTTGCTAAGATTTGGCTTCAGCTTTTGGTGCTAAGGAGAGTCTGAGCTGCGCAACCTCACTCCAAAAAGTAAGGGCCTTGGACATCTGATGCTCAAACAACCCATCAAATCCCCACAAAAAGACTTTGCCTAGAGTTTCCCGCCAGATCACACAGTTGAGGCCAGCCCACTTGTTGTATGGAGCTATATGTAGACAGCAACCTCCTGCCTCGCCAACCGTTTCAATGGGTGTTGACATCTACTTAACTTGATCATGCCAGAAGCGCCAACTCCACATTCTGAACATAAGCTTACTGCACATCCTGAAGGGTTCTAGAAGAAGCTCAGCAAATGACTAAGTGGCGGAGTATCGGAGCAGAAACCTCCGAAGAAAAGCAGAGTCAGAATGCAGCTAGTCAAGAAAGCAAACTAGGGTTAGGGTTAACAAGCTGAAGCATGATCCGAATTGCTCTTTCCCAGCAGCTGGTCTAAGAATCACTGACAAATGATGGCAGTGAAATCAGCTAACATTAAGCCTCTGCGCATTAGATCATTGCAGTAGGCCAATTCACAAGTACATTGGTTGATTGCTTCTCGCCAATGCCTCCCATTGGACAAAATGCAGGTAGGTCAAGATACCCTGACAACTCCACCGCCAAGAATCGCCAGAAGTGACATATAAGTGAGATCAAGATACGAAACCTGGTTTTAAATGCATCAAATCATGCTCCTTACTCCTGTATTTCGCAAGCTCCTTTCTTGCACAAACCTCTAAATTTGATATAAAGACAACCCCATGCTGCCCACTCAAAGTGGGAACATGTCTTTTCACTGCTACTCATTTCCGTTCTGCCTTTCAGAGCAGCATCTTTAGGACGCACCTGCATCAGCAACCCCCGAAACACCACTTCGCTCAGCCCCGCGAATTGCTCGCAATACTTGCCCATCCCTGCCTGTGTTAGCCACCTCCCAACTCGCCCCTCCCCCGTCATCCCACCCTGGGCTTGACCTTGGAAGCCAGCCATTGCTGCCAATCAAACCTGCGCCTCCTGTGGCGCCCGAGCTGTTCTTGACGTGACACAAGAATGCAAGGCCCACCTTCCTGTGCGAAGTTGCCAGTTGCTTGCCTTGGGCCTTGCCTTGCTTGTCTTGCTTTAGACTGGTGCCCACATAGCCGGAAAGCTCAGAGCCCGGTAGAAGAGGGCGGGACAGACTCAACTTGACTTGGTAGAGAGATCAGGCGCTTGTTACAGGGCGCCAGGGCTTCATGCCAGGGGTCG